CACTCTCAGTATGTCCTTCTTTTCAATCGTTAAAAAGATTTATATCTAATCCAGTGCTCATAATTACACATCCAACAAAGCTCACCCTGAGACCAAAATGCATTCATTAGATTTTCACCTTTAGTCCTGTGTACTTACTAGAAGCCATCACTACCTGTTTCATTGTGAACTAGAGCCAGTGCGAACAGTCATCTTCCTTTCTTGTCAAAATGTTAGTCACTTCTGAGATGCTTCCCTGAGGAGTGCTGAGGGAGGAGTGGAGGAGAAATCTGTGGTCCAGACCATCTCCAGATTGACTGGTCGATAAGCACAGGTTAAGATTTATGAAACCTTTGGAGAGGACTGTGCCAGGAATAGGAACATGCACATCCTGTCTCAAGTCTTGTGTTGATTCAGAGCATGACTCAACAGTCCTCTGTGTAGGGGCTGAGGGTAAATTGGCCAGCGGCAAGTCTTCCCTGGAACATTATAATAGAGTCTTTCACCAAAACGTTGAAACATCTAACTATCAAAAACAAGTGGAAGGTGGGCTATCCCTAAAATTTTAGGCCTGGGAAGCCACTTCTTTTGCCCAAATACTTGGCCCTAAATTGTTAACTTGATATTACTTAAATGATTAAAAAATGTTACATTATTTTTTTCTGGAAGATAGCTTTACTTGTAAATAAGACAAAATTAATCAGCAACAGGAAAGAATAATCATTATGGAAATTGTATGAAACTAAGAGACCAAATACTAACTTAAACTAAAAATAAATTTAAAAATCCATTCAACTGTAATGGTGGCTATGTCATTATACATTTATCAAAATCCATAGAGTGTACGACACAAGGAGTAAAACCTAATGAAAACTATTGGCTTTAGTTGAAGTGTATTGATACTGGTTCACTAATGGTAAAAAAATATATATATACCACACTAATGATGCAAGATGCTAAAAATAGCGGTAGTGGTGGTATGGAAGGGGAGGGGATACATGGGAACTCTTGGTACTTTCTGTTCACTTTATTCTAAAAGTCTAAAAGTACTCTAAAAATTAAAGTCTATTAATGAACTTTTAAAAATCAATATATATAGCTCTATCATCTCTCTCTGCATCTGTCTGTCTGCCTGTCTACCTACCTATCTGCCTACCTACCTACCTACCTAATCTATTGTAGCTAACTTGATATATAGAAAAATGCTTGTTGTTGCCTCAAAAATCCTGAAGTCAATGAGTAATGTGAAACATATAGTTGAACGGAGTAGACTTTGAAACATGTAAAGAACATTATTGATTTGTGGGCTGCTTTTTCTTTTTATTTATTTATTTGTAAATAGCACACATACCGATAGGTACACAGGTCACAAATATACAAGTCAGTGAACAAATTAAAAGTGAACAGGCCCATGTAACCACCATCAAGGGCAAGAAATAAAATACCATCAGCATTTCAGATATTCTGCTTTTCAGAAACTTTTAATACCATAAATAATATGTCTGCTTTTGAAATTTAGAAAATGGAATGATATATAATCTTTTGTGCCTGGATTTTATTTTTTTTTTTTTTTTTTTTTTGTGGATTTTTTGTGGATTTTATTTTTTTCCCCAATATTATGTTTATGAGGTTCATCCATTTTGTTGTGGATAATTTATTGTTATTTCTTAACAGTTTTCTATTGTATAAATGTGTTACAATGTATTACCTGTTGATGGCTTTGAAATTATTTCATTTTAACTATTATAAAAAATGCCTCTACAAACATTCTGGTGCATGTCTTTTGTTGAACATATGCACAAAATTTCTGCTGATCTATACTTAGGGACACACTTCATGGGTGGATATTAGTGTATCTACACACTTAACTTTAATAAATAATGCCAGACAGTCTGCAGGAGTTTCTTCAATTTACACTCCCACTAGCAGTGTATAACAGTTTCAGTTGCTCTGTATGCACATTAACACTTGGTACAAGTCTTTCTCATTTTTTACATTTGTTGAGTTTGTCATGGTAACTCATTGTGGTTTTAGTTTGAATTCCCCTGATTATTAATGAGGTTTCCTATTTTGTCACATACTTACTGGCCATGTCGGTTTACCCTTTTGTGAAGTGCCTGTTTGAGTTTCATGATCATTTTAAAATTGGGATTGTCTGTCTTTATCTTACTTCCTTTATTGGTGATATATATTATAAATATCTTCTCCAAGTCTGTGGTACTCATTTAAACTTTCTTAAATTTTTGTTTTATAAGCAGAACACTTGTTCAAGCTTCTCCTTAATAGTCTAAGTGTTTATAGTTTAAGAAACCTTCCATTCCCATGGTCATGAAGAGTCTCTTCCATAAACTCCTAAATTGTTATTTTGTATAACCTTTCACATGTGGATCTGAATCCTCTTGAAACTGATTTTGTATATGATATGAGGGAGGGGTCAAGTATAATTTTCCCCATATGGCTATCCTAACAATCTATCAGTCCTTGTTAAAAAGATAATTCTATTTTCCGTTCCTTTCTATGCCATCTTTATCATAAATCAGTCTACCTTTATCTCTGCATAGGTACCTTTTTGGACTTTATTCCGTTGGTATTCAGCTATCCTTGCTCCAATTGCATGCAGCCAATATGCCATGTCTAACAGAGCAAGTTCGTTTTTGTTCTTTTTTTTTTTTTTAATACATCTTGGCTCTCCTCTGGTTTTTCTAGTTCTGGTTGAACTTCAGATTCATCCTCTCTCTCTCTCTCTCTCTCTCTCTCTCTCTCTCTCTCACACACACACACACACACACACACACACACCCACACTCATCTGCCAAGAATGTTTTTTTAAATGGAAATTATACAAAATCCGTATATCTATTTGAGGGAAATCAACATCTTTAAATGGAATGGACTGAAGGATTTCTTTGTAGTCTTTTTAGCAATATCAGGGCCCATGAAGCCATAAAAAATTTGTTTTCCAGGAAAATTTCCCAAGAGGGTATGGAATTATCTGTGTTTTTATAACCAAAGCTAACCATCAATATTTCTTATAACTCCAACTGTAGTCTGGGTCTAGAAACTTTAGGGCGGGATCTTGCTACTCTTAATTTTTGTTAACATTTGAGATACACTTCACAGCAATAAAGCCAGCACTTGAGATAAACAACTAATAAAATATAGTTAAATTTATGATCATGGTAGGTCCTCAAATGTGAGGCACAACTTGCAAAAATAAAACTTGATTCAAACAGAAGAGATCATGCATGCCCTCAGCAATACCTGACAAAGCCTAGACTTGGGTCGCAAAATGTATGCCATGTTCTTTAAGGCCTTTTTTGTGTGTATCTGGATAATAAGATTCTCATATGCTTGTCTTCCATGGTTCTGAATAAATGTGGAAGATTTGCTGGTATTAACATGGAAAAAAAAAAAAAACCACAGAGCCATATATGAGATGAGAGCTGCCCAAGGCTACACAGCAGATCAGTTTCCTGCAGTCCTTAGCCATCAGTCATGCCAGTCAGCACCTAGAAATGTGCTAGACTCACCTACTTATCAAGAACAGCAATAGACAAGTTACTCTGAGCCTCAGAGGATTTCTGAGAGGAAGGTGAGTCAAGCTTTAATCATTTGTGCTTTCCAAAGTTTTCCAAAGGATTGACTTTGTTCAGTCATTAGCGGTGAATAGCACGGCGCTCTCTTCTTGAGAATGACGATTGTTGAACATGGACTAAAGCAGGACATGTTTGGTTTACATTTCCCAATTACTCTTACTCCCACCCTGGCATACCCTCATATACAGTGACTCTAGGAGATACAAATGTGCTCATGCATTCATAATACATCCCATAAAGAAAAGAAGTATGTCACAACCAAATTTTAAAAAATTGTATTTGTAAGGCAGAGATCCTTTAATATAATAGGGAGTTAGGAAATGAACAGTTGGGTGCTCCATGGATATTTTAGTCAAGTATTAAGGGGGTGCCCCGAAAACCAGGATTTTAGAGGTTTTAGCAATGGGATGACTATAAGAGCATATCATGTGCTTCTGCAAGTTTTCAGGTTTTCCTGATGTTCTTTGTGGAAAAGCGTGAAATAAACCCATATCTAATGAGTTCCAGAAGACAGTAAAAATAAGCAGTGTAACAAGGACTGTGTCCAGCAATGGCAAGTGGTGGGTACAGGAGTTAGCCTGAAGCTCCAGGCTGGAGAGATTAGGACTCAAATGATGTTGGGAGGGCTACTGTGAGAGGGAAGACAGGTCACTGAAGGAGAAAGTTCCCTATGTAACTGTTTTCCTCAGGGCTGGCCCTGCTTGAACTCTGTGATAAATACTGATGTGTTTAATTTGTCTTTGTAAACTCCTAAAAATATATATATATTTTTCCATCTTCATCACCTAGAACACCTTCTATAGTATCAGTGTCAGAATTGGTGATTTCAGGTGTACCAAAACTGGAATTACAGAAACTCAGAACTGGAGTTTTTCCTCTATGTAATGCATAGATCATAGAATTTAAGTGAATCTGGCAACGTCACTAACAACATTAGTGGTAGGGTCAGTAAAAAACTTAGTTGCTCTGATTCAATCCTATTCCAGGCTGCTATTGTATTTCCATCTGAATAAATGAATCACAGAGAAAAAAAAGTTACAAACGTCAGTGTGTGTCATTTATATTCACCAAAATTTGTACTCAAAAAATCCTAAATGACTCCCCTACTTCCCCAAGTTTAAACTGACAACCCATGATTATCTCATTTAGTACAGATTTAAGCAACCTCACATTCACAGTTTGTGACCACAGCCCATTTCATTCCCAATTTACTTCATACTGCAACAAAAATCAGCAAAGAAAAGATTTGGAATGCAAAAGAAAACTCAAATAGCTAAGTTCTGTGGCTTTAAGGTCTTACTTAAAATTTCACCTATTGTAAAATATGGCTTATGTAATTTACAAGATATAATCTGTTTCAACCTGGCTGTTTTAATGTTCCGTCAGTACTTAAAAAAGCACACACATATATAATGCATGTTTACATCTTTATTAATCATTAAATCTTGAATTCCCATAATTCTTTTTATTCAAGTATAGCAGAAGGTCTTGAGAACATGAAGTATATATACATTTCTGATTATGAAAGAAATCATGATTTTGTCAGAATTTTACCCAAATTAAATGTGTCCAGGAATCATGGCGTTTGATCCACTATTTAGCTCTCAAGATTCAGGTTAAATCTGTAACATAACAAGTAGGATGAAGTAAATAAGCCTAGTAATCAGTAATCTGTTATTTTAAAAATGTTTTAAAACACAGGCTATCTTGTACTGCTTAACAGCAAGAAAGATGTCTCCTTCCTCTCCTCTCCCTTCCCCACTTATTTCCTTCCTTCCTCCTTCCTCCCCACGTCCCCATCTTCCCCTGCCCCTTCCCTCCTACATAATTCCCATCAGTGAATGTCGAACTCCTGGAGAAAACTTCAGTTATGAATGTAGTAGGCCTGGAAAGCTTCTGTAAGCTTGAGCAGTTACTGATTGGTTTGTAAGTCTTGCCTTGAAAGTTGCTAATTAGTATGCAATGTTTAATTTCATATACTGAGTACTCTCATTAGTCCACATAATTCTTACCTACAGTCTTTCAAACCTGTGATAGCGTATTATTTCCACTCCTCAAAATCAAGTCACTTCAGGCACTGGCTCACTGCATCCACTGTTTAATATCTATGCATTTCTTTTTGTACAACCAATTCTCTTCCTCGAGTTTGTTTTGGGGGCTTAATTCCATTTGATCATGGGAGAATTTTATCTAAAGTGAGGGGAGCAGTACATTTGATTCTTTAAAACTGTAGAAATGAAAAGTATTCATAGCCGAATACTTTGTTGTATGGATGGTAAAACTGGTCGACTGAATCATCCTGAAAACGAGTGCATGAAAACAAATTTCTATCCCTTAAGACAATTATTGGAGTGAAACAAATTCACCTTTACATATCTTCAACACCTGAGGAAAACAACTCTGAGGGAGAATAATATGTACAAGCAAAGCTACTTTTTTGAAAAAGGAACATGTTGCCAAAGATTCAAACTCATTCCATTTGGGGCAGCTTACCTGCACAAGATTTATGCTAATTATTGTTATGTTAAAGATTTGGCAGCTTTACAAACATTTTAAACTTGTCCGTGCAGGTTCAAAATACCCTGTTGCAATGGTCCAGAGTTAGGCGAGGAAAGCATTTCAGATAATGCCAAACTGTAGTAGACTTGTTTTGTTTTGCTTTTAAACCAGGCACAAGATGGGGGGCATGGAGTGGGAGACACGGACATCAGGCACAATCTTGTAGTGGGAAGGTTAGGATCAAGGAAGAGATGCCTTTGCTCAAACATCTCTCCCATTTCGGATTCTACCTCTCCGGTGGCTCCCCTGCAGATTCAGATCTCCTGGCCATGGGCTCCACATTCAATGGGTTTGGTATAGCTTATAAAGGTGCATGATGAAATCTAACATTTGAGTGGAAGGAGTGGAAGACTAGACCAAAAAGATCAGTAGTGTCCTAGAACATGATAGAATAGCTCTTAACTCCTTCCTTTTAGTCCCATTAGACAACCTTGCTTCCCATTCTGAAACATATCACTGAAGAGAAACCTTTTATACTCTTGAAACTGAAACAATGAGAGACAGGACTAGAAAACTGAGTAGAAAACTGCCAGCACTGCAGACGGATTTCTATACTGTAAATTATGTTGGGGGTTGTTATCTCCCAAACTTCAGGTGTTTAGAGATGATTATAAGGTATGTTTTGTTGCTTAAGGATTTGCTGACATCTAATGTCTCTTTTTTTTTTCTCCATATAAATGCAGAGGTGACATATCTGAGTTTATAAAGGATCTGTGAAAGATGTGGCCTTGAGTAATACTTTTATTTCCATTACCTTTCTACAGTCAACCCCTCTGTCACGACCCTCCCACCCACACACATATCCTAGCCACTCCTTCCTTGTTGTTAATCTAACCTGAATCACTCTATTCTTCTCCAAGTGAACACACCCAGTAATAGCAGTGAATCATGAACACTCTTGCTTCTCTAATCTCTAAAGGATTTGACAAAATGCCAGCTCTGAGAGAATAAAAGGATGGGAGTTTTGTGGTGAAAGGAGCTCTTTAAGGTCTTGCTCAGTCTACTACCCTCAATATCAGTTATCAGATAAATTTTCTAGTTGTCTGGCGGTAGACAGGTTTTTTCCACGCAATAACATTGACCCTCACCACATCTCCACGCTCTTAAGTAGCCGTTCTGTTCAGTAAGCCAGTCTCTCAGGTGTGCCTAATAGTCAAATCAAAGGATCATTCATCTTGAGATTGATAATAAAATCCTTTCCTGCTTAACTTAGCTAAAGAATATTAAACAATTTACCCACAAAATCCACCCTTTGATAACAAAGCCTTCAACAATTACACATATTAGAATTCCATAAGTGATACTTAGGTAATAGAGAAAAGAAATAGAAATAGCTTCTCAATTATTCTCAAAGGGAAATTTATGAGATGACAGAGCACTAAAATACATTTTCTCTACCGTAGCCTATGAGACTTGAATTTATGGGAAGAAAAACCTAGAGGAGAATTTTTGAAAGTGATTTTTCAACTTATATACAAATGTTACTAGAAACATCAAAAGCCAGTTAATTTAGTATATTTTCTTGATTATAAATCTGTGTTGATTTTACTTTAACATCTTCTAATAGACATTATAAATAAACTTAATCATGTGCATTTCTCACCCAAGATTCTTCACTCACATGTATTTTATTTTATTTTTCTTTAAAGATTTATTTATTTATACAAGAACCGGGGTACTGGGCAGATGCATGGGAAGGTGAGAGGATTCACCAGAACAGAGCATGGAACAGAACAGGCAGACTGATGAAATACCACTGCTGAGGGGAGCAGAGGGCGAGACAGGAGAGGTCTGCTGCACCCTGTGGGTCTCTCCCCGGGTGGCCAGGATTAAACCCGTGCTGCAGAGGCTGCGGACAGCTTCACAGTGCGGCACTCAACCACCTGCACCACGAGGGAGGCCCTCAAGTGGATTTTAAAACTAGTTTTAAAAGTGTATATTTAGAATTTCAAATTTTTAGAAGATGCCTATGGATGTTAGCTATATATACATGATATAACAATTTTTGTCAATACAGGAAAATGAATGGATGGAAACTGGTCATCCTGATTTTACTCTTACGATTTTAGAAATAATGCTCAAGCCAGGAGTTTAAAAAATAAGTCAACTAAAACAAAACTTGAAATTGTGGCCTAAAAGTGTGGAAGAGAGTGTATGTGTGTGTGTACATACAGAGACACCATTCACTTTTCCCTTCCAGCCACTAAAAAAGAATAAAAACCTCATAAAGATTTTTAAGTCTATGTCATCATCCCACAACAGTAATCACAGACAAGAATGGATGAGGTATTTTACCACTCCCTTAAGAATAACAAAGTGGCCAACATGAGCCTTGGGCATTGAAGAAATTTAAAAACACACAGAGAAAGCCTGCCTTGGGTTAATATTAATTATTGTTTTCATTGAATTTTAGTGCTCAAAGTGTTTTCTATGATAGGGTAAGGATTCCTTGCCTTCTGGCCCTCTGGGGTAGTAGTTTTCCTTGCCTGAAAAATTTTATATGAAACATTTAAAGTCCTGTGTCAAAAACATCAAACTTCTTGTAGTTCAGTGGATCTCATAGATGACATGAGAAAGGTTTGCTAGGCTTTATCTAAAGATATAATAAAAGCAATAGGAGCTATAGTGCAAATCTCTTACATTAATGGAAGGTATGTTTTTATTCTGGTATATGATTGGAGTAAGTAAAATACAAATTTATATATGGGAAGATCATTCAATTCTAACAACACTTGAAAGTCAAGATGTAGGTCAATAAATGCACATTTCTGAAATACAGGTTTTTTCCAGTATTCTGAAGTTCTTTGAAAACCCAGCCAAAACTATTCCATTTTAATATAATAGTTCATAAAATAGGCAAATCATAACATATGTAAGACAAGATGTTGTTTTACTTTATGCAGCCAGCAAAAACATAGCTCTGAGCTTAGGTTGTAATGATTAAAGGATTTTTGAGCAGCTGATTTTAGGGAATTATAAAAATAGGCCAACCTTATGCCCCATGGTATAAAAGCACATGCAGAATCTGCATTGTGCTTCTAGTGTCAGGACAAATCATTCTGCTATTTTCAGTGTAACGGACTCCAGTGATTCCAACAGAAGAGTGAAGGGAGAAATTACTATACAGACCTGTGGCTTGGTGAGGTGAATATCAAGTATGTATCAAGAAATCAGGAGTCCTGTCTTTATTTTGTAGATTCCTTGAGGTATATGGAATACAATTTATTAATTATAGGTAGAGACTCCAAGTTTTCTACTATTTTTGGCTAAAATTATCAGGGACCTCACATCACAGTTTCTTAAAAAAATCTATGGCTTTTTTTTTGGGGGGGGTGGGAAAATAAGTGAAGGGATGAATTAGGTGCAGCATTCTTTTAAATCAAGGAGGACATGGTGAATATAGTCGCAGACCTAAAATAATTATCAAGTACTTCCTAGATACTTAACAGTTATTCTGCCTGACATGAATTCTCATTCAGCCCCCTAGTCCCAGGGAAACGTATTATCTCTACTTTACTGATGAGGAAGCTGAGGCACAGAAACACTACATTACAAAGCACATAAATAATGGGGCTAGGATTTGAATCCAGGCAGCTTGACCCCAAGTTTTTACCCCCATTAATTTGTCTTCAGGTTCTGTATTTATGTCTGCTTCCTTAGGATTTAGCTAATTCCTCCTGGGTCCTGGTTTACTTCTAAATGACTATTTTCAGATTACTTCTAAGTTACTATTTTCAGATGTCGGTAAGAAGTGACAACGTTTAAAATGGCCATTCACTAGGAAACACTGACCCCTTGAAGCCCCCACCTTCCAGGTGACTCAGAAATGACTCGACTGTTTCCCTAAACCCAGCGCTCCACCCAGTTTTGTTACATTGTTGTTGCACAGCAACGGAACAGCGCAGGACGGGAGACCAAGAGTAAGGACGGGCTGCCCCAGATCCAGCAGAGGCCTTAATTTTCTCTTTGAATTCTGGAGCAATCTGTTCTGTTTCCTGTATGCACCTCAAAAATCTTCACCGGGCTGCATTTTCTCTCAGATTTGAGTAAAAGATTTAAAGCCAAGCTAAGGAATCTAAATTTTGAGGTAGATTCAGTAGATATCCTGTGAGGGACGCTCAGTCCACAGCAGCAAAGGCTAGAAATGTGCTTTACTACATTCGCAGGGGCTCTTGGCGAGATCTCCAGCATGTTGAATTCTCCAAAGGCCTTTAAACCCAGAGCAGCGCTTTGGAGCGTTTATAAGCGGTGAAATGAACACAGCGCTGTGGCTTTCGGTGGCGTCAATTTTGAGGGAGAGACTTGGCGGTGGTTACCTAAGGGATGAGACTAACGGAAGCGAGCTGAACGGGAAGTATATTTCCAGGCGAACTTCACAAATACAAAACATGGAAGCCTCAAAAAGGGAGGGAGAGGAAGCCGCGGGAATCGTGCCCCCTCAGGACGGGCCAGCAGCTCCGCAGCACTGCCCCGCCCGTCGCGACGCCCGCCCAGGCGCTGCCCAGCCCCGCGCGCGCAGGCGCCCTCGGGCGTTGGGCGGAGCCTGGAAGCGCGCGTCAGTCAACCTGGCCAATCACGCGTCGCTGCGGCCTCCCGCCTGGCCCCGCCTCCCTCGTCCCCTTTCGTGGACGTTCGCGGCCGCGCGCACAGTACGTCAGCTTTCGGGCGCAGGGCGGTGCCTAGCCGCAAGCGTCAGTGAATCGGGCCAATCACGTGTCTCTTCCGCCCTCCGAGCGGCCCCGCCCACAGCCGCGCGCGCCGTCTGCTCTCTGGGGATGGCGGAGGGAGGAGGTAGCGTATTGGGCGCCCCGTGGGTGTGTGCGAGCCTGACTTCGTGGGGTTCGTGGAGCGGAGCCGCGCTCCCTGTCCGTGCTCAGGGGACCTCTCAAGCCCATCTCAGGCTTGGCGTCTCGGGGTCTCGTGTGGGTTTTCTGCAGTGGTGAGCGGGAAGCTTCCCAGAGGGACCCCCTCGGGATTTTCCCCGTGAAGATGATGCTTTTGTTAAAGGAAGCGAAGTTCAGTCAGAATTCTCCGTGCAGGGCCTTTCGCGGTTCACGCGACCCGGCAGGCACACAGTCCTCTGCTTTTGTATTCCTTTCCCCTCACGTCAGGAGGAATCATTTTTCAGGAGAGTTCGGTATTATTCACAGTTTCAGGGCTTGGGGTGTAACAGATCTGATTATGTTTTTGTTTGTTTGTTTGTTTGTTTTTTATGGGACCCTCTTCGGTGGCCGGGGATCGAACAGGCGCTGCAGAGGCCGCAGGCAGCCTCGCAACCCAGCGCTCAACCGCTGCGCCACCGGGGAGGCCCTGATGCTGGTTTTTATGTCAAGATTACGCTTATGGAATAGAAGCATTATGAAACTGGAGAAAAGAAAGAGTTTCTGCCTCCAAGGTTATTTTCCTCTAGCAGGTGCTGAGGATATTTAGACAGATTAAAAGCAAGCGGAGAATCTTGTTTCTCTGAGAGGCTAGTTAATTTCTCACAAATTCAGTCACCTTGTGGGACCAACAGAGTCTTACTTAGGGAGGTAACTGAAAAACTGCAGGAAGAGCAAGAATGAGTAGCAGTTAAGTGAAAGGTTGCAGGCTTGTGTCAGGCACACTAAAGAACTCTGATAAAGTTGATTAGAGATGTGGGTTAATTGGTTTCCATCCTGTGATTATTTTTTGTTTTTTAGAGGAAAACCAAGAGCCCATTTTCGAGATGGAAAGGCCAGCAGACTCAGCTGTGATTTCACCACGCACGCCACAGACGAGTGCCAGTCCACCGTCTCCCCATACTAGTAGTTCAAGAAAACAAGTATGAAAATTGTACTTCTTCCAGTGGGTCTGCTCTATATTTCTAAGTATTATGCAGTAGTGGTTTTTAACACTATTGAAGATTGTTAATTAACAATGTGCAGCATTAATAAGCAAGTATTAAATATTAATTTTAGGTCATTATCCTAAGATAATGTCATTTCCCTCACCCAAATTTTCATCTTGAATTACTTAAATTTCATTTAGTTTCAGAACAGCTTATTAAAACATCCAAATTGAGGAAGTGTGCAATGTTAAGATCTTTGGTGGCAGGTCTTGTCCATAATCTGTAATTCTGAAGAACCTAGAGTAGTGTCAGCATGTGCTAGTTGCTGAAAAAATGTTTGCGGTTACAGGGATAAGTATCTCAACATTATTTCAGAAGGGTGCTGATTTTGCTAAAGTACAATAATAAAACTAATGGAGCTTCCAAGAAATAAAGACATTTTGTGATGTTTCTTTGATATGAAGACAGAAAGCCATCTAGTCTATCATAGAAATACGGTCTGGTAGATTTCTAATAAATTTGTTCAGTTTCAATAATTTTTTTCTTGGTTACACATTTATTAATGTTTTGTACTTTTTTTTTAGCCTATGAGTGCAACACTAAGAGAACGACTAAGGAAAACAAGATCTTCATTTAATTCCTGTTATAGTGTGGTTAAACGTCTTAAAGTAGAGGATGAAGAGAATGATCAGACCTTTTCAGAGAAACCAACATCTTCAACAGAAGAAAACCACTTGGAATTTCCAGAAAATTTTAAACATGTAGACACTGAACTTCAAGAAAGTACATATTTAAAAAATACTTTCAAGGACATCAATGCATATGAATCTAAATCACTTGATACTGGGTCATGCAGTGATCTCCAGAGTGATTTGGTGAATGAGAGTATTTCCAAACAAGGATTAAATGAAGAAAAGGCAAAATTGATGAAACAGGTTCAGGAGAAAGAAGACCTTCTTCGGAGACTAAAATTAGTCAAAATGTATAGATCAAAGGTAAGACTTTAGAACCATTATTTATTTTTTCACTTGTAGATAGATGAGAAAGTGACCTCAAATATAGAAAATATGTTTATTTTAGCATAATGAGCAATAAGCCATTAATCAAGAAACCTGATTTCCAGCAACCTTAAATATTAGGACTGAATGGTGTAGAACAGGCCTCTAAAAATACCAGATAGAACTTTGTAAATGTCCCAGCTCTCATTTAATATGCAGTTGAAACTTTTATTTTTAGGCCCTGTCACCATTTGAAATATCAGTTGTCAGATACAAGTACCATGAGAATAGAAGTGACAGTTGTCAGTGAATGAACTGTAAAACAGCTAGATATTGGCCACTGAGTATATTAAAAATTATTTTTAGTGGTACTCCTGTGTTCCTCCCAAATTATTAAGACAGTACAGGTGTTTTTGAGAAAACAATATATTTTAGATTTCAGCCCAGAGAGGCTCAGTTACATAGAACTTGGACACTTGTAAAAAAGATAACCTTTGTTTACATGGATCATTCATGTATTTGCAATTGCTCTTTCTTCCCAGCAATGTGGACTAAATGATGGACTAATATATCTTATTTGCTCTCTTGAATTTTTAGTATTTTTCTAAACATAACTACTTGAGTTTATGATAATGTTCAAAAATATTTTGATCAGCATCATTTTTAAAAGTACTGTTATAATAGAAAATGTACGTATTTGTTTATTCATTTTATCAATGTGCTTCTCTAAATGTTGATATTTTTGCCCTATTTGATGATTTTTCCCTGGGGATAAGGATTGCTCAGAGCTGGAACCAAATGAAATAGCCACAGAATTCAACTTGAGTTGATATTGTAACCATCCTACTTTTCTATGTTAGAAGTCCCATTCACATACAAGTGCATCACCCTTTAAACCTGATCATTGAGTTAATAATATACAACTTTTAAGTATGTTAAAATAGGATAATTATCTAGTTACTGACATATGTTTACTTTTTTCCCTATTTCAGAATGACCTGTCTCAGTTACAGTCCTTGATAAAGAAGTGGAGATGCTGTAGCCAGCTCTTGCTTTATGAGTTGCAGTCATCTATCTCTGAAGAGAATAAGAAGCTAAGTCTTACTCAATTGATAGATTTTTATGGGTTAGACGATAAGCTGCTACACTATAATAGAAATGAAGAGGAATTTATAGGTATTTAATTTATTTTTCTCCAGAATGTCTTTGCTGATGACGAGTTAGCTTAAGGGGGCTTATACATTTAAGACTAAATAAGACCAATTAAGACTAAGAATAAAATAGATCTGGAGCACATTCTAGTTATAATCTTGTTCATTCTTCAATAAAAACAATTCATGATATTTTATACATTTATTCATGCAGAGCTAATATTTTTATAATGGTTAAGACTAAAATAAAATAATTTGCTATAATTAAGATGAGACTCTACCAAAATTTCTTGATATGAAAGAGAAAAAAATCTTAATCAGTTCAAGTATTTTTTAAATGTTGATTTGGCCTATATTTCCCCAGCAGCATTTTCACATTTGAACAAGAGCAGGAAATGTTTTCATCCGCAATCGTTCAACTTCAGCCTGCAGTACTGAAATCTGTTCAGCTTGTTCTTTTGAAATATGTGTTAACTTTTGTTGTTGCATCATGTTTTCATATCGTTCTTTGGCAATCTTTTCACAAGTCAGTGTAGACCCTATCCCAAAAGTGAAGATGAAAAGGATTGGTTGGGTTATTATCTAAACTTTGAAAAACTAAAATATCACTTAGAATCAATTAAACATGGAAGAAATAAATGGTGGCAGGTTTATAACAACAGTATAGATTTTAGGAATCATGATTACTTTTAAAGAAACCTACAGTTGACTAAAGAAAAAAAGCTTACCCATGGCTTGACAGATGTCTTTTCTCTCTGAGATAGCCACCAGCTCTTCTCGTAAGTTGCAACTTAGATGATAATTTGCTACATCTTTTTGATTGCTGAACTTTTCCAGTTTTTTAAGTAGTTTTTTACAATTTTCCACATTCTTTTTGTGGGTCTGTAATTTTTTCCCCAAAAAATCCCACAAAAATAATTTTAAAAATATTAGTTATTCTAGAGACATTATTCTTAAGTTTTTAATTATAATATATTATCTTCCTATCCCTACTTCCTACCACAATGCCTGCATAAAGTAGGTACTTAAATTATTTGTCGAAAGATATAATGATATAATGGTCTCCTCTTATCCATATTCCAAGACACCCAATGAATGTCTGAAACCATGGATAGTATTGAACCCTATATATACTATGTTTTCCCTATACATAAATACTTATGATAAAGTTTAATTTACAAATTAAGTACGGTGAGATAAACAATAAAATAGAAAAATTACGATATACTGTCATAAAAGATAAATGAATGTGGTCTCTCCTCTCTCAGCATATCTTATTGAACTTATTATTTTTGAACCATGGTTGACTGTAGGTAACTGAAATTATGCAAAGTGAGTAAGGGGGAGGCCGCTGTATGTTAATACCACATTTTAGAAAAAATCTTATTTATTTGAAAGAAGATTAAAAAATACATAGCTTTTGTTTATTTTATATTTACAATCAAAACTGAGCATTTGTTAAGTAGATTGAATAGTCTTTACAATGCCAAGGAAAGACTATCAATACGTCTGTTACATTACTCATAATCTGATGCAAAATAGGAAATTCACATATGCTCACATAACTCCCAAGATACCTGTTATTATTTATGAGTTAATATTTAAAAAGGTGCTTCAGTCTACCGCACTTGCTATGGTTGCAAAGACACTATTCAAGGACCTCTATTTATGTCCTTTAGGGCCAGTTTTCCCCAAAGGATCAGGTGGGCCTTTCTCAACAAGCCTAGAGTAGGATTTGACATGAGAACTAGAGGTCGATACAGGCCTTGTGAGTCTTGGGAAGTCTATTACTGTTACTTAAGTAATATAGTTTGTTTTGAGTTGAGAGTAGTGAAGGTCCTGAAGGTTGAGGAGAAACACTGCCCTTGCCTGAGTCCTTTGCCCTTCCTGAATTGAAGAAGATATCACAGCTCCCCCTTCTGTGGACTAGAAGAATGTAGTTGGGGTGGGTGGGATCTCATTCAGTTCAGGTTTATTGATGGACCTGTCACCTCTGAGGATTTCATCTTTACTCTCAGAGTAGGATGAGGTAACCCCTACCCCCTTGTCTGTCATATTCCTCTTTCCTCTCTTCTTGACATGCTAGGTCCCTAAGTGCAGGAAAATATCCCATTCCATTATTTCTAATTCACAGCCATGTAAATTCTTCACACATTTGTTATTAAAATGATTTTTTTCTCTGCTCACCCATCTATTGATCGTCCAGCCTGAGAAGAACCCAGAGTGTAGGAGGATTTCCTCCTGTACCAAGACATTCTGCATATCAATAAGTGATCAAGATTTTGTTAGTTTCTATTTGAATTCACAATTTGAAACACTACTTCTTTGTTCAAATGATTCACAACTTTTGAAATTTATAGTGTTCAATATCTTTGAGGCCTACCTTATCTAAAACAGCAATAGTTTGCTCCATTATTCCAATCTGAATGGCAATCAGAGTCTCATAGTTTGGTTCATTTAGATACTTAGGGAAAAAAAACACAATATGTTAAGGATATTTTCATCTGGTGTCAATAATAACTTTATCAAGATTATTTTAGCTTTGAAAGTTGCCATTTTTCAATAAAAACACCTAAGGCTGATTTGACTTTTGTGCCGTGATATTTTCTTGTATTAAGCTATTGATACACTAATAATTACAAATGTCTAGAATTTATTTTCTCATTCATTTCTTCAACTTGCCAAATTTTCATTAAGTGTCTCATTAGAGTCCTATATTAACAGAATCCTAATTAAAGATAGTAAGATACAAAGATAGGCTGCTTGGCATAGCCTTCAAGAAAGTGAAAATGGAGATATGATTAGTTGTCCAAAGTTAAAGTGATGTGCAAATTCAAAGATGTTTTAAGATGAGATGTGGTTTCTCAGGATTCAGAAATCAAAAGACTTTATGGAGGAAGTGGCATTTAAATTCAACTTTGAAAAACAGAATTGGGGCCTCCCTGGTGGCGCAGCGGTTGAGCGCTGGGTTGCGAAGCTGCCCGCAGCCTCAGTGGCGCTGGTTCGATCCCTGGCCGCCGGGGGAGGGTCCCACATGGCACGCAGACCTCTCCTGCTGCCCGCCGCTCCCCTCGGTAGTGTACTTCGTCAGTCTGCCTGTTCTGCTCTACGCTCTGGCTCTGGTGAATTCTCTCACCCTCCCGACTTCTGACTGTACCCAGTGCTTATATAAATAAATAAATAAATAAATCTTTTAAAAAAGAAAAACAGAATTGGGAAAATAAGGAAATAAGGTAGAAGAACCAGTAAGATACGCTCAGAGGTAGAATTTTAGAAAATAATAATCAATTGGGTTTGAGAATACTTTTATGTGAGAGAGCATTGGGAATGAACTCAAGAAAAAGGTTGAAGGACACTGCCCACTAAGGAGTTCATAATTCACTTTCCAGGTATGCAGTAGCAGATAGACTGTTGAACAGAGTAGTAAAGTTATTTAGTGCTGAATAGAAATGTTGACCTGATGCAGTGCATAATGTAGATTAGATAAGGAAAAAGACCCAAGGTAAAGATACCAATTAAGAGGCCATTATAAAATAGTATAAACCACTGAAAATAAAGGACCAAACAAGAGTAGAGGCAGCCAGGATAGAGAATGAGGGGAATAAACTGACTAGGCAGTACTTGGAGTGAAAGCTAAAGAGCAGAATCAAAGAGGACTAAAACTTCTGGCTTGAGTGAGGGGATGAAAAGAAGACAAACAAATTAAGAGAAGTTGTTAGAAGGTGGAAAATACAGAATTTGAAGGAGATCAAGGCCAGTGAGTTTCTGTTGAAATTAGATTGGAATCCAGATAACCTGGATTAGTCTTGTAGAAGTGATCATTGAAGTTAGAAGTGATCATTCAAAGGAGAATGCATGGAAAGAAACATCAGAGCTGAGGGCAAAATCTTAAAGAATAGTTGTATTTAAGAGTTACAAGCAAAACAGAAATCAGCAAAAAAGGCAAAGTGGCCTGGCAAGTTGGGAGAAAACAGGGAAGGTAACAGTCAAGGAATGGATAATGATGAAGGACACACGCTGTAGAGTAGAAGGATTTGATGACTGGGAGAGCTTTGGATTTGACAATTTGAAGTCCTTGGTGAACTGCAAGACAGAATTATACTGTTGAATGGGTGACAAAGAATGGAGATAGCAAATGTAAAATAATGGAAGAAAAGAATTCTTAGTACATTATGGAATACTACTGGCTTGAAATATGCTTCGTATCACAAAGGCTTCTTATTAAATACAGTTGAATTAACAAATACGTTAATGAGTTAAGTTAAAATTATATAGGGGGCAGGGAGGACTTACCTTTTGACGATCTCTTGAGAAAAACAGTGTCTGAATATCCCAAGCCTTCTGATTCAGATCTTCCATTTCCATCTCCATTTTCTTATGTTCCCACTCAATCTGAAATATTCCTTTGTGCACCTCTTTACTTTCCATCATGCTAGCAACTTTCTTTTGTCCTTGAGTCTTTAAAAAAGTATATTCTGATAGTCATATAATACTACATACAGAATATAAAATATATGAAACAAAGCTATTCAGAAATTATTCTTGGCAAAATCTGATCACTACAAAGCAGATGGTTGCTAAACAGAAGGGACTGTAAGATAGATCTGAATGGCAAAGCCACTTTACTTTTTATGCCAGTGATTAGGCAGTAACTCCTTTTGTTATCACCCATCTACCAATCAGTATGCATTGGTACCCATAATCTCTGCCCTGCTTCCTGATGCTATAAATAAAGGACTATGATATAGCCAAGTAAAAGTGAAATCAAGTATGAGGTTGGTTGGTAAGTGGAAAAACAAAAACTGAAAGGGTTAAACATGATAAGTACCTAAGTGTCTTGCATTTCACTTTAAATTGTCTATATGAAGTTCAGGAATATCTTAAAGTTATTCTCTCAGGTTTCTAATAGAGAAACCACTGTGTCACTAAAATCTGTACAAGAGTTCCATGAGATAACATTAATTTGTTATATAACTAAGATGGCAATTTTAACCCCCAGGGTAACCATAGTGATGGAAATGCTAACAATAGAGGAAATTAACTATAGAGCATATGTGAATTCTCTGAACTATCTTGTAGGGAACATGGAGTAGCTTAGGTCTTTTTTGCCTCCTAGCCTTTATGGACACCACTTGCAGCTTTGTTTTCCTCCCAGGTTGCATTACCTGCACGTGATACCATGTTAATGCAAAAAGTGCTTGGGAGTAAGATCATGCGACATGCACACCCATGATTACAGATACCTGGTGGAGAAGCCAGCGAGCTCCAGGTGTGGGCATATATAAATGTGGATACCTGGGCTGAAAAGCAGAGCTAAGGAAGAGAGAAAGAAGAGAAACCAGAAGGAGCCCTTGAAGATCATGGAGACAGTGGAGATGGGGCTGGGAGGCTCAGTTGCTGCCTGATTCCCAGCCTCCCTGCCTACTGGTCTGCCTGTATCTGGTCCCCTACTTCAGCATTCAAGACCTGTCAAATCCACCTAAGTCTCCAACATCAGTTTCCATTTGCCTGAATCAACTGTGAATCTGCCTGGCCTGGGACTGGTCCCCCAATCTTCACAGCTTTCCTATAAGTCTAAAACTATTTTAAAAATTTCATTTACTAAAACTACCATGTTAAGTACAAAAGAAGGACAACATACATGAACACCTGGGAAATTTCAGCAGGGGAGAGAAACTGTAAGATTGAAATAGAAATTCTAGGAATATAAAAATAATATGATGATAAATTAACAATGTCTCTGATGGCTTCATCGTTAGACCAGTCATAGATGAAGAAAGAACCAGTGACCCTAAAGATAGAGCAACTGAAAAAATACCCACTGAAGTGAAAAGAAGAAAAAAGTGGATTAAAAAAAAGACCATAACATCTAAGAGATATGAAACAATAACAAACAATCTAGGATGTGTGTAATTGGACTCCCAGCAGAAAAAGAGAACATGGCAAAAAAAATTTTTTTGAAAAGACAGTTACCAAGAATTTTCCAAAAAATAGCAACAGGGACTCCAGCAATGTGTTGGCAGAGTGAAGATGCCAGATTCATTTCCTCCAGATACTCACAACTAAATTGCAATAAAACAAAGCCAAAAAAGCTGAGGGTATAAAGGATGACCATGGGAACAATTATCAGCTAGGACATGGGTAGGAAACTTTAAGTGAACTTTGGGTATAGAGCTAACAGGGCCACTGTACAACCCATAAGTGAGAGGGGCAACCTGTGCAGATCCCCTGTAGCTGTTGGCTTGGGCACAGGCCAACATGAGAGACTCCAGAGGCCTGATACTGAATAGGATAAATGGTACGGAAGTTGGCACCCACTGGAGGGTACACTATAGAGGTTGGGGTGCAGAGCAAGGTTACTGGTGTTAGCCTGAGGTTCTCAATATAGAACAGCTGGAGCCTGAATTGATAGACAGAACCAGATCAGAGTACCTGGGTCTCCTTGTGGAAGAGGCTTCGACTCAAAGCTGAGACCAAGACACTCAAAACACCTGCCACCCTCACCCAAGGCTAAATACAAAACAAAGGAATGCTTGAGAACCTGACTATCTATGGAACCCAGCAAACTATCTTTCAGCAGTAAAGGTGAATCAAAGACAATTTCAGACAAAGAAAAGATGAGAGAACTCATTAAGGGCTTGCAAGCCACTTAAATTAAAAGAAAAGCTTTATACAAAGTATATGATGTAAGGCAGAAACTTGGATTCACACAAAGACTTTGAAATGGTGAAAATAAAGGGCAACAAAACATTTTTTCAATCACTCTAAAATCTAAAAGATAATTGTCTTTAAAAATGTATTAGCAATATATTGTGGGTTTAGAGCATTTGTAAAATGTATGGTAACATTAATGCAAAATATCCAAATACTCAGAAATTAAATAACACTTCTAAATAACCCATGAGTTACATAAGAAGTTACAATGGAAATTAGAAACTATTTTAAGTGGAAAGAAAATCAACACACAAAGTATAATAATTTGAAGAATGCAGCTAAAATAGTGCTGCTAGCGAAACTTATGTAACATGACATGTTTATATTAGAAAACAAACAAGGCCTGAAATCATTTATCTAAGCTTACTTAAGATTACCGTTAGGTGAGTAGATTGAACCTTACAAAATGATGGTATATTAGAATGAACATTTAACTCCATGTTCCTGAACTTCTTGTATCTTAGGATTACCTGGAAAGCTTTAAAAAAAAAACAATAACCATAGCTAGGGGTGGTGTCAGAACACATCTATAATGTTCTTCAGGTGATTCTAAGGTAAAGTTGGAAACCACAGACTTCATAGAATAAAAATAATTTATCTTAGAAATGGGGAGAATATTTCCCTGATTACAAGTGATGTTGAACATTTTTTCATATGCCTGTTGGCCATTTGCATTTCGTCTTTGGAGATGTTTCTTTTTAGCTCTTCTGCCCATTTTTTGACTGGATTATTTTTTTTTTTTTTTGGAGTCTCATCAACTCTTTGTAGATTTTTGTGATCAGTCCTTTATCATTAGTGTTGTGTGCAAAAATTTTCTCCCAGTCAGTGGGGTTTCTCTTTGTTTTGGTTATTGTCTCTTTTACTGTGCAGAAGCTCTTTATTCTGATGTAGTCCCAGCTGTTTATCTTTGCCTTCACTATCACTGCTTTGGGTGAGATGTCTGTAAAGATGTCTTTGAGGTGCATGTCATGTGGCTGGTGGGAGTGCAAAATGGTCCAACCACTATGGAAAGCTGTGTGGAGATTTCTTGACCTACTAAAGGTAGAGCTTCCATATGATCCAGCAACTCCACTCCTAGGTATTTACCCAAAGGGCACAGAAACATTAATTCAAAAGGACACCTGCACCCCTATGTTTATAGCAGTGCTATTTACAATAGCTTAGCTATGGAACCAACCCAAATGCCCAAAAATAGATGACTGGACCAAGAAGATGTGGTATATATACACAATGGAATATTACTTAGCAATCAAAAAAAGATAAACTCATGCAATTTGCAGCAACATGGATGGAGTTGGAAGGGATCATGCTCAGTGAAATAAGCCAGAAAGAAAAAGAAAAATACCGGATGGTCTCACTCCTAGCAGGAATTTAGAAAACCTAAATAAGGGACCAGGAAAAAGACTAATTGCAATAAAGTAAAAATCAAAATCAACAAGCAACTATAGACCAGAAACACACTACAGTGGGGGGGCAGGGGGAGGAGAAGAGGAATTAGGGCAAGAAAAAGGGGATGGGAATTGTATGGGGAATATAACCAAAATGAAAATGCATACATTATGCAAAAATGAAAAATGATGTAAGAATTACAAAATAATTCATAAAAAAAGAAATGGGGAGAATAATGAAATGTGTTTGGTGTAGCAGGTGATATGTTGAGTTTTTCCCTAAAAAATGATATTTACCCGAATCACAGAATTCAAGTCCTCAATTATGTTCTTGTTGATGAGAATTGCATCAGAATAGTCCAGCAATAACTGGAAATTCTCCACTTCTACTTGTCCTTGTTTAAGGAGAATTTGGATTGTCAAATTCAACTGGAATCTCGAGTTATCTTCCTGTAATCTAAGTTGAAAAAGACTTCAAAGTAAGCAGTTGTAATGTATTTATAGTTCAAATTCCACCTATTTGAGAACATAAAATTCAACTTAATTTTCCTTAAGCTGGAGGAAAATATGCTGGAGATTAACATGGAAAGTATTTCCTCATTGATGAGCTTTCTGGAGGTCTATATGAAACTTCTTGGCATGGAATCACACTCAGGCTGTTCAACAAATTTGGGGTCAGCAGAAATACATTCATAAAGTTTTACTTTATGATTAAGAAAAGATGAATATTATTTTGATTATAAATCAAGGGGGAAAATAGAGATGCTACTAAATAACTGTTCAGGTTCTGATCTGATATACTATATTCTGATACTGCATTAACAGTTTGATTATATGCTACTTATCAAATCTGTCTGTGTAGCTTGTATTCCTACCTATAACCTAGGTCTGAAAATGATGTATAATGATGAATTTCATCAGAGAAATATCAGTGTGACTATAAATATGACCAAGAGTGGAGCTAGGACTTGAAATAGTGCCCCAATCACTCTGAAAAAAAATACAGATTCCTTTAAAGAGAATGCTTATTAGGTGGTTAGGTTTCTATGTGACCATTTTTTGGATTCCTGCTTAATTTTCTGCACAGTTTGCTTGTGTGACTTGAGCCTCAAAGTATTTACTGGCAGAAGCAAATTGTTTGTATTTTTATATGGAAGGAGCACAGTAAAACAGAACTAAGATTTCCCTAAACCTTGTTATTTGTAATAAAAGTAATGGAGCATGTGGATAAATTCCATTCTGAAATAAAGTCTTAAGTAATGAGAGAAGTTAGAAACCCCAGCAAGATCAGTTAATACAGCAAGTGGGCATATTCCCCCAAAGATAACAAAAACCAAGTCCTAGCTGAGATTCTGAATAAATGAACATAAATGAAAGATTCATATTACACGCTGAACTCATGAAACACTTTGTCAATATCCTGCTGCACCTTCTCATCATCCTCAATTCTCTTCTTGAGAAAAATCATCATTTCCATTAAGCCAGCTGCTTTCTGTTTTACCTGAAGAAACCAAACCACACAAATCTGAGAACACACTGAGCTTTAGATATAAAAGCAAACTAATTTTAAGGAAACTTAGAAACATACATCTTTTAACTTTGATACAAAACCTTAAATCGACCTATCTAAGAGGTTAATAAAAATTTAAATCCTTGCCATTATGTAGTATAAAGATATCTAAAACTTGCATGGTACATTCCATGAATAATTTGAAAAATATTTGCTTCTTGCTGAAAATGAAATATGCAAGCTACTGGAATTTTATATTTTAAAATTTTCTCTCATCATCTTAGATAAAATTATAAAATCATAGATTCTTCAACAAAACTATGCCAGCCTGATGTATGTGGCACTGAATTTAGGGAATTTGGGAGCAAGGAGGCAAAGGTGTTCAAGAAGCAACAAGAGGAAGGATTCTCTCTCAATTAAACACACTCAAATCGTTACCTTTTACTACATCACAAAATAATGCAGGAAAACTATAAAATTGGTTCTGGTGAAATATAATTTTAATCTATACAAAAAGAGATGAAGACAAGAGCAGGGCAGAGAGGAGAAGGCAAGTTGTGTCTACAACGGTATGTCCAACAGAAATATAATGGGAGCCACATATGTGGACCACATAATGTATTTTTAATTTTTGTAGTAGCCCCATTGCAAAAAGTGAAATAATTGTATGTGAAACAGGTGAAAATAATTTTACTCAAGGACTTCCCCAAACTTGATATGTTCAAACTGTAGTGAGTATAAAAACATTTTTTAAAATATACCAACTCCTCTAAAACTGTGTGTTTTCCACTTACAGCAAGTCTCAATTAGGTCTGGCCGCATTATTTCAAGTAAACACATGGCTGGTGGTCCCCATTAAGGACAGTGTGGGTCTGCAAGTTCAGGTCTAATCTTTGCCCTCAAAAGCACTGAGCTTAATACTTCATCATTATCATCATATTAATAACTACTACCTTAGCAGGAAAGGCTAAACAATTAGCTCTTCTGGAAGCAGTGACCACCATGAAATGTGTATTTGATATGAGCACACTAAATGAAATAAAATAAATAGGTAAAATGTTATATACTTTGTATTCATTTTCCACTTTCGTTCTTCTGATCATGCAGAAATGCTCCCAGACCAAGGGGTCCAAGCCTTCTGGCATGTTGTGAACACTGTCCAACTCATCCATGGCTCTCATTAACTGGGCAAAGGCTTCCTTATTCAATTTCCCAGATCCTGGTCGCTCTCCAAAAGGATTAATAGAGGTCGTATCTGAGTGCACTTTCGTTTTGTGAATCCTGGTATTACCAATAAAAGTCCATCAACCTTTCAAATTCTCTCTCTCACACACATAACTTCAGTGTTAAACAATAAAACCCACTAGCACAGGTATCACATTGCATGACACTTCCTTTGGCACTTGAGGCTGAGGGGTGGGTTATTCCAAAGAGAACAGCAACACTTTGACCTTCTTCCATACTCTCTCAATCCCCAGGCATGGACTTGGCTGGACTGTAGATGTCCCTAGGTGTTGTCAGCACTGGCAGCTTTATGTGGACTAGGAAGTGTCTCTCCATGTATTTTAAGCAGGTAAGTAAATACTTAACACAAGTGTGGATGCTCCATGGTTCCAGCCCACATATCCTCTCCTGATATGCTCTCTGCATGTGGTAATCTGAAATATGTTCAGATATGTGGCCAGTTGGAGAAGTGCCTCTTTTAACCTACATTCATAGATTAGTTTTGTTTCCCTGGGCTGCAGGTGGGGACAGAAGGGTACAAAAATCTGTGCCAGGCACTCACTATCAAGATGCTTTACATTACACTAAGAAGTGAGAATTGTTACCCTCTTTCTCAGAAGAGGAACATGAGGCTTTGGGAAAAGCTATTAGATCAACCCCTTGGGTCTAATAAGATTTAAAACCAAATCATTGAACAATGAAGACTGTGTTATTTCCACTGCTTTCTCCCAATATATCGGAGATCTTCTTTCTTCACAAGGAAAGGTATGTATTTGGCTGTTGTAACTAAGTCCTTTAAAGATAGGAAAACCAAGACATGAATTCTATATTGAATTCCCCAGGTTGCATGTAACCTGTCAAAGGTGAGAGAATGAGTTTATATTTCGGACACAAATGAGCCTATCCTTTTGTGCCAGACTCCACAAGTTCTAAATTATGTTTGATTGATAATTATGGAAATCTGAATTGATAAAAATTAGGAAATCAGTGAAATACAATTCTTATGCTACTCTCAGTATAAAAATCAGAAATTTTAGGGCTTTTTTGATAATGGTTATTTTCAGCTACTTATACTGGCATTTTAAAAACTTTTGTACATAATCACATGAGATGCTCTGAAGAAACGGGATTTGTGGTCAAATAAGATTGGAAAACATAGCTTACTGTGTTTCTTATGTTTGGAGAGCCAAAGGCCAGAAACAAGTTCTCAGTAAAGAACTTGTCAGTAAAGAAAGCTGTTTGACTTCTTTTAAGAACCCACTATCTCGATACCCAGACTTATAATATCCTGGAAACCTTTTATGTGTAATTCCAGTTTATCACACAAGGAACTCATGTTTGCTGGATACATCTTGGGAAAAACTGTTTCTAAATCTGTATACCATCTATGAATTATGAGGAACTGCTTTCACATATAAAATAGAACCTGCGATAGCACCATGCTTAGCTAGATATACAATTATTTTTAATGAAAAGAAGTCATTATTCTTCATTGTCTACCTTAATATGTGAGAATAATCAAAAAATACTGAGTTATGATCAAGATTCTCAAACATCGTCACTTAGAAGACGTTACATTCAATATTCCCATGATTGGGAGGAGAAAGAGATTAAATTGAATAACACTCCTCTTCATTTACAAACTTCTTTTGCCCCCAGAAACATGATGGCAAAAAAGGAACAAACCTTGGTCGGCGTTTAAAAAGCTTGTAGAGTATTTCCACTTGATGACTGGAAATTTCAGAAAATTCCTTTTTAAAACTTCGATCCAGAACCTAAGGACAAATATATCATTGCCAGGGTTGCAATTTTGTGCAGAAACCTTTCATTTGTTCATAACACTCTTCAAAATACAGAATAGAGTTATATCACTTTGATGTTAAAACTCCATGGAAACTTGGTTTCTTAAGTGAACGTGTTAGAGGGTGACCTCTCACTGATTTATACTGAACAGGAAGCACCTCAGTGAATTAGAAATGTTAACTCCTATAAGAGGTCACAGAAATCATTCAGAACTGAAGTTTCCAGTATTTTCCCATTAATCCTGCAAGGTAATCTTACCCATTCCATTCCATTCTTCTTTATGGCTTGCTTTCTTTCTTTCTTTTTAAAGATTTATTTATTTATACATACAAGAACTGGGGTGAGGCCAGAGGTACTGGGGGGAGGTGGTGAGAGGAGTCATGGAGACAGAGTGGGGAGAAGAACAGGCGGATCTGCTATCCTATTCTTTTCCATTGTAAAACTGCTTGTCATAGCCATTAAGTTGGCTTCATGACCAACAAGTGGGGCCTGCAATCCAAAATTCAAAAAGCCCTGAAGTAAAAGATCTCACTCTTTTTTTTGCACAAGAGAAAGCTTAAATCAGAGTAGTTTACAAAAATGCATTTTACACAGTGACTTTCAGAAATATAAAATGGCATATAATGAAGTTCCTGGGAATTATATTAGGGAATTATAATAGGAGAAAAATATGAGAAAATTGAATTATAGCCCTTTTACCCTTCCCCCAATCTAGGCAGCAGCAACTCAGTTGCACAGTGAGTGTGTAAGACATTGGCCCTCACTTTGTCTTCTGCCAGCAAGTTGTCATGGTGCTCCTTGTAGACATCAAGGTCCTCTCTAGCTTTCTGGACAGCCTCCACAGTCTGGTTCTGTAACATGAGGAATAATAGGTTGGGACTAGAGATTTTACAGGAAACCTCCAAATACTGGGGATGCTGAAAAGACCAAGGAATTTCCTAGTGCAAGATAAATGTCAGTCAAGTATCCATTACAGACAATAACACTAGTAGATGAAAGTAAACTGGTTGGAGACCTTTGAAAGGACAAACATCCAATTACCCATTTCTAAGTATAGCCAGCTCTGTTGAGTGTGTGACTATGGAGGCTGCTGCATTCCTGGCAGGGCAGCAGGAATGATGAAATTGCAGACTTGCGAGTCACAAGGACCTGGTGCTGAGAATGAGGATACAAACAGGAAGGCCAGGCCATATACAATCATAGAACTCTGACCCCCCCTACCTTTGGGGTCAGCTAGCCAGGAAGCTGACCCCAACCTCTGCAGTAACTGGCCCTAGACTGTCAGGACTTGATCAACAACTGTCAGATTTCCTAATTTTTGCCACCATTTCCAACTTAAGGCCAAAAAGCATGCTCTCTAAACCAATCCCAGAGGTTTCCCAGCATCTAATTAGCTTGTCTCCAGCTTCCCCATGCAACAACTTCCAGTCAGCATGAACTTGAAGCTCTTGCTTCATTTCACTATAAAGCTTTCCTAGACCCCTGCTTGCCACAAGTGAGGGTGGATGATTCCCTTACTGCACCAAGTTCTGAATGGTCCTCTGCTTGTTCTCATCTGCCTGGTCTTCGTTTATGTCTACAGTCCGGTTTCTATTGTATTATATACTAGGGTGACTTAGGCATGAGATTGTCTCCTCATCTGTGAAAGATATTTAGTACCCTGCAGGGTTACCTTCAGAAGGTGCTTCGCATCAGCTGTTTAACTGGCTCTTGGCCAAAACTAATGTGTCATATCTGATACTTTCATTCATTCATATGTATCTATGTCCTTTATTAATACTAACAAATGTTGACATCTTTTGACAAGCATTTTGCAATCATTGTATCTTTAGTGAAACATTTCTAATCATGCTCCAAGAATTTTTCAGTCTATGATCACTTTTCACACTATCAGCTAACCCATCACTTACATGTTTAAAGGAACTTAGGGTGCCAAATGGTTCAGAGAGAAAAATATTCCTTAAAGAAGAGATTGCACAAGTAACTATAAACCAGAGACACACTACGGGGGTGGGAGGGAGGGTGGAGAAGGGAGTAGGATCAAAACAAGGGGGGTGGGAATTGTATGGGGACGATAACCAAGATGAAAATGCATACATTGTGCAAAAATGAAAAATGATGTAAAAAATATATAAAATAGGGCCTCCCCGGTGGCGCAGCGGTTGAGCACTGGGTTGCGAAGCTGTCCGCAGCCTCTGTAGCGCCGGTTCAATCCCCGGCTGCTCCCCAGCTGCCGGGCGAGGGTCCCACATGGTGCGCAGAACTCTCCTGCCTCCGGCTGCTCCCCTCAGCAATGTACTTTGGTCCTTCTGCCTGCTCTGCTCCCCGCTCTGGCTTTGCTGAATTCTCTCACCCTCCCGCGCTTCCAACTGTACCCAATGCTTGTATAAACAAACAAACAAACAAATAAATAAATAAATCTTTAAAAAATATATATATATAAAATAAAATTTTTAAAAAAGTAAAAAAAGAAGAGGTTGCAAATACCATAAAAAGTTGTATGCATTGTCTAATATCCCACAGTCAGTGGTCCTTTCAGCCATGAAATTTTATGACCTCACTTTATAAACCATGTGTCATTTGAACATTGCATTGTTCTTTTGAATAAATGATTGCAGATGCAGAATCACATAACTTTATTAACAGATTGGAGGTGGTGCTTTCAGCTGACGCTGGAGCAATGTGAACAGACAGGGAAGGGATGTGGTATGTGGAAGGGAGGCTGAGTCTAGGCATGTGAGCTCTTGTTAAATAAGGAGCACGTCTGTCAGAAAATGCTTGTATTCAGATGTCAGATACTGTACTTACTTTCTCCTCCTGCTTCCTTGAAAGGTAGTTGTTCAGGCATGCTTCTCTGCTGTTTATTTCTTCATCCAACAGTAAAGAAAAAACAAGGTTATTTATTTTCAATTCCTCCTGTAGAAATATTTAAAAAGGGAGGAAAATAATTAATTCATCTATCTGAGAAAGAATTTTCTTTTGTCAATCACAGACTGGGCATTCTTCAAGCAAGTACAAGTTAGAGGAATTCCTTTTCATAAAAAGGGGATATAAAATAAATACTCAGTTACTTTACCTTTTTATCTTTACTTTCCTTACTACGCCAAGTTCTTTATGTTATAAGGTAAAACACATATACAGGAAAAATACAGAGAACAAATACATAGTTTAGAGAGTTGTTACAATGGCAAATACCTTGTAATCAACACCCAGTCCAAGAAGTAGAACTTGCCACTGTGAAAGCCTCTTCTCTGGATCCTCTCATAATCTCCACCCCAGTGATAGTCACTGCCCTGATTTTGTAGTAATCACATCCTTGTTTTTCCTTATAGTTCTGTTACCCAAGTATACATTTCTAGGTTCTACAGTATAACTTGTCCATTTAAAATATTGTCACATTTTTTAGTCTCTTATAAGCCACAGGTTCCCTTGTACCCCCTTGCATTTGGGTTCCACTGTCTGCATCTTATCCTCAGGGCCCTTTGTTCCATGGTTTCCTGAAATCTAGCAGCCAGGTCAGGCCTAATCAGCTAGACCCATGTGTGATTACACAAGAATGATGAGACTCAATCCCTATCCTTGGAAAGCTGATAGTCTAGGGAGCATTTGAAAAGTAATCTCACATAGATTAAAATTTAGTTGCAATGATTAACCAACAATAAAAGAGTATTTAATGGGAAGATCAAACCCAGACTAAGAAACTGGGTTTTTAATCTGGCACATGACAGATAAGTAGATATAAGCCTGGGGGAAATGAGGTTGGCAGAGTATTACAGTCAGAGTTGGGGAGGAGAAGGAATTGGGGAGTTCCAGGTACATGAACAGGGAGGGTGGCAAGAAAGAGGGTGGGTGGCACTGACGAATCTGCAGTGGGAGCCAGGGCCCGCAGGAACGCAAGATTCAGTAGGGTGCTGGTCTTTATGCAAAGAACAATGAGACACCTGGAGGATCCTTAAAATAAAAGTCACTTAAATAAAGCTTTTACTTACCTGGCTAACGACCATCTCTGCCTTCACTCTCTTTTCAAAGAGCTTTTTCAAATGTTCATCAAAATTCTGTGTGCTTTCTTGAATAGAGTTTTGGAGTTTTTTCATTTCTGCTTCTAAGGACTAAAAGGAAGTCAATAGCAGAGTTAGCGTGCAGGAACATCAAATGTGCCTGGGAGGTGTGTTTGCATTTCACCACAGGGAGGTGCAGGTAGAGGGCATGTCTCCTGAAGTTCTGGGTCCTCTGCCCTCTTCAGTTGGAGATGTTCCACCTGGATCTGTTTAATGTACTGTCTGAAATTTTTATCAAAAAAAGATTACATGGGGGAAGGTTAAAAAGAAAACTGATCATGGCTAATGATGCAGGTAGAATTAGGCCCGGAAAATAAATCTCAGAAATCTCCCCAGGAAATTCTGATTATAAAGGACCTTCGGCATACAATCTAGTCCTTAAAAAAATCTTGATTTTTTTTTTTTAAAGCTGTGAATACATCTTCATTGAATTTTTTAGTTTCTAGCTTTTTATTTTTAAATGAACCCAAATTGATCAGGTCCCACCTGTAATGGGGGCCAGCTGGCCTCTGCTGCCCCCTGATGTGATCCACTGAGGACGCAGCAAGCCTATGACTGCTGAATTATTGCCAATATTTTCCCTTAGTCTAATTATGAGCAAACAATCAAAGCCAAGTTGAGCCATATTCCACAAAACAGTTGGCCTCCGTGTCAGGGAACGCAGCACACAAAGCTTCTCGATTAGAGGAGAGTAAAAGGACATGAAAACTAAGTGCAGTTGATTAGATTACGGATTAACAACAACAAAGCTATGGATTACTTTAGACAACAGGGAAGTTTGAATATGGATTGTATATTAGGGAATTGTATTATGTTAGCATTACACTTCTTGTAACTTTATTACAGTCATGTGGAAGAATGTCTTTGTTCTTAGGAGATTTATGCTATTGTCTTGGGGACTCTCACAATGTCTGTAATGTATCATCGACAACTTGAGAAAAAGAATAAATATGGCAATATGAAAAACTGGTGAATCTGGGTGCACAGGCATTTTAGGGACATGGATGTACTCTATGAGACATTTCTATGTGTTTGAATAATTCTAAAATAGAAATTGGTGAAAAAAAATCATCCACTTCAAAGAAGTAGATGGAAGTATAAAATGAAATGAGATTTGCCCTGAATTGATAATTGTTGCAACTGGATGAGGGGTAATTGTACTATTTTCTCTGTTTCATATATTTGACATTTTCCATACACAAAGGTTTTTAAAAACAGATTGAGGAGAGGGAAATTGGTGACCATGAACAGAGAAGTTTTGAGAAGATATTAAACAGTGGATTGAGAGGAAAGTGGCTCAAAGGAGTATTTTTTCTTTTAGATTTTTTATTCTTAATGAATTCAGTTGAATCCACAAGTCACAAGAACATAGAAAGAGCTAAAGATCCTTTTTGAGAAAGTTCTTTTTTCTTTTTCTTTGTATAAAATGAGAGATGGACAAGATGCCTAAGATGACAGCAGGTGCCTATGCTGATGGGGACAATCCAGTAAGTAGAGAGGGAAACAGATCCTACCGGGAAAAGGAGCAGACTGCTGGGTGAGGGGGAATGGGGTGAAGTGGAGGTCCAGGCCATCTTACCCATAAGAAACAGAAAGGCAGGAAACTGTATGGATTCAGGGCAGTAGATGTGGTGGAAAAGAGTAAGGAAAGTCTCTTCTAACTGTGTCTTTTCTCCCAGTGAGATAGAAAATAAGGCCAGCGTGATTTGAGGAGGTCAGGTGTCGGGACTCTGAGTACGGAGGAAAACGTCTGATGTGATCTTGCTCCCCAAAATGTGGTTCTCAAAGCAGCAGCTGCTGCACCATCTGGCTGCTTGTTAGAAATGGGGAATCTGGGTCTTTCCACTTCTTCAGAATGAGAGAATGTGAATCTGCTTTTTTAACAAGATCTCCCAGGTGCTATGGACTGGGCAAGAGGGAAAATAGCAGTGCTGAGTACCTCTATACACCCAACAAAGATTACAGCCACTAATTTAAATTGAAACCAGTTAGTATTTCTTTTCCCACTGCCTAGTGCAAAGTTGGGATTTTACCAGGTAGAGTATCAAGGAGCAGGGAGGTGAGGGTGTTAAGTGTGAAATATTTTACAGGGCAAGAGCATGGGGTAAATGGCACCACTTTAGGCATTTATACTCGCTAACTCCTTCACATCTTTACTGCTCTCAAGGCTGCTCATTTTGGCTTCTAAACAAGTACTGTTTAGGGTAAAATGCAAAGGCACTATTAGGGGACTACGGTGAATAAAAACAGGTTTATAGGTTAGCAGTAGATTCAAAGAAATTATTCATAAGCTGTAGCCAATCTAAAGCTGACAAACCTACTTGTATGGAAGGATGGTATATTTTATTTCTTTGCAGAAGAATAACATTTATTTGGTTGTATACCATCGTCTTTTGTGTCTACTATAATTGTAAGTAATTTTAATGTGGGAATGTTTCTTTACCATGAAAGGAGATAAAAGTGGCAGAACTGCATTACAAAAATCTCAGATTAGAATTGTAAATCAAGTGCTGTGTTGATATGTCATTCTCGAAACCTCTCTTTGAGATTGAGAACAAATCAAGCAAAAATATCACTGAGCTCTGATCAGCATAGATACTATAGAGCATGCACTGAGCATACCATAATAGGTGTTCCTTCAACATTTGAAGAATGTATGGAGAGCCAAATGAATTACAACAATGTGGGAAATGTGGAAATCAAAAAGAACTTAAAAATTTTGCTATAGATTCTTTAATTGTAAATTATCCTATTGTTTAAGTTAACCTCTCTCCACTTCCCTGAATTCTCTTGAGAATTTAAGCTCAAATACAATCTTCAAGCTACTAAAAACACTGAGAAAATGGGGGGCAGTAATTTGAAGAGCTGTCGAAACAAAACCCTTAATGTGGTAGCTTAAATTAATTCTTTGCTCCTCTGACCTTTCTGTATTTATCTCTTTCTTCATTTAACTCCTTGACTTTCTTCTCATACTCTTTGAATTGTTTCCTTTCCTCTTCAGTCCACAACGCATCCGGTTTTGCCATGAAAGCAGGTTGAGGAATCACCTGAAGACATAAAGGAAGACATGTACTTTTAGCTCGAAGATAGACAGTCACACATTAACAACTCTGAGTTACCATTTCAGTTAAAAAATAAGAATAAGAGCACTTTAAAAGGATATCGTTTTTCACATTAGCATGATGATGTCTTTGACCAAAGGATATGAAAAAGTGTCACAGCTGTTTTTCTGTGGCGTAAGCAATAGTGAACAGTTTGGGATATACCCAGACCCACAGGTGATAGGTTCGTATGTGTGAGTTGATATCTTCATAGGCAGAACAGTGCCTGAAGTGACCTGCATGTCAGGTTTTAAAGGCAGTGCTTTCTGGAGAATTGCAGGTGCATCACCATTCCTGCTTTCTATAGACACCAAAACCACTGTGGTTGCTTGTTTCTGTTCATTTGTTTGCTTTTGGTCAGAATGGAAGACAAGCTTGAGGTTTCAGATTTCTTTGTGTTCCTGACGGGGTATGGTTATAAGGCTCTGGGATATAATATTTGTTGCTATAGACTTTCTAAAACAAGGGTCACATAACAGAAATGGTAAAATTAAGTAGCGCTGTCCACCCCATTCTACCTTCTAAAAGGATGTTCAGAAATCTCACCATTCTTAAAATGTCTTCCTTCTTGACTTCCAGTACTCCTCCCATCATGTCCATCAGGGCTCGATATCTTGTGTCATTTTTCTGGGAAAGAGCAGGGCCAGAGAGGGCAGCTGAGACAGAGATCTGACACTCCAGTAGCACCAGGGCCAGCCTCCCACCCAGTGTTACAGTGACTGCATTTCAGACTGGGGGTGGGGGCAGGGGCATGAAGGGGGGGAGGAGAAGGTGGTCCCTGATTTCTGGGGGACCCCTGAGCATGACAAATGCCTTGATGTGTTTCTGTAGTAAACTACAAGTGCATGACTACTAGGTCAAATTAGGGACAAGTATTCCTAAAGGAAAGAGGGTACTGTTTGAGCAAAACTGCATACCTGACTCAACCTTTGCTTTGTTTCATGAGATACAGCCAGTCCTTTTTTGTCTTTTTGCCAAGAATTTACATGCCTGCGAGCTGTTATCTGAAAAAGAAAGTGTAGTTTCCTGCTGTTACTCTTAATAAAATTCAAACCAACTTTTATTCTAGGTATTATTAAGGGGACCTAAAGGACAATCAAGATTTTGCAACCAATTTCCTATCTTGGGATGAAGATGAGATCTAAAATTAGAGGGTTGGAAAAACAGATCTTTACTTTCTGATTAAGTCTAAAAACCCATCTCCATCGCTAGAGATTATATAATGGGGGGGCTGATTTAAGTAGCAGATGGGGGGAGGTTGGTTTCAAAGAAGTATCATCTACGCCAAATCCTGCAGGACAGAGGTTCTGAGAGGTTAATAACTGAGACAGTCAAGGAATTATGAGAATGCATGGGTGGCAGAAAAGAGCAAGGTAGCGAGGGGCAGGTGGAGAGGAAGGGACTCAGGGTGGGCACTCGGAAATGATCTTGAGAGTGCTGTCCAAAGTGAAATGAGCAAACACTGCAGGGGTTTAAGCAGGGGAAGGACACAGTAAGTTTGGTTTATAATAAAATCACTCTCTTGAATATAGAAGGGATTTGAGTAGGAGAAGCAGCAAAGCTGGCGAAGTTAATCATGCACATACTGCCCAGAGTAGGACCTTGGTGAGAGCAGCAGAATGAGGTCCTGCTGTCACTGCTCCAGAGTCTTAGGTTACCTGGCAAGAGTCCAGGTCAAGGGAAAAAGGACTCCCTAAACACATGCAGTAGAGTGGAGAGTTGAGAAGGATATGCTCTGAAGCATGATGGATTGAGGGTCAAATCCTAACTGTTTTGTAAGTAGCTTTGTAACTGTGATCAAGCTACTTAACCTCTCTGTGCCTCAGTTCCCTCATCTATAAAATGGAGGCAATACTGATAACCACCTTATAAGATCTTATAATGATAAATTAGTCTCAATCTCTTTAGGGCACTCAGTTTTTCAGAGGGACCGTGTGTTTGCTATTACTTCTAAGCAATGCTGTTATCTTTTGCTCCCAAACAATCATATTGGCTTCATGTGAGCAAATGGTTTTGAGTGTTCTCTCACATTGTTTATTTTTTAGAAGTGAAATATGGTGATATTTTAATTGTTTTCTTTAAGCATTTTTGTAAACAATTGCCTCTGTGCCAAACACCTTTTAAGAAGTCCTCCTTCTTCTGGGATCCAGACCACTCTGGTGACCTAGACAATGACCTGGCACTCACAGTGCGACCTGACCTTTCTGGGTATAGACACTGGGCCTGGACCAGGTCAGGGAGCCCCTCCCCTCACAAGTCTGGAATTGACAGCAAGAGATTCAAGGTTAAACCTCCTGCTTTCTTGAGTGTGAGAGATATAAAAAGGAAATTGCGAGAAGAAGCCAAAAAGCAGGGAGAAAAAAGCTAACAAATAAAGAGCACTTTTAGACTTCCCACAAAGTTCTGGGATTTGAATCCTGTTTGCTTTTAGGATTATTGTCTCCATCTTCCCTGGACTTCATGGGATTCAGAGAAGAAATCCTCATTAGTGCTGAGGCTATACCAACTTATATAAGTAATATAACCAAGAATTCTACCTAAAACTGTTGCTTACAGTACTGTAAACAAGAAGATGAGTAAATAAGAGCTTGGGAAAACATTAAGAGAGAGAAGGGGCTGGGTAATGCCATTAGTCAGTACCTCACTATTTTCTACAACAAGGATTCTCTCTGGCTTTTCAAAATCATCAAATTCTGGTTGCCAGATTGATTCTTCCAATTCCAGATCTACAATTATTTCTTGAAGTCTTACATTTTTTTCCTTCACACGCACAATTTCAAACTCTTTTTGTTTATATGCAGCATTGAACTCATTGTTGAAAGCAGTTTTTACCTTGTAAATGATATCCTGAAATTCAAAAATGTTACTGAAAACACATCACATATTATATCTGTCCTGGCAGCACAATCCCTGTTTTACTTTGCCTCCAAAATCATTTTTTTTTTTTTTAGAACTGCAAGTTGTTTTTTTTTTTTTTAATTAATTTATTTATACAAGCATTGGGTACAGTCAGAAGCGCGGGAGGGTGAGAGAATTCACCAGAGCCAGAGCAGGGAGCAGAGCAGGCAGAAGGACCGAAGTACATTGCTGAGGGGAGCAGCGGGTGGCAGGAGAGGGCTGCACGCCATGTGGGATCCTCCTCTGGTGATTTGGGAGCAGCCGGGGATCGAACCAGCGCTGCAGAGGCTGCTGGCAGCTTCACAACCCAGAGCTCAACCGCTGCGCCTCCGGGAAGGCCCTCCAAAATCATTTCGTAAATTATTAATAAATTGATCTTTCTAAAGTATCCTATGTTAAGTCACTTCTTGATTCAGTCACTTACAGTGGCATCCAACCATTGGCAGGATTAAGGCAACAGCATAAAGTTATCTCACAACTTACTATCAGAAATAGAAGTGGCAACCTTATGTGCTGTATGTTGAAAAATGCTAGAAGAAGAGGTGATGGATTACTTGGAAGCTCTTGGGGCTAGCTTTCTACTTTTGTGTATGTTCTAAAAAAATCTATCATAAAATGTTTAAAAATCAAGATGCCATATTTAAGTTGGGGACTATCTATTCTTTGGACCCTTGTCTGGGGGGATGTGGTATGGAAGAGATGGCCTATAGAGGTTGGAGGATCTCTCAGAGAATCGTAGCCACACACTATAGTCTACTTTATATGTACAGGTCACCCTCGGCAGAAAGGGAACCCGAACTGGCCAGCTGGGTCAGACCTCATTAAGGTGTAGGCAGGTTCAACTAGACTGCCCCCATCTCTGCTGATAAGAACAATGGGTCATGTCAAAGTAGCCTTAATTGTCTCATCAGAGTTCAATTAAAGTTGAAACCATAAACTGCTACACCAGAATTTGTCCTGGGTTGAAATGTACCTTTTTACTGGAAAATGCTTATTAAGCAATGGGACAGTGAGACCCCAAGGGCATGGGTAAGCAGTAGCTGAGTAACAAAAGAGATAACTAAATGGTTTTGAGTATAAATGCACAGAAATTTCACCAGGAGAGAAAAAGATATGAAGAGAGGGCAGAGTAACATGGCAGGTTAGAACTGCAGTCACAGATGTGGCTGAAGAGCTTTCAGGAACAGGAATGGCCAACATTACCTTGCAAGTCACCTGCACTGGTGCATTCTCAGCCATTGCATCTTACTAGGCATGTATGAACGTGTTCTGAGACTAACTTGTTTGTTTGGAAAGGAAAGAGCAGGAGCTTACAGGCTGAGGGATACTGTGACTTATCCTTAAGGCCCATATTTTAGAGAGTAAATTGTATTTCCCAGGTTAAGGGGATAGATAAGCAATACATCGTGATCTTGCAAGGAGGTACTAATTGATATATGGGTTACTGAGAAGATGGCCTTTAAGGATTTCTTAGATTTGACTTAAGATCTAAGTTGAATAATGATTTGTGGTATCATCCAGTATAGGTTTCAGATAACTGGGTTTTACAGAACCCAGTCCAAATAGATGAAAATAACTCTATATATAACCTCTGTTTTAAGAACATAGATGCCAGTCATCTGTATATTTCTTTATATACTTAAAAGACAAGGCATCATTAGATTTCAATTTGAGCCTTTGTAAGACATCTCAGGAAGCGTTTTAGAGATTTTCAAGGATAAAGAAGAAATCTACTCACTTTCAGCAATATTATTTGGTTGATTTTCTCCTCTCTTGAATGAAGTTCCAATTGGCTTGTTAATAAAGAAACATCTACTCCAAAGTCAGTACTCAGACTGCCAAGCAGGTAATTTGGCAAGTTGGTGTCTTTTATAACCACATTTTCTTCTTCCTCTTCATCCTCCTCCTCATGATGTGGCTTACTCAAGCCAGGTGAAGACTGAATTTCTATAATTTCCTTCCGGAGCTAAATACAGAAAAATATGTCATGGAGGTTATACAGTAATAATAATTCTTTAAAGGGAAATTTTGTGACAATTTTAATTATTTCAAGTATGATTTTAAGATGTTAAACTAGTTTTGCCAGCAACTGAATTCAAAGTGATGGGTGGATCCTGAAACTTCTGTACAAGTGATTAAAGCTTTGGAAACTGATAAACTCTAGATAAATCCAAAGAGTAAAACTTGTTCTTGGTAGTATGTGAGAGTTATGCTTTTTCTATCAGGATGACTTGTACATATTTTGAGTCTTTCTTAGCACTGAAACATTAAACAATATACCTTTTCATATTTTACAAAAGGACTTATTCACATAGGTTAAGAAGAAGTTAGTATGCCTTATTTTATGTTTCAGAAAGAATGGATGCAAAGTTCTGGTCAAACAAAACTACCCCAAAGGGTCAGTGTTTTTCAGTAGTTTGTCAAAGATTATTGCTAAAAACAAGAGCTGGAACTATTTTAAGAAAACCATAATTCCACCAAAACAGGGTCTACTTTATCCTTGGTCAACTATCTTAAAGTACAATCCCTAGTGCTAAGTTAAAAGAATGTTATGGATAAAGATAACTTCTGACTAGGGCTGTAACAAACTCCAAAGTTCATTTTAAAAATTTACCTTAATATTTGAGGGCTATATAGTGTTGTATAAAATATAGCCTTAACTTTTTGTATAGATATATTCTATAAAGTAATAAGGAATGAAAATATAAAATAACAATATCTAAACTTATCTTAAATTGTATCCCAATTCAAATCTCCATGCTGACACTACATGCAATAAAACACATGACTTATATTAATACAAACTATTTAAAATTGTACTTTAAGGCACTCTGTTTCAATCTTCTTTTGCTGCAAAACTCTCTTTAATTCTTTCAACTCTTCGTTGGAACGTTCTTTCATTGGGAAGTTCTCAACCACACAGGGGATATGAAAGCACTTGAAAAAAAAGCAAGATGAAATAAGTACATTTTTAGTGCAATTGTGTGTATCTGGGGTGCAGTGGAAGATGGTTTCCCTAATTAAAATTAATTCATAGGTTACATGCATGAGTGGAATTGACAATGGAAACTTTCCTTAAAATAAAACAATGTATGCTATTAGTATTGGTGTAAATTTTGTGTAGCAATATTATGCAAAGGATGTCCTTGTAAAGGCTTTTTATTTTCCTAGAGCATTGGTATTCAACTAGGATTGATTTTGCCCACCCTGCTCCCTCCACCCCCGGCCCCAGAGCTATTTGCTAAAATCTAAAGACATCTTTAACTTTCAGTAAAGGGAGTATGGGATGTTACTGGTGACTAGTAGATAGAGGATAAGAATGTTGCTAAATTTTCTATAATACATAAAACAGACCCCACAACAAAGAATTATCCAGCCCCAAATGTGCTGCTCTTGAGAAATTCTGTTCTTGAGCAAACTTCAATTTCATAAATGAGGTGTGACCATATACAGTACTTCATTACCCATGTGTGGGACACACTTGAAAGTGAAAAGGGTTCTAGTAATAGTTACTCTAGGACCACAGGCATAAACTGGGACTTTTGGTTGCTGAAAAAAAGAAATAGTATTAAGAGGAATCTTAATGGAAAACAGCCTTTTAGCAACCATCAAGGCAGACACAATGTTATGTCTCACTTTCAGTGGGTGTGGAATGTGAGTGAGCAGCCTTTTGAAACAGACATATTAAGACCCGGAGGCAGGGATTGTCACAAAGGAAAGCAGGAAAGAGGTGCTCAGAAAAATCTGAAGAGAAAAAATCAGAACAGAAATAAATGAAATAGAAACTAAAAAAAAAAAAAAAAATCCAAAAGATGAATGAAACCAAAAGTTGGTTATTTGAAAGAATAAATAAAATAGACAAACCCCCAGCCAGGCTCACAAAGGAAAAACGGGAGAAAGCAAAAGTAAACAGGATCACAAATGAAAAAGGAGAAATCACAACAGGCACAACAAAATCAAAAGAATAATCAGAAACTACTATGAACAGTTATATGCAAATAAACTCAACAATCTAGAAGAGATGGACAAATTCTTACAACTCTACAATCACCCAAAGCTAGATAAAGAAGAAATAGAACACCTAAACAGACCAATTACAAGCAGTGAAATTGAAATGGTAATTAAAACCCTCCCCCAAAACAAAAGCCCAGGACCAGATGGATTTACAAATGAATTCTACCAAACATTCAGAAACTAATTAGTGCCTATCCTTCATAAACTCTTTCAAAAAATTGAGAATGAAGGGATAATACCAAACATGTTCTATGAAGCCAGCATTACACTAATACCAAAACCATACAAGGACAACACGAAAAAAGAAAACTACAGGCCAATCTCTCTAATGAACACTGATGTAAAAATCCTCAGTAAAATTTTAGCAATCAGAATTCAACAATGTATTCATAAGATAAGTCACCACAACCAAGAAGGATTTATTCCAGGGACACAAGGATGGTTCAACATCCGAAAATCAATCAACACAATCCAACACATCAACAAAAAGAAATATAAAAACCATCTGATAATATCAGTAGATGCTGAGAAAACTTTTGACAAAATACAGCACCCATTTATGATAAAGGCCCTTGAAATTCTCAGGATACAAGGAACATACCTTAATATCATAAATGCCATATATGACAAGCCCATAGCTAATATATTATTCTCAATTGTGAAAAGCTGAAAGCATTTCCATTAAGATCTCAAATAAGACAAGGATGTCCACTCTCACCACTGCTTTTCAATATATACTGGAAGTCCTAGCCAGAGCAATAAGACTAGAGAATGATATACAAGGTATCCAAATAGGGAAGGAAGAAGTCACTATTTGCAGATGATATGATATTATACATAGAGAACCCCAAAACTCCACAGAAAAACTAATTAAACTTATCAGTTTAGTAAAGTAGGATACAAAATCAACACACAAAAATCAGTAGCCTTTCTATATACAAACAATGAATCTGAAGAAGAAGAAATCAAGAAAACCATCTCTTTTCTTATTGAAACAAAAAAAAAAATCAAATACTTGGGAATAAACCTAACAAAAGAGGTAAAGGACCTATACAAAGAAAACTATAAAACACTGTTAAAAGAAATAGAAGAAGACACAAAGAAATGGAAAGACATCCCCTGCTCATGGATTGGAAGAATTAACATTATCAAAATGCCCATCTTACCAAAAGCAATTTACAAATTCAATGCTATTCCAATAAAAATTTCAATGACATTCTTCAAAGATATAGAACAAATATTGATGAAATTCATATGGAGCCATCAAAAACCCCAAATAGCCAAAGCTCTCCTGAAAAAAAAAAAAAGGAAATAGAGGCATCACACTCCCAGATTTCAAACTATACTACAAAGCCATGATAATCAAAACTGCATTGTACTGGAACAAGAACAGACACAGGGACCCATGGAACTGAATAGAAAATCCAGAAATAAACCCACAGATTTATGGTCAACTAATCTTTGACAAAGGAGCAAAGAATATGCAATGGAGAAAAGAAAGTTTGTTCAATAAATAGTGCTGGGAAAACTGGGTTGCTGCATGCAAAAGAATGAACCTTGACTACTACCTCACACCATGCACAAAAACCAAATCAAAATGGATTAAAGAACTAGACATAAGACCTGAAACCATAAAATATATAGAAGGAAATAAAGGTGAAACACTACATGACATGTACCTCAGTAACATCTTTAAAGACTTGTCACCCAAAGCAGTGATAGCATAGGCAAAGATAAACAACTGGGACTACATAAAATTAAAGAGCTTTTTGTACAGCAAAGGAGACAATAACCAAAACAAAGAGAAACCCCACTGACTGGGAGACAATTTTTGCACACAACACTAATGATAAAGGACTGATCACAAAAATCTACAAAGAGCTGATGAGACTCAACAAAAACAAAGAAAATAATCAAGTCAAAAAATGGGCAGAAGAGCTAAAAAGGAACTTCTCCAAAGAGGAAATGCAAATGGCCAACAGGCATATGAAAAAATGTTCAACATCACTTGTAATCAGGGAAATGCAAATCAAAACTGCAATGAGATACCATCTTACACCACTGAGAATGGCACATATTAAAAAAACCAGCAACAATAAATGTTGGCAAGGATGTTGAGAAAAAGGAACTCTCCTGCACTGCTGGTGGGAGTGCAAACTGGTCCAACCACTATGGAAAGCTGTGTGAAGATTCCTCAACCTGCTAAAGATGGAGCTTCCCCAGCAATTCCACTCCCAGGTATTTACCTAGAGGACACAGAATCATTAATTCAAAAGGGCACCTGCACCACTATGTTTATCGCAGCATTGTTTACAATAGCTAAGCTATGGAAACAACCCAAATGCCCAAAAATAGATGACTGGATCAAGAAGATGTGGTACATATACACAATGGAATATTACTCAGCAATCAAAAAAGATAAACTCATGCAATTTGCAGCAACATGGATAGAGCTGGAAGGGATCATGCTCAGCAAAATAAGCCAGAAAGAAAAAGAAAAATACCAGATGGTGTCACTCATAGCAGGAATTTAGAAAACCTAAATAAGGGACCGGGAAAAAGACTAATTATAATAAAGTACAATCAAAATCAACAAGCAACTATAAACCAGAGACACACAGGGTGGGGGGGATTTGGGGGGAGGAGGGTTTAGGGTCAAAATAAGGAGGATGGGAATTGTATGGGGACTATAACCAAGATGAAAATGCATGCATTGTGCAAAACTGAAAAATGATGTAAAAAATATATAAAATTAAAAAAAAATAAAATATTGGTGTTTAAAAAAAGATTTGAATACTGTTATGATAAAAAATAAACCAATAATTGGATTAAAATAATGGCAGCAAAAAGATTAATAAATCTTTTTTGAATAAAAAACAGTCTAAAGAGAAGCTGGCTTGGAAGCTCACAGGCACTGAGCAAAGAAGGATGAGACAAGTAACACTTATAGGTGTGATTCAGCGCAGGAGTGGGCAGGGCAAGCATGCAGTGCCTTTCTGTGAAAAGATTTCCTTTAAATTTCTTACAATTTTTCTGCCACGAGAATTTAAACGAAATTCTTCATTGACCAAGGTGCTGTAGTTTTGTACCTGGGGTTGTATCTGTTACCTTAAGAGTTCGACCTTTTACAGCCATTGAATACCAACATTCTTCTTTGATAAGTTCAGTTAAATATCTCTTGGCTAGGTTATGCATCTCTGCATCCTTTTTTATCTAAGAACATAAATAAGGAAAAAGATCAAAATGAAAATGGGATCTGTTAAAAAATCTCAATTGTAAATTCACTACAACCATCATTGGCTCACATTTAGTGACGGTTTGATAGTCCCCAAAGCACAGAGCTGCCCCCCCATGAGAAACACTGCAGGAATACTTCCTGTCCTTGAGAATGGTTCCTGGAGTTTAGTCAAGAGGCTTGGGATACCCTTCCTTGAGGATCCCAACACAAACACCTTAAGGGTAGGCAGATCCTACACGTGAGCCAAGTGGGTATGAGAATGGGTGCATGGTGTTGGTGGGCTGGAGAGTTAAAGCACATATATCACAGATCCAGCTAGTGGATGCAAGATAGGGAAGCAAACCCCCTGTATCAAATCTTCCTCTTTTATTAGAGAAGTTTAAAAAGTTTATGAAGCTACCAGGTATCTAAATGAGGGCTTAATTTTCGTCTATGCATATTTGAAATTCTAGTTTGTAACCTGTGCATTGGGGTCTATATTTCACTTAATTCTTTTTACTTATATCCACCAAGAAGTGAAAGCTCCACTATTCCTGGGGGTCACATAAGTTACCTTTTCCCATTTAGAAACATGTATGTTATTGCAATTAGTTTTAGCTGCTTAAATAATCCAATTACTTAATAGGTAGTGATTAAGCATTCTGATTTTAACAGTGTGCCAAAGAGTTAGGATAAATCAAGACCCAACAAACTTTAATCCTTAAGATCCTCTTCTGAAATATTTTGCATTTCATTTTGTTGCCATAATTGTTAGCAAACTATGAAAATATCCCCTAGACTTGAAAATTTCTTGTTTATCTTTTTTCATTTCAGTTAATTTATTTATTGACTGAGCAATGGCTTTAGTTTGTGTTTTATTACTTTTTTACATTTATACATTGAGTTTAAGGCTAATCCAATTTTACATTACTTTTTTTAAACTGCTGTTTTGACATATCAATTGTCAGAACCTGTCCGATTCCCAGTCTATCTTGCCCTCCCCCCTCCACTGCTGAGGCCATATGATCAATCTCTCCAGAGGACAGAAAGACATACAACTGAAAAGGAGAAAATATTTGTACACCATACATCTGACAAAGGGCTGATATCAAAGATATATAAAGAACTCATACAACTCAACAAAAGAAAACAACCCAAACATAAAATGGGCAAAAGAGTTAAATAGCCACCACTCCAAAGAAGACCTACAAAAGGCCAACAGTCACATGAAACATGCTCAAGATCACTTATCATCAAGGAAATGCAAATCAGAAACACAATGAGATACTCCCTGTGAGAATGGTCCATTATCAAAAAGACCAGAAACAGGTATTATTAAGGATGTAGAGCAAAAGGAACCCTCATGTACTGTTGGCGGAAATGTGGACTGACCCATGGAAAACAGTGTGGAAAATTCTCCAAATATTAAAAATAGATCCAATATTAAAAATAGATAAACCATCAATTCTACTTCTAGGTATCATCTACTCTAATTTAATTCAAAAGGGCACCTGCACCCCTATGTTTATTGCAGCACTATTTACAATAGCTAAGCTATGGAAACAACCCAAATGCCCAAAAATAGATGACTGGATCAAGAAGATGTGGTACATATACCATGGAATATTAACTCAGCAATCAAAAATGATAAACTCATGCAATTTGCAGCAACATGGATGGAGCTGGAAGGGATCATGCTCAGCGAAATAAGCCAAAAAGAAAAAGAAAAATACCGGATGGTCTCACTCATAGCAGGAATTTAGAAAACCTAAATAAGGGACCAGGAAAAAGACTAATTATAATAAAGTAAAAATCAAAATCAACAAGCAACTATAAACCAGAGACACACTATGGTGGGGAGGGAAAGAGGGATTAGGGTCAAAATAAGGGGGGTGGGGGTGGGAATTGTACGGGGAATATAACCAAGATGAAAATGCATACATTGTGCAAAAATGAAAAATGATGTAAAAATATATAAAATAAAATATATAATAAAGAAGAAGAAAGGGCTTACTAAAGTGTCCAAAGTTGTCCTGCGGTGGCTAGGGGGTTTCTAAAAATGTTCAAACATAGGTTAGAAGATGGTTGGCATGTCATGGAGGAGAGATGAACATTTTCTTCCCTCCTAATCCCCCACTTCAGTAATCTCTGATTCAGTTCAGTATATACACACTAAGTTTGCTTTCTTCATGTTCTGTTGGTAAGGTTTTTGTTTTATTTGCATTATGTTGGAAATGTTTTTATCCTTTTATCATAACTTTATGGTGCATAAATTATATTTCCATACCTTTGCTATTTCTTCCTCACTTTTCTCATGAAGCCTTTGTATTTCTTCAAGATCCAAACCAAATTCCTGTGGCTCTAATTTTGCAATATCATCCAGTGTCTCATTTTCTTCCATCATCCTCAGAACCTAATTTTTAAAATAGGACATGAGAGTGACAAGTAAAGAATGAAACTTTAAAGAGGTGGTTGATTTTCCAGGTCTCTTTTGACAGCCATCAATAAAAAATAGATGTTCTTTATATCTAAATGTAACTGAATAAAGAATTAGGTTATGGGCTTATTATGGTTAAGTTTTAAGATTTGATCCATAAATTCTCATTCATCTAAAACCAAAAAAATGTGTTCAATACTTAATCACTTGAGTGATTAGGCAATTATTGATATTTAGGTGTGTTGATGGCATTGTTATGTGTTTTAAGAGTTCTTATCTTTTAGAGATACATACTGAAGCAATGAAAGATGAAATTATATGATATCTGGGATTTACTTCAAAATAATGGGAGGGGATGGGAGTAAAGGTATAGATAAAACTGTACCCTGTTAAAGTGCCTGAGAAAATTGAGCATATAGGTAGAGAGAAATAGTGGCTCTAGATCCTCATGCTCCATTGAACAACATAAAGTTCAAATAGTAATTTTAAAAAGAGAGCCAAATGTATTAGTATATCAAATCACTATACTTACAGTTTTAACAAGTGTTTTGATTCCTCTTTTTATCTCTTTCCTTTTACTGGAAAACTTTTCAATCTCTTTTTTGATGGCCTAAATAGAACACGAATATTACTTAAAAGAACAAGAGAAATGAGATGATAATTCATAGATAGATATACATACATCTTTAGTTACATATGTATGTATGTACATACATAAAACATAGAACTTTTCTGGAATCAAAAATAAACAAACTTCAAAGATTAATAACATGAAGTATACATGAATTAACAGCACTGAAACACCTTGGTTATGTCTAACTACTACTATGTAAAGTGGCCACTGAAGCAGCTTGGGACTTATGTCATTATAAGACCAATGCAAAGAAAATAATTTAGTGAAAAAGTAGAGAACAGTTGACCAAGGAAAACCAATGTGGCTCTCTTATTTGCAACTTGAATGAGACTAGAAAAAGAGGCTAAACCCAGACATGTGTTGCCACCTAAGTCACCTTCCTGCATATCTGAAGCCACAATGTGCATTCTGTTCCTGGTCCACCTTTGTACTTCAAGCCAACTTTGCAGCATCCCCCCAACTTACTCAAACAGGAGACATCATAGCTCATTCTTTGCTTTGATTTATTGGATATTAATGTTGGGTGTCATATTAGCCTAAGTATAGTCCATATTATTATTGAAGTAACAGTGGTTTATAATAGCTTGTATATGATTTTAGGGGAATAGGTGATAGATGTTATATCACCATACCACACCCACCACCAAAGCACCCTTATACTTTTACCATACATCATTGGGTCTCCTTCCCCTTTGTTTCTACCTACATCTCTCCCCCTCTACTAGCACCAGTTCTACAGGGTTTGTTTTGGTTTAATTTTGTCAACTCCTTTGTTTTTTTTCTCTGTATTCCACGTGAGTTAAATCATCTGGTATTTTTCTTCTTCTAATTTATTTCGCTCAGCATAATCCCCTCCAGTTCCATCTATGTTTTGCCAAAGGCAAGGTTTCATCTTTTTTATAGCTGAGTAGTATTCCATCATATATATATGTACTATTTCTTTTTTTTTTAATGTGGAGATTACTTTTCTTTCTTTTTTTTTATTAAAGATTTATTTATTTATATAAGCACTGGGTACAGTCAGAAGCGTGGGAGGGTAAGAGAATTCACAAGAGCCAGAGCAGGGAGCAGAGCAGGCAGAAGGACCGAAGTACACTGCTGAGGGGAGCAACGGGCGGCAGGAGAGGTCTGCGCGCCATGCAGGACCCTCCTCCGGTGGCCGGGGAGCAGTTGGGGATCGAACCGGCGCTGCAGAGGCTGCGGGCAGCTTCGCAACCAGCGCTCAACCGCTGCGCCACTGGGGAGGCCTTGTACTATTTCTTCTTAATCGACTACTTTGTTGTTGGAAAGTAACTTCACACTTGCATAATGTCATGCTCTGGAAGAGTAGTGTCTTGTTCTTTAATGAGTTTCCATAGGAAACAAATCTATTTGGAACACCTATAAAATTTTGTTTCAAATCTGTACCATGTTTTATAAATACCTCTTGGCTTTTTTGGCATATCCAGGGAAGTGTCTCCACATCAACAACTTGGGATGATTCATCTTGTGATGAGTCAGTGCTTATCCTTCTCTCCTTTTGTACCTGAGAAGAGACAGACAGACATTTCTTAAATTTAAATTCCATCCAGTTCTCCTCCATTCACCCTACTTTATATGATTGCTTTGAATCTCTTTGCACTTATTGCATTCCTTTTATAAAGTGATGTTGCTTACCAAGATGTAATGTTTTATTAATTTAATTGCTATCAGTCTGTCCTTTTATGAATCACTTTTCACTGAGAGAGCAGAAATGATCACACAGGTCACGCATTCACCAAGTCACTTTCTGCCTTTTCTTCCTTACTGTAGATCAAACGTACCTGTCTACTAGGGTCTGCCATACCATTCGTGCTTACAATTTTAATCTTTTTCTTCTTCTTGAGGTTCTTACACTTAATCCCATCACCTTCTGCACCATCCATTTACCCCTTCTGCTGGCTCTTTCCCAACAGTGTGAGTCCTTCCCAAACCTACTCTTGTGCTTCCTGTCCTACAAGAGCCACCATTCATTGACCACCACATTCCCCCCAATCACATCCTCTCCCTGTACTCCTCTTTGCAGCAAAATGTCTCAAAAGAATTTGGGACTTTTGCTGGTTCTCCTGCACCCTCAGTGGCTGCCCCTTGTCAGTTTCCTTTGTGTTCCTGAACTCTACTGGATCTCTAGAACTTGCTCTGTGTCCTGGTCTCCTCCTGTTTCTCAACATTCACTCTTCCATGATGGTATTGCCTATTTTATGGCTTTAAATTCCAGCCATAAACCCTTTCTCCAGTCCTGGCCTCTCCCCTGAACTCAAGGTTCATAGATCCAGTGGCCTACTTGGTATCTACAGTTGGATGCCTAACAGGTTTCTCAAGTCCAGCATGGGTAAAACTGACTTTAGATTCCTGTCTTTCCCAGCGCAGTGGCTCCTTCCCTGAAGTTCCCCAGTTTTGAAGGGTACCATCTCAAACATATTTGTTCAAGTGAAAATCTAGGTGTCATCTTTGAATACTTTCTCACTCCCCATGTCCAAACTTTCAGCAAATTCTGTCCACTGTACCTCTGAAACCTACCACTTCTCTTCCTCTCCACAACACTCTTCCACCTCTGTTACCTGAGTCTTCATCTTGGCCTCTTAACTCACCTCCCTGCTTCCATCTTGTTCTTTACAGGAAATATTCTCCACAGAGTGGCAAGTCATCATTTCAGAGCTATAAACAAGACCTTGCTAGTCTTCTGCTCAGAACACGTTAACAAGTTCTCACTACATGTAAAATAATATCCAAACTCTACCTGGTATACAAAAGTCCTTTGTTACCTGGTATTTTCCCAAAGCAAGGACCTCATTTCCTCTCTCCTTTGCTTGCTTCAACTGCACAGGACTTTTTTTGGTCCTCAAATGTGCCAAGCTCTTTCTCTTTTGCCCTGACTACTCTTTGTGAGCCCCACACCCTACCTTTGCATGTTGGCATGTACTTTTTTAAAAAAAAATTTTTTTCTAAGATTTTTATTTACAGGAGCTGGGGTACAGGCCAGATATGTGGGAGGGTGAGAGGATTCACCAGAGACAGAGTGGGGAACAGAAAAGGCAGATTGACGAAATACACTGCTGAGGGGAGCAGTGGGGAGAGGTCTGCTCGCCATGTGGGTTGCTCCGAGGCCGGCAGGGATCAAACCGGCACTGCAGAGGCTGTGGACAGCTTCACAGCACTGCGCTCAACCGCCTGCGCCACCAGGGAGGCCCTGGCATGTACTTTTTAACTCCGATCTCAGCTTGAAAATTATCTCCTTGAAGAGGCTATTCCAGCCCAACACTGTTACACCAGCCCATTTTTATTTGCTGAATAGGTCTTATTACTATTTTATTTATTTATTTTTCTCCCCCTGCTTACTCCAGAGGCAGGCAATTTTTCTGTTTTTTTCATGCACATATCCATTCCCCCCTGCAGTCTAGCACTTTATAGGAGCTTGATAAATATTTGTTAAATGAATGAATGTTGTTCTCTGACCAGACATTTTAATAATGCATGTCATTTAAAAGTAGAGAGTCTGGTTTTCCCAATCCTTGTATTGATGGTAAGATTTTTTTTAAGCAAGTCTAGATCTTGTACTACAGTTTGAAAAGATTTGAGTTTAATATTTGTGATGCTTTGAGAAAAATAGGATATTTTGCCTCAGATGTAGTTCATGCTCCTTTTGAAGATTATGGGATCCCCAGATAAAGAGGAATATTATTAACTATGTGCTAAAGAAAATCACAAGCCAAAAAGTGTCTGAGTTGAAAGAGAGAGAGAGAGAGAGAGAGAGAGAAAGAGAGAGAGAAACTATACTGGAACTCAACTGTGTGTTCAGATTCTGATCCCAAATCCAAGTTTTCTTTTTGTGTGTTACTTAAACAATCATTCTCCTCATCCATGTTGTCCCTCAGAAAAGTTAAAAGTTGTTGGGAATATTCAAGAATTTCATTGGCTAAGATTCCTCCAAACCTCCTGTGTTAATACAAAAGAAAGAAAGAGAACACATGGGACACAAAACCATAATTAAAAAAAAACAATATCCCCTTAGGAAGGAACCTGAAGAATCCATTGAACTTGTGCAGAAAGGGACTTTCAACCCATAGCCATGGTTTATTTTTTAAATTGGCCTGTGGCTACAGAGTTTTTGCTTGTTTTCCTTTAAACAGGTTAGATCATTTATATATACATTGATGCCTATGCAACACATATAATAACATTTTATTTTCCTTTTACGTTAGACCTTTTTCCTTTCCTGTTAAACTAGAAAGCTGATTTACTGAAAATTTCTCCAGTGAGAATACAATCGGCCACCTGGGTTTTCCCAGTCGTAGTACCCTTGATTAGGAGCAGAGTAAGGCAAGACCATGCACACGTCTGTTTTACAGTTGTGAAGAATAACCATCTTTATTGATAAAATACTGTGTGTGTGTGTGTGTGTGTGTGTGTTTGTTTTACCTTTTGACCCATTTCACCATTCTCTCCTACCCACCATCCTCTGCCTCTGGCAACTACTAATCTATTCTCTGTATCCATGAGCTTAATTTTATTTACTTTTGTTAGATTCTACCTAGAAGAGAGCTCATATGATGTTTGCTTTTTTTCTGTCTGACTTATTTCACTGATGCCTTTGAGTTCCATCCACATTGTCACAAATGCAAGATTTCATTATTTGTTTTTTGCAGATGAATAATATTTCATTATTTATATACAATGGGAAATTTTCTATGTTTATAATTAAATATGTATTTATATAACAAGTGTTGGCAAGGATGTGAATAGTGTGTGTGTGTGTGTGTCTATAATGGAATATTATTCACATCCTTGCCTATGCTGTTGTTTCTAACAGACCCCATCATGAGTGATATTGACAGATCATTTAGAAGTGTTGTCATGTGCCTTTGACCAAGGTTGCAAACTTAACTCTGTTTTGAGTCATAAGTCCAGGTGGTTAACCATCAATGGGTGAAAATGCCCTTATTTCTAAAAGTAGGCACCAGCACTTATTTGTTGTTGCCCAAGATGCTATGTATTCACTTGCTATAAAGGACAGGTTAGGACCTATCCAGTGAGATATAAGTTAATATTTTATTTAAGGTCCTATATGTAAGATGATGCAGTCTTCAAATGAACCTCTGAAATAGGTGACTCCTAAAATTGTTATGATATAAAATTTCTACAACATTTAACATTTTCAAGTGTCACTGAGAATGGACATGTTTTATTATCATTTTACCATAAAACGCCACATCATGTGAGCCACTTACTGTGCCCTGTACATACCTCCATCTTAGGAAAACAAGGGTGCCATCATTTTTCCCATTCACCAGAATGTTTTGTCCATCTGTTGAAATTCTCATCGACTGAATCCCATGCCCCTGGTGAGAATGACTCCGATACCGAACAAATGTTTCCTCAATAGTTTTAGGAATAAAGCACAGAAGTTACAAATGCAGTTCTACCACATGGTAGAAGTCTATGGGGCCTACATGTACTTTTGCTTAGGGAAAAAGCTTTTTCTATTTGCTAGCAGCATTTTAGTTAGAATGGAAGTAGCCTCTTGGTAACACATAGCACTAAAGATCGCTAATTCAAAATACGTTCACCAATATTGGGCTTTATTCCAGTTGTATAGGATAGAAGAAGAGCGAGCATTATCACCAAGTAATAATAGGAAAATCAGATACAGAGAAGTGAATGATTTTATAAAGGCTATGAAGTTAGGGGAGGGACCTTGAACAAGCAGAGATGACAAATTCAGGGACCTTCAAGCATGGGGCAGTTTCCATTTATGAGTGAAGCACAGAATGTGATGAAAGGGTGACGGGCACTGGGAAGAATGGAGGGCAACATGCCCTGTATGGGGGGTGCCAATTAAACTACTTCAGTGAGAACCCAAACAAGGCACATCACTGATCTGGTATGCAGGGCAACATTTATGCTCATTGACTAAAACCTAGGATTTTTGTGTCACACTGGTCCTCAATTATGATGCCTTAAAAAAATTGCCTTTTGGATAGGTCTCAAAATTCAAAATTTGTATAGTATTCAATGACATCCCCTTCTTGTCCCTATTCATTGTCACCTCCCAAAGGCAATGAATTAGTACCTTAAATAGCCTTTCAGAGGCTTTGCTATGCATATAAATTTTTATATAACTTTCTACAAAATGTAGCATAATACATTTATTATGCACCTTTCTTTCCCCCCTTAACAATATATCTTAGATTTTTCTCCTACTGTTGCAAAAATATCTCCTCATTTTATAATTAATAGTCCATATTTTACAGAATGTGAACCCTCAGTAAGGGCCACATCCTTCTCTCCTGCATCTAATATTCCACATTTACTTAGTTACTCTTTATGTACCATTACTTATTTATCCTATTCTCTGCTGATGGACATCAGGTTGGTTTTACAAACAGCGCTGCCATGAATAGACTCACATACACGGTGCTTTGCATAGAACCATTCAGAACAATTTTGACATCTTGCCACATGCTGTGCAACTATCAATTGTAGCATATATTAAAAACCATTTGAATAAGCAATGGGGTAGCAGAATTTGCAAATTGTCTAAAAAATAAGCTCTGAGGGACTCCAGATATGCTTAGGTGCATAGGTGAGCAAGGAGAGCCATATGGGCGTAACCACAGCCCCATCTACCTGGGTTATGTATGTGTTTTTCATGTTTGATGTGTGGGGCTGGAAACCTGGGTAAGAATCACAAAACAAGTTAAATTATATAAAGACAGCAGCAAACCTCCCTAGGTTTGCACAACAGTTCACTGTTTCCAAAACAGTTTTGCTACAACCTCTCCCTGGTTCTCACCAGAAACCCACAGAGTGAGAATAAGAGTCTTCATTAATATTACAGATGAGCATCTGAAGCTCAGTGAGGTTCAGTGAGTTTTCCATCTCACTAAGCGGTGATTGAGCTGGGCTGCAGCACACCTGCAGTGTACCTGCCCTGTGCTCTTTATTTGCAGCTCTCACTGTACTGGTCAGCATTTCCTCTCTGAGACAGTCATAAAAACAACTCTGAAATATTAAAGTCAATAATACCATCAGTGGTATGTAAGTTATGAGTCAATTTACCTAAAAAGAATTCCAATTCCTTTCCTAAAGGCTTTTGTTCCTTTCTATGACATCAAGATATAAATCTCATGTTTTTTTTTTTTAAAGGAATTTACCAAAGTATGAATATCTCGGATACACATAATTCCACATTTAGCTATTGTTATGAGCCACAATCCATGCGGAGACAGGGAGAGCATTCCGGGTCCATAATGTCTGCTTTGCACTTTTTGGTACGGCTTAAGAACGTAAACATCTCTATGTTCCTGCCAATCAAACAAAATGACCACGTGATAGCAGAGACCAGGGAAGCGGCATCTTAGGATCTGCAGTTGTGCAGATTCATACCCACAATTGCTGTCACTGGAAATAAATTAATATGTGATATAAGTGGGCCCCTATATTTGTACCACTGTTTTCTTCTTGGCTTACAAATATATTTGTTTTGACCAACTAAGAAAAGTCTTCTTTATGCTAAGTACCATTAAAGATCTCAGCCTACACTAATAATCCTCATTCTTTACTAATCATTTCATAGATCCCCATGCTCAATGAAAAGAAAGGAGTTAACATACCCCTCCCCCCCAATTATCTCATGTAGTTCCCACCTCTGAGCCTCTGTACATGCCACGATTTTTGTGTGTAATGTCCTTCCTAAACCCATCCCCACCAATCTTGTCCCTTCCCTACCTCAGCACCCTCACCCACCTCGCAATTGCGCTCAATCTTTCTCCACATCTAAATCTGAACTACTATTCCAAGTCCAGTTCAAATATTACTTTTCCCAAGTTGCTTTTCTGGAACCCTCCTTGCCATAAACCATTTATTTCTTCCTTCTCGGAATTTATGTATCTCGTGACACTGGCTACTCTGGAAGAGAAGGGCTTGGACTGAAGGGTTAGAGAGGACAGATAGAAGATAATCTGATGTGTGTAGAGGAGTGACACAGTACGGGAGAAATTTGAAGAAAAAGAGATAAAAGGTTGCAGGAAATAGAGTTTAACTATTTTGTGCCGTTTTACTTGGGCTTGGTGCAAAGTTCCACTGAAAATCATCAATCTGACACTTGGGGGATAGATGTTCTAACACTAGGTTGTTTGTTAAAAGTACTAACCCAATACTGTGTCATCTGCATGTTTATCTGACAAGTGTGATGTGTGTAACGTGTGAAGTTGCTCAAACGTGTTTTATGATGGATTGCCAAATCATGCTGACATATATCTACTTCAAAGAAATTATGTTATTGTTACAAAGCCGTTTGTTAACTGGACTGTAATGTTAATGCATGGATCATGTCTAATAATACTGTGGATCAATTTGATTGCTAAGATAAATGATGACACTCTTAAGTTTTGGCATACCTTTTCGGGAAGACAATAGCTGCAGATGTACGGCACCTGACTGCAGAAGCCATATATTTGGTGACTGTGGAAGTCCAGCACTGCCGAGGACAGGGGGTGCTGTATCTCATACAGGAGTGTACGGATTAATTCATCTTTCAGCCTCCCTCTTTCATTAGTAAAGCGTAGAGGAACTATCAGATTTGGGGAAGAAGAGACATCACTTGCACCATAGGTCGATTTTATGTTTTAAAAAATTATGAACAACTATGGAAAGCAAAATAAAAAATTTAAATGCTCAATTAATAATTCGAGGCTACTAAGTGATAAAAAGAATTTTAAAAAATATCTTGGCTCCATTAGAAAGATTTGAGTATTCAATGACCAATAGGTGTATCATCAATTAAGTAGAGGCATATCATTAAAGAAACTCATGGTTGCCTAGAGATTCTTAATTAAAACATAAAAGTAGGGGCCTCCCTAGTGGTGCAAGGGGTTAAGTCTCAGCACTATGAAGCTATTGGCAGCCACTGCAGCATGAGTTCAATTTCTGGCCAGAGAGCTAACCCAGATGACGAACCAGACCTTTCCTGTCTCGCCTGCTGCTCCCCTCAGCAGTGTATTTCAGTCAGTCCGCTTGTTCTGCTTCCCACTCTGTCTCTGGTGAATCCTTTCACCTCTAGCCTATACCCCAACTCCTGCATGCATAAATAAATCTTTAAAAAGAAAAAAAATAAAAGTACTGTGAGGTTTTCAGCTTTTTTATACTCCACTACTATATATTTGCAAGATAGCTACCCAGACAAATTCATCATCTGAAACAAAGAATGTCTATTTTATCAGATCTCTTACTCCAGAAAGCTTTCTGTATAATGTTATCAGTGAAATAATTGCACAATAACCTCCTTAATGTAACTATGTATATATAAGCTACAAAATTAGAGACATTGTGAAATGACAAGTCAATTTGACAAAAGTGAATGTGAATATGACTCTTATGAGCCATATTTCACATTGTTTAGCAGCCATCAGTCTCGCTTTGTGAGATAACAAAAGGTTGCCATTTTACATTTTCACATGTGAAGAGAAAAATGTTCTATCACCACAAAAGAAAAAAAGTAAAGCATAACAGTGACTTTGGGCCAGTACAAAATTGGTTGCATGTTTTTTCCTTACCTTGTGACAATACTTTAGGCAGAGTGAATAATACCACCCTGCTTTTTCCTGAGTCTGGGAGTGGGTAAAGCACCATCACTTCTACTACGTCTGTTTCCAAAAGAGACACTGTGGATATTTGTAAAATGTCTTTGCCCACCTCTGAAAGCAAACAGAATCCACACCACAAGTGATCACTACTAAGTAAAAGGAATCTTTCATTTCCCCAAGTAAAACATCCCATTATAGAATTGTCTGTACTAAATATTTACTTCCACATTTATTTACTGCATACCTAAAGTGATGTTTAGGGCCTCCCTGGTGGCGCAAAGGGTTAAGCACCACACTATGAAGCAATCCGCAGCCTCCGCAGCCTGAGTTCTATCCCTGGCCCATCAGTAAGGTGACCCACATGGCGCAGCAGACCTCTTCTGACTCGCCCGCTGCTCCCCTCAGCAGTGTACTTCAGTCAGTCTGCCTGTTCTGTTCCCCACTCTGTCTCTGGTGAATCCTCTCACCCCCCGCACCTCTGGCCTGTACCCCAGCTCTTTTATGCATAAAGAAATAAATCTTTAAAATAAAATAAAGTGATGTTTTTTTTTTTTTCCTTTAAATTCCATATAACATTTTAATCAAGTTCTCTTGTCAAATACAGTGGAATTGTCTCCTAATGAAACATACATAAATTCAAACTTATGAAGCCAAAAACATATTAAATATCCCAAGTGTGAGCCAAGTTTACACGTCAAAGCAGATTCTAAGTCTGTTCAGAACTGCTCCATCACTTTTGATGCTGAAAACTCTGTGAAAGGTGGACAAATCTTAATCCCACATTATGATTCCTTTTTTTTTTTTTTTATTTTGTATTTATTTATTTTTTTTTTTAATATTAAATTTTATTTTTATATTCCCCCATACAATTGCAAACGCCCCATTCTGACCCCAATCCTTCCCCTCCCGCCCCCCACCCCCCAAAAAGTGTCTCTGGTTCATAGTTTTTTGTTGATTTTGATTTTCACTTTCTTATATTCATTTTCCTGGTCCCTTATTTAAGTTTTCTAGATTCCTGCTATGAGTGAGACCATCCGATATTTTTCTTTTTCTTTTTGGCTTATTTCGCTGAGCATGATCCCTTCCAGCGCCATCCATGTTGCTGCAAATTGCATGTGTTTATCTTTTTTGAATGCTGAGTAATATTCCATGGTATATATGTACCACATCTTCTTGATCCAGTCATCTATTTTTGGGCATTTGGGCTGTTTCCAAAGCTTAGCTATTGTAAACAGTGCTGCTATAAACATAGGAGTGCAGGTGCTCTTTGGAATTGATGTTTCTGTGTCCTTTGGGTAAATACCTAGGAGTGGAATTGCTGGATCATATGGAAGCTCTATGTTTAGTAGGTCCAGAAATCTCCACACAGCTCTCCATAGTGGTTGGACCAGTTTGCACTCCCACCAACAGTGCACAAGAGTTCCTTTTTCTCCACATCCTCGCCAACATTTGTTGTTGCTAGTTTTTTTAATATGTGCCATTCTCACTGGTGTGAGATGGTATCTCATGGTAGTTTTGATTTGCATTTCCCTGATTACAAGTGATGTTGAACATTTTTTCATATGTCTGTTGGCCATTTGCATTTCCTCTTCAGAGAAGTTTCTTTTTAGCTCTTCTGCCCATTTTTTGACTGGATTCTTTTCTTTGTTGTTGCTGAGTCTCATCAGCTCTTTGCAGATTTTTGTGATCAGTCCTTTATCATTAGTGTTGGGTGCAAAAATGTTCTCCCAGTTGGTGGGGTTTCTCTTTGTTTTTGTTATTGTCTCTTTTGCTGTGCAGAAGCTCTTTAATTTGATGTAGTCCCAGCTGTTTATCTTTCTCTTCACTATCACTGCTTTGGGTGATGTGTCTGTAAAGATGTCTTTGATGTGCAAATCCCGTAGTGTTTCGCCTATATTTCCTTCTATGTATTTTATGGTTTCAGGTCTTATGTCTAGTTCTTTAATCCATTTTGAGTTGATTTTTGTGTATGGTGTGAGGTAGTGGTCAAGCTTCATTCTTTTGCATGTAGCGACCCAGTTTTCCCAGCACCATTTATTGAACAAACTTTCTTTGCTCCAATGCATAGTCTTCGCTCCTTTGTCAAAGATTAGTTGACCATAAATCTGTGGGTTTATTTCTGGATTTTCTATTCGATTCCATTGGTCTGTATGTCTGTTCTTGTTCCAATACCATGCAGTTTTGATGATTATGGCTTTGTAGTATAGTTTGAAGTCTGGGAGTGTGATGCCTCCATTTCCTTCTTTTTTTTTCAGTAGAGCTTTGGCTATTCGGGGTTTTTGGTGATTCCATATGAATTTCATCAATAATTGTTCTATTTCTTTGAAGAATGCCATTGAGATTTTGATTGGAATAGCATTGAATCTGTATATTGCTTTTGGTAGGATGGCCATTTTAATAATGTTTATTCTTCCAATCCATGAGCAGGGGATGTCTTTCCATTTCTTTGTGTCTTCTTCTATTTCTTTTAACAGTGTTTTATAGTTTTCTTTGTATAGGTCCTTTACCTCTTTTGTTAGATTTATTCCCAAATATTTGATTTTTTTTGTTTCGATAATAAAAGGGGTGGTTTTTTTGATTTCTTCTTCTTCAGATTTATTGTTTGTGTATAGGAAGGCTACTGACTTTTGCGTGTTGATTTTGTATCCTGCCACTTTACTGAATTGATTGATGAGTTGAATTAGTTTTTCTGTGGAGATTTTGGGGTTCTCTATGTATATTATCATATCATCTGCAAATAGTGATAGTTTGACTTCTTCTTTTCCTATTTGGATTCCTTGGATGTCTTTCTCTTGTCTTATTGCTCTGGCTAGGACTTCCAGTATTATATTGAAAAGCAGTGGTGAGAGTGGACATCCTTGTCTTGTTCCAGATCTTAATGGAATTGCTTTCAGCTTTTCACCATTGAGAATGATACTGGCTGTTGGCTTGTCATAGATGGCCTTTATGATGTTGAGGTATGTTCCTTGTATCCCAAGAATTTCAAGGGCTTTTATCATGAATGGGTGTTGCACTTTGTCGAAAGCTTTCTCAGCATCTATTGATATTATCATATGGTTTTTATATTTCTTTTTGTTGATGTGTTAGATAACGTTGATTGATTTTCGGATGTTAAACCATCCTTGTGCCCCTGGAATGAATCCAACTTGGTCGTGGTGAATTATCTTATGGATACATTGTTGGATTCTGATAGCTAAAATTTTATTGAGGATTTTTGCATCAGTGTTCATTAGGGAGATTGGCCTATAGTTTTCCTTTTTTGTGTTGTCCTTATAAAATAAAGTGATGTTTAAACATAAATGATGGGGCCATTTTTTTTTAAGATTTATTTATTTATTTATTTATACAAGCACTGGGTACAGTCAGAAGCACGGGAAGGTGAGAGAATTCACCAGAGCCAGAATGGGGAGCAGAGCAGGCAGAAGGACCAAAGCACACTGCTGAGGGGAGCAGCGGGCGGCAGGAGAGGTCTGCGCGCCATGTGGGACCCTCCTCCAGTGGCCAGGGAGCAGCTGGGGATAGAACCGGTGCTGCAGAGGCTGCGGGCAGCTTCGCAACCCATCGCTCAACCGCTGCGCCACCTGGGAGGCCCTGATGGGGCCATTTTTAAAGAACAGATAGGGGATGCTCCTGCTTAGGTACCCGGGTTCCATGCTGGGTTTAGCACAGCTTCATTCCCAGGTGGGGAGGCCTCAGAGCCTGTGCTGTCTACCCACTCATGTCTACCCACTGCATGTTCTGGCCCCATGAATGTCCACTCCAGCAGATACCCCTGACTTCATGAGTTGGCTTCTCTTGAAATCCAGGGAGACTTCTACCTCTGCAAGGTGCCATACTTTGGGTTCTTTCCATATTTATCACTCCTACTTGCACATGGACTTTTCTTCAAGTGTCCACTGCCCAGGCCTTCCATAGCAGAATCCTCCCCAGAGGTTGGGTGAGAGGCTGAGTCCTTCTGACACAGACTGGACCTTAGCTTTCTTACCCCAAATCTCTCACTCTTTCTCTTCTTATCTTCCCTCTTCATTTCTGACATTTTCGTAGGAACAAAATGTAACTCCTTTCTATCTGGGATCTTGAGTCCATGCCTCCAGTCCTCCTGTTAAACTATGTGTTATCAATGAACACTTTTTATTTTCTTCTTTCATCTCCACCCTCAAGAGTTCTTCAAATTAGGATTTTATTTCAGGCCTACGACCCCAACACAGTCACCATCCAACTTTCCTTTCTGCACTGCAAACCATAACAGGACTTGTTACTGGCTGACTTCATTTTCTGACCCCAGTTCTTCCCTACCTTCTTCTCTCCCTGATCCATAAGGGCGTCATCCCCCTCTTCACCCTATTCACACTTCTGCCACAGGCTATACCCCCATTCAGCCTTCCTTTAAGCTTCTTTCAAGAGACTGACGCACAGGTCTCTCACCACCCTGCCCATCCTCAGTTTTCTTCACTGCCATTCTTCCTCTGTCCACAGCTTCAGTGTAAGTGTGAGCCAAGCCCACATACTAAGCAACCTGGTATGTTAAAAAAATGGAATTTCTAGGCAAGACTTGGATCTACTCTCTCTGGTTGACCACAGGTCCTGCACATTCCATGTCATCTAATTTACATATTTCAGTTATCTGACCTCATTAAGCAATTGGGTTTGCTTCTACTCCATCATCTCAAGCCATTTTATCAGCTTCCATGACTTCAAGATCAGAATTTTATCATTAAACCTTGAACTACAAATCTCCAGTTCCACACATATACTAAACATTCCCAGACTAAAGAGTTCATTGGCTTCAAGACTACAGAGCTTGTCAGCTCCCCCTACACTTCAACCACTGTAACTTCCTTTTTCCTGGAGTTCTTACTACAATCGATGACATTGCAAACTTCCACAATTCAGGCTAGAACTTTCAGAGTCTAATTCCTCCCTTTCTCATATAATTGAAGATCAAGTTCTATCAGTTCTACCACTCATAGCTATGCCTGCCTTTCTCTTTCTACGACTGCTGCATGAGCTTGCACATTGTGGAAAAGAGCGCCAATTCTCAAATCAAACTTCCTGAGTCTGAGGCCTGGCTCCACCACCTCCTAGCTGCATGAACAAACACTTAAGGTTGTGCCTCAATCGCTTCATCTATAAAATGAGGGCAAAAGTAGTTTCTATCTCATAAAAGCTGTCTGTAAGAATTAAATGAATGAACATATGTCAAGTGCTTAAAATACTGGCTATCACAGGATAAGGAATCGCTTGAGAAAGGTTGGCTCTTGTTGGGATTACTATTGCCTCTTGCCTGGGCTACTGTAATAGTTTATTAAGTCATCATTCTATTCCATTCTCTTGCCTTTCTGCTTCATCCTTCACACGGTGCCATCCTCTAAAAACCATACCAGTCCTGTTTTGAAAACCTCTGTTGATGCCTCATTAATCACAGAACTAAGTTCAGATTCCTTGGAATGGTATTTTGTCTTGGAAAGGTACTTTGTCTCTTTTCAGACTTCATGGCTGAGACCGCCAGCTAGTAAACTCTTCTCTTTAACTATTACACCAGACTTCCTACTATTCCAGATGCCTTTGCTCAGACATTTATATAGAGCTGGAATCCTGAGAACCCCATCCTTTGCTACTTTAAACCTTCACTGATGCTTGTGCCTCCCTTCACCTCCATCCTTTTCCTCAACCTGGAAGAAGTAATTGCATATTCCTCTGAGCCTATACAGCTTCCACCAAATGTTCTCTATGACCCTTCCATGACCCCACAGGGCTCAGCATTGTATACTGAGTTGGCATTCCTTAATTTTTAAAAACTCAGTGGATTTAAAAATACATTTTGGGGAAAATATTTATCTGGTACTTAAAGGCAAAGAGAAAAGTATTAGTTCTTGGCCCTCATCATAGGTGTGCTAGCTCACCTGCTAGATCTGTGGTTCACTTGGGTGCCATGAAAAAGCTGGATATCATTTGTTTAAAGAAGAAACATGACAGATGCATGGAATAAAACTTTCCTTAGATATTATTATTAAGTAGACATAAGAAATTTTTTTAAATTTAGGGATAAGTGAAATCAATGTCCCTTTGTAATAACATTAGAAACATTTAGCCATTTAATTAATTAATGCTTTAATTGATTAAAGAAAGTTTATTTAGCATCAACTATGTACCAAGCAGATGTACCAGAAAACCTCTATGACTTGGGAATTCTCCTAAATAACTTAACAGTTATTTATATGTTGCTCTTTTAGAAATTATGAAAGAAGTAACTGTTTCTCATTAGCCCTGGTCTCATAATCTTAAATTCTTTGGAATAAAGTGACCAACATTTTAAATCAACAAATATTCTGTGTAGTACCTATAAATCCAAGAATCTGAAATAAGCTTGAGGGGTTGGCATTGATAACAAAGACATATCCTACTGATGTTCCAACTAATAGATATATTCCTCGTTGGTCATAGCTAGAAAAGAAAAAAAATCTGATTATCAAATTTTACTGGTTTCAGTGAACACATTTATTGAGTGATAGCACATAGATACATTGTACATTGATACATTTTGTACATAGATATAAAACCTTTCATTTTTATTGGTTATGATTTTTTTAAAAGATTTATTTATTTATTTATTTTTACAAGCACTGGGTACAGTCAGAAGCACAGGAGGGTGAGAGAATTCACTGAGCCAGAGCAGGGAGCAGAGCAGGCAGAAGGACCGAAGTACACTGCTGAGGGGAGCAGCGGGCGGCAGGAGGGGTCTGTGCGCCATGTGGGAGCCTCCTCAGGTGGCCGGGGAGCTGCCGGGATCGAACCGGCACTGCAGAGGCTGTGGGCAGCTTCACAACCTAGCGCTCAACCGCTGCGACACTGGGGAGGCCCCTTGGTTATGATTTTTAATATTATTCAGTCTTCTAAAAGCCAAATGAATACAATGCCTAAATTATAGGATAAAACCACTTCCAAACCACAACCTTGTAAGCACGTAACCAAGAAGACTCAGTAAAGGACGACGACCATTTCATCATAAGAGGATGAAATATGAACAGAGCATTTTCTTGATATTTCAAGTGGAAATAAGCAGTGCTCAAATGAGTGATGGGAGTGGCATTTCAGTACCCTTCAGTACCTGGTAGGAGGAGAAAGAATCCTTTGGAAAGTTTCTACACTTCCATCAAATTAGAAAAAATGAAAAAATGCAAGTAAATTAGATAGGGAGAAAAGGATCTGAGAAGAGGCACCCCAAAAAAAGTACATAGGAACTGGGTATACATGGTGGTGGTGAAGGATGGGGGGGTTAAGAGATCTCTCCCCACTGAGGCACCCAAGAACAGCACACTCTGCGGAGACCAGCCCTTCAGGCACCAGCTGGGTCATCTTGTCATGGGCAACCCCCTTTCTATCTTCTCTGAACTTGAATGCCCTCATTTGCCATCTAGACACAAGCATAATACTTTTCTGACAGGTGGCGTGAGGGTCACATTCAATAAGCTACCATGTGTGACAGCACCGCAGGCTGTAAAACTGGGCACAGCAAAGATCAGCTCTCACACAGATGCAAATCCATTGTCTTTGTGCTGACTTCTTAAAAGTATTGCTTGGGCCTCCCTGGTGGCGCAGTGGTTGAGCGATGGGTTGCGAAGCTCCCGCAGCCTCTGCAGTGCCGTTCGATCCCCAGCTGCTCCCCGGTCACCTGAGGAGGGTCCCACATGGCGCGCGGACCTCTCCTGCTGCCCGCTGCTCCCCTTGGCAGTGTGCTTTGGTCCTTCTGCCTGCTCTGCTCCCCACTCTGGCTCTGGTAAATTCTCTCACCCTCCCGTGCTTCTGACTGTACCCAGTGCTTTTATAAATAAATAAAAAATAATAAAAAAATAAATCTTTAATAAATAAATAAATAAAAGTATTGCTTGAAACATTTGAAATAATCTAAATGCCCATCAATATACTGTCTTTAAAAAAAATGATGATATATAGGGCCTCCTGGGTGGCGCAGCGGGTTGAGCGCAGCGCTGTGAAGCTGTCCACAGCCTCTGCAGCGATGGTGTTTTGATTTCCGGCTGGCCAAGGAGATATCCACATGGTACGGCAGACCTCTCTGGTCTTACCTGCTGTGTCCCTCACCAGTGTTTTTGGTCTGTCTACCTGTTCTTCTCCCTTCTCTGTCCCTGGTGAATCCTCTCACCCTCCCACACCTCTGGCCTGTACCCCACTTCTTGTATAAATAAATAAATCTTTAAAAAATGATGGTGTATTCATAAAATGGAATACTGTGCAGCTATAAGGAAGGATGAGGATGGTCTCTAAGTGCCAACAGAAATTCTCTAAAACAGACCATGCAGTGAAAGGAACATGAGGTGCGGGCATTGTGTTTGCTTTGTTACTCTTTCGGAGCAAAGGTGGTGCCTCTGGAGCCCAACTACCTGGGTTCAAATCCCATTATTTGCCATTTGCTGTCTGTATAATATTAAGCCAGTGACTTACACTCTTTGTGCTTCATCTTCCTCATCTGTAAAATGGAGACAGTCAGAAAGCTCTGCCATAGAAGTACCTGGCCAATCCAAGGGCTTAGTAAATAAAAAGGAGTACTGATCTTCACTTGTTTGTGGATCAGGTGTCTTTGGAAAGAAGACTTGGGCTGCCAGGAGAACTGGGTGTGTGGGGACCCAGCCGGGAGACTTTTCCCTGCACACTGCTCTGGACTCTTTGGGTGTAGAACTGAGTGGAGAGGTTTTCAAAGCAAAACGTGTGAAGCTTAAAAGGAATTATGGTTTCACTGGAATTCTCAGCAGACAGACCTGACGAAGCAGGCGGTACTCACAGGAGGTGCTGCACAGCTGACTCAGAGAGAAAGGCCTGGTGAACGACCGTGAGCGACGTGGTGTCCCGGAGGTCAAGGAAGAAGACACAGCCCTCCTCGGTCCCCACGGCCGCAGACAGCGAGGAGGGAGAGCAAGCGAGGACGTTAGCCTGTTCGAAATAAACCCCCAGAGCCGTCAAGACACCGCGCCAGAAAAAGCGAAGGCTGCTCCGCTACACGTAAGGATTCTGCAAGTTACTCGCAAGGTCCGAAGAGTGAGGAGAGGAATGCTGTATAAACAGTAGGCGAATTACACACTCAGTGTTCCCAAGCAAATCGATTGCATAAGCAGTCACAGAAAATCTCTACATCTTACTCTTTTATCCTGTAACTAGAATGATAAAAATACAAAACAGTTCCTGGTCTGTAAGCAATGACATCATTTTTAATAGTGAAAAATAAAATGAAAATTCTTAGAAGAGAAGTCAAACTGTGAAAAAATGAACAATGATGTAATCTATATATTAAAAAGTAAAGTACATTTAAGTATATTAAATTACTCTTCAATTGAATAATTACCATTGTAATTCAACCTGTTATTTTTCCTTATGACTAGGTACAACCATGTCTACATTAACTGTACAGAAAACTTTTTGCTAAATAGATAGTCCAACACTCTCAGATAAAACTTTATTATCTATATTCAGTTGTGGTACCAATAAATTTCCCTGAACTGATGGGAATCTCTGTATATATGATCAGTGGATGCTGTAACAAATCACCACAAATTTGGTGGCTTAAAAAATCACAGTAATATAATGCAAACAATGATGTAAACCAATATTAACTCAATAAGAGCAATTAAATGCATTCCTATCATCTCTGGGGCATTTTCACAGAATGGGAGTGATCTTTTTAAATCGGTATTCATCTGCTAGGGATAATGATGGTGCTGGGACAATGGTGTGACTGAGGGAGGCTTAAGAAAAGAACCATCACTTCATGTTTATGAAGGATTTACGACACTATCTCTTTTCACTAAGTGAAAGAAATTGGAAGAGAAATTTCACTTTTATGACAAAAGACAGAAAGCAAGTACAGGGCTTGGGGTTCACTTTGTGAGCCCAGCTGGAGGTGGCCTTTGGGCCTGCCAGGCTCCTTCCTGGGGCTGCTTCACACAGACAGAGCAGCTACCCTGTTATTCCCACTTCCACTGCATGCTGATGTCGCTTGATGTTCTAGGTATATTTTGCATAACCTCGTAGATTATTTTTGGGGTCTGGGACACTCAAAAATGTCTCCATATAAATGAGTGGTAACTGCCTCTTTGCTTTACACCATTTCAGCTTGCGAAAATTTTCATAGGAACACTATGCTTTCAGATAGTGGGGGAAACCTGTATCCATTTCTAATACAATAACCAAAAGAAGAAATATTAAAATTGATCCAGTCTCATTATCTGTTACATACAAGAGACAAACAGATGTTTAAAGCCCCACCCCTTTGCTCTACCCCAAGGATCTATTTTTTAGTATTTATTTATTTATATATATATATACAGGAGATGTCTGTTTCACCATGTGGGTTGCTCCCTGGCTGGCCGGGGATGGGACTCATGCTGCTTTAGGCTAACATCGATCCAAGCAGCCCCGCCACCGCCAGCTCAGCTCACAAAGTGAACCCCAAGCCTTGCTCTTGCTTTCTGTCTTTTGTCATAAAAGTGCAATTTCTCTTCAGATTTCTTTCACTTAGTAAAAACAGATTGCCTAGATCTTTAGGCTAAGGAGGGATATAAACTTAACATTTTACTTCAGAAATCTGCCCTTTACCTGGCCAGACGGAAGAGGAGAGATTTGAAGAACTTTCATGGCTAATTTTACCAAGCCTCGTTGAATTCTAGACCAGGCATGTGGTGCAGCCTGGGCTGTGAGTGGTGGTTTATCCTCACTGGAGGACACCATTACACTGTGGGAAATCATAAGCAGATTGACCCACAATGCTGAAGCCAGATCTCCCTCAATTCACTGCTCTCATTTTAATCATTTATAAGGCATACTTACTGGAGTATTCAGATAAATTCTGCTGATGCAGGTACCATCCTCTATATTCCAAACACAAACTTCCCCTGACTCTGTGAGTGTCTGTAAAAGAAAGAAAAATAAAGCTCTAAATGGAAAACAGTATTCTGCTGTGGAGCCAAATCCTCTATCCCTAAGTCACTCTGAGGCTTTAGTATAAAATTTATTTTACTTAAGTGGTTTGTAACTTCAGTACTTCTAATTTGGACAAATATTAATTAGCATCTTTAATAAAATTTAAATAACATAATAAATACATAGAACTAGAAAAGTGAAATTTTTTCTCAGAGATGAAAGTTACTTGGAAAATCAGTGGGATTATTGCCTAGTGAGTAAGCCTAAATATAAGAAGCTAGACCTTGCTATTTTTAAATTAAAGGAGTTTTAGGATTATAGAAAAATTGAGCAGAAAGTGCAGACTTGCATGTACCCTTCCCATCCCACACACATACACAATTTCCTCTATTATTGACATCTTGTATTAGTGTGGTATGTTCATTATAATTGATAAGATAGCACTGGCATATTGTTATTGACTAAAGTCCATATTTTACATTAGGATTCACTTTAAAAAAATTTTTATTTATTTATGCATACAAGAACTGGCATGTAGGCCAGAGGTGTGGGGGTAAGAGGATTCACCAGAGACAGAGTAGGGAACAGAACAGGTGGATCTGCTGAAATACACTGCTGAGGGGAGCATCGGGCAAGACAGGAGAGGTCTGCTGCACCATGTGGGTTAACTCCACTGGCCAGGGATGGAACTCATGCTGCAGTGGCTGTGGATAGCTTCATAGTGCTGAGACTTAACCCCTTGTACCACCAGGGAGGCCCCTGTTTAGCATTTTTCTTATTGTTAGGCTTCTTGCATGCCAGACCAGAAATCCAATGTTCCTATTGTCCTTTTTTTTTTTTTAAAGATTTATTTATACAAGAACCGGGGGTACAGGCCAGATGCGTGGGAGGGTGAGAGGATTCACCAGAGACAGAGCAGGGAACAAAACAGGCAGATGGACCGAAATACACTGCTGAGGGGAGCAGCGGGTGAGACAGGAGAGGTCTGCCTCGCCATATGGGACCCTCACTGGCCGGCCCCCGGCCGGGGGCCGAGCTGGCGCTGCTGCAGAGGCTGTGGACAGCTTCACAGCATGGCGCTCAACCACCTGCCCACCAGGGAAGGCCCCCTATTGTTCATTTTTAAAAATAACTTTTACTCTTTCACAGGGTCAAGACTGAAATCATCTTAAAGAAATCCCAATGTGATGCAATTTAAGTTCTGTTTCTTGGATACTAGGGAGTGGGTAGCAAGAAAATGTGGATCAAGTATCTAAATCCTAAACATGAAAATCTTGTATGGAATTTTTTTTTTCTGAGTTGAAACAACCATAAGAATAGATGTAATCCTTAGAACACATTGAAGAAAAATCATATAAATAACATCTCAAGAGTGTAAGAACCCATAGGTGGTATCTATCCCATAATCTATGACTTCTTTATTTGCTAGAATTCTCAAACAAACCTTAATGGATTATATGAAAAGTGAAACATGTTTCTTGAGATCAACAAAAGGTAAACAGTAAAACACCAGAACAAAGTTTCTTCCCTAAATACAGAGGGCGGGGTTTTTTTCTGAGTGAACTGAATTGATGTTTTGTGCATGGCCAGTATTGCACTTGCCTTGAATGGGGTCACATTGCTCCAAAAGAAGCAAATACTAAGAGTTTAATGAGTGTGGACACTCCAACTCATTCGCAGTGAATATCATTTAAAGACCTGATGTGGGGGAGGGGGCGGAGCAACATGGCGGCGAGGAGACGCTGCGAGTAAGATCTCCCATTAAAAAAAGTTAATAGGGAGGAAAAGCGGCAGGTCCCAGAGAGAACTGGGACACGGAAGATAAACGGGTGACGCCAGCAAACTACCCGAAGAAGAAAGTGGCCATAAAAGAGGACTAGAAGGGAGGGAAGCACAGAACCCTGCTCCCCTCCCCCGCCCACAGAGGCGGCACTCTCCGACCGGCAGAGAGGAGGAAAACAACACACTAAAACGACCAACAAGAACAAACGACGCAGCAAGCGGGACTGTGAGTGGAAAGGAACTATTGCAGCCACCACACCCCGTGAACGGGAGCTGTGGAGAACCCTGCAGGATCCGCCGCGGTGGTGAGCGAACGGCTCCGGGCGCCATTAGAGAAGAACAAAGACCCCGGGAGACGCTCACACAGCCCGGGCTGCTGGTAAGCTTGCGCGGGAAAGCGGCGCGCTTGGCGCGCTTGAAAAGAAAACGCGGACCGGGATCGCAGCGGCCCAGGTCCCCGCGCCTGCGACCTAGGCTTGCGGGGAGACGCGCGGAGGTCCTCACTGAGGTGAAGGTCCCTCCCTGAGTGAGCAGGAACCAGGCGCCCAGGCACGGGAGCCGGGTGCAAAAGGCGCCATTCCCGCGCCACTGAACTGGGCTACAGCCCGTGTCCTGGACCTGAGGGCTTTGAACTGAGACCCGGGGCACGAAATTAGGGGCGTGGGTTCCCCACGACGGTGGGGCACAAGGCAGACACAGCACCCCAAAGCTGTTGAGGTTTACCCTACCATTCCTGCTCTGTTCCCTGTCCCACGGGGTGGGGGGGCGAAAAACAGCCCCCCAAGGACAATAGGAGAGATCTCTGGCGCCACCTAGCGACCAGGAAAAAAAAGTCACTAACACCCCATAGAACAGGAAATTTCTTAAGACTGCTTGAAAAGGGCAGAAGGCTTCTGGAGGACCCAGTGGCCAGCCGGGAAGTTAGCCCACCCCACGCCAGGCCCCTTCCGACCAGCAGTCTGAGCCCACAGAGGGAGCAGGCACCCACGTCCGGGGCAGACCGGGGGCGCAGAAGAGTGTGCCTGAAACCGGAGGCGCAGGGACTGCATCCCGCTTCGCCATTTGAGAACAGGGACATTGCTTCAGTAAAAACTGCCTAAAACCAGCAGAAAGCTCCCCCAGAAGGCAGAGATGGCTCCTGGAAGAGCCAGAGGGGAGCGGAGAAGTTCACCCAAGATGCCAGTCAGTCGAGCAACACAGTGTCCCAACGCATACGACAAATTAGAAAACAGACAGTAGGGAGTAGAAGAACCACACACAACCTAACAACTCCTCAGGAAAGAAGCACACACAAAAGAAAACCACCCCAGATTGCAACGACAGCAACTTGGAAGAACTTCTGAGCCTTCCAGAAAGAGAATTTAAAATTGCCATGATTAAAAAAGTGATAGATCAGAAGAAGGAAATAGAGTCCCTAAAGAGGGAAATAAAAGAAATGCAGGAGATCAAAGAATTAATGGAGGAACTAAAGAAACCTGGGAAAAGCAATGAAAGCAGAATAGATGAAATGGAAGAACGAATAAGTACTCTTGAAGACACAGAAATAAAAAGAACCAAAACAGAAAAGGAAAGAGAAGTACGAAGGAAAAAGAATGAAGAAAGACTTCGGGAACTATCTGACTCCATGAGGAAAGGAAATATAAGAGTTATAAGAATTCCAGAAGGAGAGGAGAGAGATGTAGGAACAGAGAAAATATTCCAGGAGATAATTGAAGAGAACTTCCCAAATGCGAAGAAGGAGCTGAAAATTGATATACAAGAAGCAAGAAGAACACCAAACTTCCACGACGAAAGGAAAAACACAGCAAGACACATAATAGTAAAGCTCCCAAGAATCCAGAACAAGGAAAAAATAATGAAGCTGACAAGAGGGAAGACACAGATAACATTCAAAGGAAAACCAATCAGGCTGACATCAGACTTCTCTGAAGAAACACTACGGGCAAGGAGAGAGTGGAGGGACATAGTCAACAGACTTCAAGAAAACAGATGCCAACCAAGAATACTCTATCCCGCAAAGCTCTCTTTCCTCCATGAAGAAAGAATATGGACCTTCCCAGACAAAGAGAAACTCCGGAATTTCATTACGACTAAGCCCCCACTCCAAAAAAATACTACAAGGAATCCTAAAGCCAGAACCTCAGAGGGATGAATAACAACGAAAGAAGACCAGAAAAAAAAAAAGTTATTAAAAGAATAAATAAATAAAATCAAAGGAAAGACAAACATAATGGCAAATACAGATGCTAACATATCAATATTAACTCTAAATGTAAATGGACTAAACTCTTCAATAAAAGACACAGAGTTGCAGCCTGGATTAAGAAACAAACCCAACCTTTTGCTGTCTCCAGGAAACACATTTAGCTACAAAAGATAAAAATAGGCTCAAAGTCAAAAGATGGAAAACAATCCTACAAGCAAATGGGCCAAAAAAGAAAGCAGGAACAGCTATACATATATCAGATAAAACAGACTTCAAACTCAAAAAAATAAAAAGAGACCCCAATGGTCACTACATTATGATCAAGGGGACAATACTTCAAGAAGAAATAACACTCATTAACATATACTCACCAAACGAAAGAGCACCAAAATATATCAGACAACTGTTGTCCTCTCTGAAAACAGACATCAGAGAAAACACATACGTAGTGGGAGACTTCAACACACCACTATCAACAATGGATAGATCAACAAGACAAAAAATAAGTAAAGAAACTAAAGCTCTAAATAAGGACCTAGAGCATTTGGGCTTAACAGACATCTATAGAACACTAAACCCAAAAAAAACGGAGTGCACATTTTTCTCAAGCGCACACGGATCATTCTCCAGGATTGATCACATACTGGGGCACAAGACAAACATCAACAGATACACCAAGATTGAAATCATACCAACCATCTTTTCTGACCACGAAGGCATCAAACTAGAAATAAATCATAAAAAGAAGGCAAGGAACTATCCTACCTCATGGAGATTAAAAACCACACTACTGGAAGACCACTGGACTAACGAGGAGATCAAAGAAGAAAAAAAAATTCTTTGAATTGAATGACAAGGAGGACACCAATATCCTAAATGTATGGGATGCAGCAAAAGCAGTAATAAGAGGAAAATATATAGCAATAGAAGCTCACATCAAAAAACAAGAAAGAACTCAAAGAAACAACCTAATCTCGAAGCTCAAAGATCTAGAAAAAGAACAACAAAAAAACCCCAAAACCAGTAGAAGAAAAGAAATAATAAAAACCAAAGCAGAAATAAATGAAATTGAAACTAAAAAAACAATCCAAAAGATCAATGAAACCAAGAGCTGGTTCTTTGAAAAAATAAATAAAATAGACAAACCCCTAGCCAGGCTCACAAAGGAAAAAAGGAGAAAGCACAAATACACAGAATCATAAATGAAAGAGAGAAATCACAACGGACACAGCAGAAATCAAAAGAATAATCAGTAACTACTATGAACAGTTATATGGAAACAAGTTCAACAATCTAGAGGAGATGGACAAATTCCTACAACTCTACAATCACCCAAAGCTAGATAAAGAAGAAATAGAACACCTAAACAGACCAATTACAAGCAGCGAAATTGAAATGGTAATCAAAAACCTCCCCAAAAACAAAAGCCCAGGACCTGATGGATTTACAAATGAATTCTACCAAACATTCAGAGACGAATTAGTGCCTATCCTTCACAAACTCTTCCAAAAAATTGAGAAGGAAGGGACAATACCAAACACGTTCTATGAAGCCAATATTACACTAATACCAAAACCGAATAAGGACAACACAAAAAAGGAAAACTATAGGCCAATCTCCCTAATGAACACTGATGCAAAAATCCTCAATAAAATTTTAGCTATCAGAATCCAACAATGTATCCATAAGATAATTCACCACGACCAAGTTGGATTCATTCCAGGGGCACAAGGATGGTTTAACATCCGAAAATCAATCAACGTTATCCAACACATCAACAAAAAGAAATATAAAAAACCATATGATAATATCAATAGATGCTGAGAAAGCTTTCGACAAAGTGCAACACCCATTCATGATAAAAGCCCTTAAAATTCTTGGGATACAAGGAACATACCTCAACATCATAAAGGCCATCTATGACAAGCCAACAGCCAGTATCATTCTCAATGGTGAAAAGCTGAAAGCAATTCCATTAAGATCTGGAACAAGACAAGGATGTCCACTCTCACCACTGCTTTTCAATATAATACTGGAAGTCCTAGCCAGAGCAATAAGACAAGAGAAAGACATCCAAGGAATCCAAATAGGAAAAGAAGAAGTCAAACTATCACTATTTGCAGATGATATGATAATATACATAGAGAACCCCAAAATCTCCACAGAAAAACTAATTCAACTCATCAATCAATTCAGTAAAGTGGCAGGATACAAAATCAACACGCAAAAGTCAGTAGCCTTCCTATACACAAACAATAAATCTGAAGAAGAAGAAATCAAAAAACCATCCCTTTTATTATTGAAACAAAAAAATCAAATATTTGGGAATAAATCTAACAAAAGAGGTAAAGGACCTATACAAAGAAAACTATAAAACACTGTTAAAAGAAATAGAAGAAGACACAAAGAAATGGAAAGACATCCCCTGCTCATGGATTGGAAGAATAAACATTATTAAAATGGCCATCCTACCAAAAGCAATATACAGATTCAATGCTATTCCAATCAAAATCTCAATGGCATTCTTCAAAGAAATAGAACAATTATTGATGAAATTCTTATGGAATCACCAAAAACCCCGAATAGCCAAAGCTCTCCTGAAAAAAAAAGAAGGAAATGGAGGCATCACACTCCCAGACTTCAAACTATACTACAAAGCCATAATCATCAAAACTGCATGGTATTGGCACAAGAACAGACATACAGACCAATGGAATCGAATAGAAAATCCAGAAATAAACCCACAGATTTATGGTCAACTAATCTTTGACAAAGGAGCAAAGACTATGCATTGGAGCAAAGAAAGTTTGTTCAATAAATGGTGCTGGGAAAACTGGGTCGCTACATGCAAAAGAATGAAGCTTGACCACTACCTCACACCCTACACAAAAATCAACTCAAAATGGATTAAAGAACTAGCATAAGACCTGAAACCATAAAATACATAGAAGGAAATATAGGCGAAACACTACGGGATTTGCACATCAAAGACATCTTTACAGACACATCACCCAAAGCAGTGATAGTGAAGGCAAAGATAAACAGCTGGGACTACATCAAATTAAAGAGCTTCTGCACAGCAAAAGAGACAATAACAAAAAAAAGAGAAACCCCACCAACTGGGAGAACATTTTTGCACCCAACACTAATGATAAAGGACTGATCACAAAAATCTGCAAAGAGCTGATGAGACTCAGCAACAACAAAGAAAATAACCCAGTCAAAAAATGGGCAGAAGAGCTAAAAAGAAACTTCTCTGAAGAGGAAATGCAAATGGCCAACAGACATATGAAAAAATGTTCAACATCACTTGTAATCAGGGAAATGCAAATCAAAACTACCATGAGATACCATCTCACACCAGTGAGAATGGCACATATTAAAAAAACTAGCAACAACAAATGTTGGCGAGGGTGTGGAGAAAAAGGAACTCTTCTGCACTGTTGGTGGGAGTGCAAACTGGTCCAACCACTATGGAGAGCTGTGTGAAGATTTCTGGACCTACTAAACATAGAGCTTCCATATGATCCAGCCATTCCACTCCTAGGTATTTACCCAAAGGACACAGAAACATCAATTCCAAAGAGCACCTGCACCCCTATGTTTATAGCAGCACTGTTTACAATAGCTAAGCTTTGGAAACAACCCAAATGCCCAAAAATAGATGACTGGATCAAGAAGATGTGGTCCATATACACCATGGAATATTACTCAGCATTCAAAAAAGATAAACACATGCAATTTGCAGCAACATGGATGGCGCTGGAAGGGATCATGCTCAGCGAAATAAGCCAAAAAGAAAAAGAAAAATACCGGATGGTCTCACTCATAGCAGGAATCTAGAAAACTTAAATAAGGGACCAGGAAAATGAATATAAGAAAGTGAAAATCAAAATCAACAAAAACTATGAACCAGAGACACTTTTTGGGGTGGGGGGCGGGGGGGAAGGATTGGGTCAGAATGGGGCGTTTGCAATTGTATGGGGGAATATAAAAATAAAATTTATTATTAAAAAAAAAAAAAAGACCTGATGTGGAACGCTATGATGGAAAGCATAAATAGGCTGTTGATTTTCATTGTTTTGGTCATTTTCAGACACTTCATGTTATAAAGTCATAATGTGACCCTAACTGGGCAGTAGAGTTGATGATGACAGTGGTTGGTGTTTCTACCACACCTGCCTCTGGAGACATGGAAGTTGCCCGTGCACTTCCAAAATCTCATCTTTAAATCCCCTGTGAAACAGTAACATATCCCTTACCAAGAAGTGTATATTTCCAGGTGTGATGAAGTCAATTGATTGAAACTTTCCATCACAAGCCTGTAGGACATTTTCAAAGGTTGGCTCCTCACCAAAAGTGTAGATATGAACAGATCCCTGTTAATATAAAGAAAAAAAAAAATACCGTGCAATTGTTGTGTTTGCAGGTCAACAAACATTTACTAAATGCCTACTGAGAACAAGGCAGTATGAGGGGATCGGTAATGGGAAATTAGAGATCAACTCAGTAAGGCCCTGACCTTAAGGAACTTAAAAATCTAGATCTTAATTTGTTTATTGATTGGTTCATTTATCCATTCATTCAACATTGAATAATCAGTAAGTAGGACTTTCTTCTTTTCTCCAATTCCCGTTATTTGTTTTTCAAAGATACAAAACATCACAACATACTTTTTCTTGATTTTAAAAATGTGTACTTATGCAGAGAATTTGGAAAATTAAAAAAAAAAAAACAACCTAGAAAAGTTGTTAAGATTACCTAATTCCTATCACATACTAGACCATGTCGGTCATTAATAAAAACTTATAAGTAACCTTTGTGGAAGTTAGTTGTCACTTTGTTTATCATTCTCAGACCCCAAATTTATCTCTCAAAAACAACCTATCTTGTAAGTTATACATCTCCACCAGGTAACCTGTAATATAGTATGATCACTTAATAAGAACTACTTCCAACTGAACACAAGTTTTCAAGTTTACTTGAGTCAAACATGAATAATTTTGTACTTGTGTACTTGTGTATCCAAAAAATACAACTCTGCAGAGTCAAAAATTTGGAATATATTTCCCAATTATACCTTTCATTTATTCCTCCAAAAATGATGATTAGATATTGATTAGTTCAAGCACTGCTCTGGATGTTGGGTATACATCAGAGGGCAAGACAAAAATTCCCTGCTCTCATGCATCTTATGTTCTATTGAAGAATTCAGAAAATAAGATATGTGAATAACATATATTGTTTTAAAAAAGTGATTGTAAGAATGGGCCTCCCCAGGTGGAGCAGGTGGTTGAGTGCCGCGCTATGAAGCTGTCCGCAGCCTCTGCATCACCGGTTCGATCCCTGCCGGCTGGCGAGGGTCCCACATGGGCGCTGCAGACCTCTCCTGTTGCACCCGCTGCTCCCTTCAGCAGTGTATTTCGTCTTTCTGCCTGTTCTGTTCCCTGCTCTGTCTCTGGTGAATCCTTTCATCCTCCCACGGATCTGACCTGTACCCCAGTTCTTGTATAAATAAATAAAAAAATCTTTAAAAAAAAGGGTAATTGTAAGAAGGGAAAAATAATAAAGCAGGAAAAGAGGACTCAGCAAAAGGAGAGGGGAACTGTTAAACACAGTGTCCAAGAAGGCTTTACAGAGAAGGTGACTTTAGAGAAAAGTCTTGAAGGAAAGTAGGATAGTATTCATATGGATTCTTCAGAAAGAGCATTCCACACAGAGGGAACAGCCAGTGCAAAGATTCTGAGGAAGGAGCATAAATGGCATGTTCAAATAAACAGCATAATGGTGAGAGTAGGGTGAACAGGAAGCAGGGTAGTGCAGAGAAGGGCAGGGTGGGGATTGGAGTCCATGTCATGAAGGACCTTGTAAAGCATCCCAAGGATTTTATCCTGGCTTTTTCTCACTATACACAGGAAATCACTGGAGGACTCTGAGTAGCAGAGAGAAACACTTTGCTCAGTTTGGTTGCTTTGTTGAGGGTACATGGTTTATTCTATCAATGTACTGAGAAAAGTATATAAAAATCCCACATTGAGATCATGATAGTGTCTTCCTTGTAACTGTATCATGTTTTGCTTCATATACTTTGAGGCTCTTACTTAGTACATATACATATTAAATATTTTTATATTACTAGTGAATTTAACCTTCTGAAACATTTTTGTTTAAATGTCTACTTTGTCTAATGTGACTGTTACCTCCACAAGCTTTCTTTTGGTTAATGTCTACATGATAGATCTTTTTTCCCACCTTTGCTTTTACTTTCAATCTTTTTATTTACTTTCAATGTTAATGTACTTTATTACCATTTATTCACTTTCAATATTACTGTACCTTTATGTTTTAGATGTGCTGCTTATAAACAGTATGTAGTTGGGCTTTGCTTTTCTTTATTTTTCCTTAATCTAGTATGGTAAAGCTTTTCATTTTAACCAGATCATTTGTTCTATTTGACTTTTATTGAAATTAGCAATATATTTGAGTTTAATTATAACATTTCAATTTATGCTATTTTTCCCCTTGTTTTGTGGTTTTTTTGGTCTCTTTTTCTTAGTTTTTTTTTTAACATTTCACTTTTCCTTCCTATAATTTGGAAATTCCACCTACTGTTACATTTCTTTTAATGTTTACCTTAGAAGTTACAATATCCAATGTATTAACAGCAAAAATAATTTTCTTCAGAGGAAAGACTTCTGAGGAAATATAATAAATATATAATAAATATAATAAATATATATATTTATATATAAATATATATAAGTATATATTTATATGTATTTATATATATTTATATAATAAATATATAATAAACTGAGGAAATATAATAAACTAGGAATGCTTTATTCCACTTAACCCTTTCTCTCAAACATACACTGCTATTATCTGGGATTTTAATTCTGTGTTATTTTTAAACCTACCATCACATTATGTTCTGCTGTTTTTTATGCTCATTTACATTTCCCCATATATTTACTGCTGTCCTTCATTCCTCTTGCATCACAGTTCTTCCATCTGGGATCATTTCCTTCTGCCTGAAGTACAGTCCTTAGAATTTTCACCAGGGATGGTTTACTGCTATAACTCTCAGTTTTAGAGTGTCTAAAAATGCCATTTTTCACCCCTGTACTGAGAAGGTATTTTTGCTGGGTATAGAATTCCATGTGGTGGTTACCTCATTTTATTATATCAGGGTGGTCAGCACACTTTTTTAAAAAAAATGGACAGATAGTAAATATGTTAGACTTTATAGGTCAGGTGGTTCCATCACAAATTAACTTCACATTGTAGTGTGAAAGCAGCCATTGACAATACATAAGTGAATGGGTATGACTATGTGCCAATAAACCTTCATGGACAAAGGTAAGCAGCAGGCTATTTTTAACCCACAGAGCCATAATTTGATGATGCCTTCATGAAAGATATCATTCCACTCTTTATTGCCACAGAGAAGTTAGCTGTTAGTCTGACATTTGCACCAAAGGAGTACTGACTAATGGAGTATCATTACACAGAGTCCCCTGCCCTTCATTCCTCTCTTGTAATGACAATAATAATATATGAAAATTGTGCATCAAAAATTCATCATCTACATACCTTTTCTGTTTGAATCAGCAACATTTTGTAACTGGGAGAAAACATCAAATGTTCCACAGGCTCTTCAATCACAAGAAATTCCTCCATTTTGTAATTTGTGTCTTTCATAGTAAAAGAATACACAATGCCATCCTACTGACCAAAAATAATGAAATTAATGCAGAAAAACAGTCTCACTCAATGCATAGTATACTTTCCCCATAAGACAAGCAAAGACTTACTGGTTACTGAGTACTGTTTATTTTTGGAATCAGCATCTATGTCTACAGGATTTAGAATGCCCTGTTTCCTTCTTTTATTTGGCAACTTTTAACCATATTCCCTAGCCACATTTCACTTCAATCTCTTTTGTGGCACATGTTTCTATTACTTAAAATTTTACTGATCTCTCCTTTCTTTGAACCTCTTCACCACCTACCTACCACATTCTTCATTACACAGTAGTAGGTGGGGCAAATGAGGCATCTTATCCTGTGGCTTATAAACAGCAGTCTCCTTACTTCAAGGGACATTAGTTTTAATGTCTGTCCTTTAATCATTACTATATGCATTTCTTGTCATCCTAAATGACCCAAAGGTAGGGTGTGTGCTATTTATTTCCTCTGTAGCCTCCTCTCCAGTTCCTCAAACAGATCTCAAACATGACAAGTATTCAGTAGAGATGGCTGATTGATCAATTATAAATAGATTTAAGTTAATTTAGCTACTCTTAAAAGGAATTTGAGTTATTTTTACAAAAGTGAAGAGGGCTTGGGAAAATCCAACCAGCATTTCTAGATTAGACCCCATTATTTGTTTTTTTTTAATATATATATATATATTTTTTTTTATTTATTTAGACAAGCACTGGGTACAGTCAGAAACGCGGGAGGGTGAGAGAATTCACCAGAGCCAGAGCTGGGAGCAGAGCAGGCAGAAGGACCGAAGTACACTGCTGAGGGGAGCAGCGGGCAGCAGGAGAGGTCTGCGCACCATGTGGGACCCTCCTCCGGTGGCCGGGGGAGTAGCCGGGAACCGAACCAGCACTGCAGAGGCTGTGGGCAGCCTCGCAACCCAACGCTCAACCGCTGTGCCACCGGGGAGGCCCTATTTGTTGTTTTTTTAAGATTTATTTTTATTTATTTATGCATATAAGAACAGGGGTCTAAGCCAGAGGTGTGGGGGTAAGAGGATTCCCCAGAGATAGCATGGGGAGCAGAACAGGCAGATCTACTGAAATATACTGCTGAGGGGAGCAGTGAGCAAGACAGGAGAGGTCTGCTGCGCCATGTGGGTCAGCTTCCTGGCCAGGGATAGAACTTATGCTGCAGTGGCTGGTGATAGCTTGTTAGTGCTGTGACTTAACCCCTGTGCCACCAGAGAGACCCATAGTTTGGCATTTGTGAGATGGCCGAGTTCAGACATTGGGGATCTAGGGTGGGGGAGGGGGTGAATATCCAGGTGTTTCTCCAAGCTCACCATCATTCTCTATCTTTCAGCAGAGCAGATGCTCCTATCACTCCTTTAAAATAGTTTAAAACAAATACAGTGGGTAACCTTGAGGAAGACACACATCATAAAAGGCCACAAATGCAGACTAAATAAGAAGGAAGTCCAATTCAGTGTCAGAGGTGTTACAAACTGAGTGTATGTTTCAGAGTCCCAGATTGCTTCTCATCAGTGGAGTTACAACTCTTATCCTGGTGTTATTTTCTACCTGTCCTCAGTGTCCAGGGGATATGATCTGTGGTATGAAAAAAGACAAGGCTAATGGTGACCTCAGGAGAGTTCTCAGTAGACCTGAGATTTTAGTGTGTGTGAACTCCAGACCTGAGCACTGATTACAAAGCATGGAGAAAAGAACATGGGTATGAACCTTTTTTATACTTACTGAGGCAGAGTGCTCTAAAAAATGAGAGCAAAGACTAGAGTTTGCCACACCTGAATTCAAACCCCTTCTCTTCCATTTAATGGCTGGTGAGCTCTGTAAGACTTAGTTCCTTCATCTGTATAATAAGATTTCAATTGTTCCTGCTTGATAGGGTTGTTGGGAGGACCATAAAGACAAAACAAGCAAGGCACTTAGCATGGTGCCTGACACAATTTAAGCACCAAGTAAATGAGGGCTATTACTACTCACTCTACTATGAATAATAACAATATGAACTTGTAAGTCAGATGGGTGCGCACAAGAGACTGAGTTGAAGCTTAGACAAAAGGTTCCAATTGTGTCTTACGACCTAATATATTAAGTACAGACTGGCATGGAACTGAGGGACAGGTGTGTGTTTGTTCATTTGTTTTTAGTGGAGTGTAAATGGATTTTTTAAAATTCTGGTTTTGCTTATTTGCAGTAGGATAGGTGTATGTTCACTGTACTGTTCTCTCTACTTTTGTAGATCTTTGAAATTCTTCCTAATAAAAAGTTTTATAATAGCATCCAAAAAAGAAACAATTTTATATAATAATCTCACAGAAACTGACATCCCAAATTATGGCCCATAATAGTAAATGGCAGCAAGTAGAAAATGTAAATTTTCTTGAAAGCCATTAATTTTGAAGGAAAAAAATACATTACAATTCCAGAAGCAATCAGGCCTCCCTTCTGATATACCATGGTGACTGGACTGAAAAGATTCATTTGCTCTTTAAGGAAAAGAAAACAAACAAAACAGGTGACACATGATTAAAAATGCAGTACACAAAGTAACTCATCTCATTTGCTTTTCTAGGACTATTCATTTCTAATCCTTCTTGCCAAAAATCAACTTTTCATCAGAATATGTACTATGATGTCTCCCAAACAATGAATAACAAAAGATGCTTAGCAGTGATTACAGATGTAAATCATGAGTTTTTAAAGTTCTGTGTCATTAGGTCTTTATAACTAACATGACGGAATCATACAGTAAATACATTGTTTTTTTTGGAAAGCATTGTAAGAGAAAAAAAATAAACCAGACCAAATTATATTTTTTATCAAGCTGTATGGTATGCAATTTATACCTCAATAAATAAAGTTCAGTGAATAAGAAAGTAAAAAGAAGAAAAAGTTCTGTAAGAACATTTTTACTTGTAAATTACTGCTTTTAAGATTAACTACCAGAACCATGCGAGCAAAGACTCATTCATCAAATTGCTGGTTTACTTCATACTTTGTGCTTGGAATTTGTCTGGATGCTAAGCAGATACTGTCCCTTGCCGCTGTCCCCATCAGCCCTCTTCTTTCCAATCAAACTGCCACCAGAGTACAAGTATTCTGACTTCTCATCTAGTCTAGGTACCTGCTGCTTATGCAACATACTTTGAAGATAGTCCTGTCCTGAGCAATGGCTAATGTCCCCAAGCACAGTGCCAGGTGGGATCCATCCCCATTCAGGGGTTTTAGATGCTACCTGCTGTCAGCTGAGTCAAGTACAAATGTCTCAGCAGGACATTCCAGGTCAGACGTGGTATAGATGTTCCTTTATTTTCCACTACCCCTATATAACACTCTGTGCTCTAGAAAAACTGAAATATTTCTTGTTTTTCAACCTTCTCCATGTTTCCTTGTCTATGCAGATATGCTTGCCCAAAATTTCACCTACTGTCATCTCTGCCTATGAACCATCCTTCAAGGAGGCCATTTCAAATCCCACCTTCAAAATCACTTAACTTGTCCTGTTTCCTTCATCTGAATCCCCCAAGCAATGTATGAAGTTTTCCTTAATGAAACCATCTTAATCTACCTGGCCCTTATCTGTCTGCTTGTCTTATCTTCTTTAATGAGAAATAATTATTTTGAGGGTCAAGATTATGAGACTATAAATTTTCCATCTGTGTCAGCTTAGGGGCACCTTGCTTAATGTCTTCCACATTGAAAAGGCTAGATAAATATTTCTTTGAGAGCATTTATATTATACCATGAAAATGATCAGAAATACTATGCAGAAAGGAAATGGTGAACTGGTCCTCAATTATATGATGTATTACCAGTGTAATAGGAGTTTGGAAGTGAAAAACACTGGTTTATAATTCATTTTACAAACACATGGAGGTGCCCGTTTACTCTGTAGCCATCTCTGGGATTAAACTTTGGAACCAAAGAGTGAGTGAGGCACAGTTCCTGACTTCAAAGAGTTGATGAGTGGTGGGAAAGCCAGATGTGCACATGGACCATGATAATAGAATAGGTTGCAGCTCTAACAAAGGAGTGAATCTGATGGAACCCCCGATTTTGCTTGAAGGTTGGAGTAAGGATAGCACAGGCTCCACGGAGGATAACTTTCAGGTAGACAAGGGAGAGAAGTCCAGTTCAGACAAAGGTAACTACAAACGCCAGTGGGCAGAATTTGGAGAGAGTATGGTGATGATGAGAATTTCTAAAAGGTGGAGATAAAACTGGAAAGGAAGGCCAGAAAAGAGACTTATTTTTTAGAGAGCTGTGGGATGGCCTTGTGGATGAGAGATTAGAGAGCAAACCAAGCCTGCAGTGTAAAAGAAAGAGAGGGGCTGGGATAGGAGAGTTGAACCTAACGGCCTCACTTTTGTCAGTGAAGTATGGGAGAAGCCAAGGAATGGTAAGAGTAGTACATGAGGAATTCCTTAGCTGGAGAAAAATTGCTGTATGAGATGATTGTCAGTTGGGCACTGAAGGATTTGGAGGATAAGTTAGATTTGGGGACGAGTTTGGAGGCATGTCTATGAAATGATGGGAAGTAATGTCTAGATCAGACACAATAGTAGTAGAAAATAATGCTAATGAAACAAGTAGGCTCATGAAATGTCTTGTGTGATTTGATTCCAGAGAAATCCTTGGGTTGCCTATTGACAATGGTCTTCAAGAGGGGCCTTTTGGTAGGGATGAGCTGCCTGGTTTATATCAGCTTGAGGTCAGTGAAGTCAGTGCTAAGATTGCTGCAGAAATCAAGGTGTGTAAGAGTAAGAGTAACTGGAATGCAGAGTGCATTGACAGGTATGGGAAGCTTGCACTGTCATGGTTCCTTTTCCAAAGGATCTTTAGCTTTCTCGCACTGTGGGGGAGGTGGCGGGGGGGAGGGGAGGTGGAGGACATTGGCTTCTGTTAGCCAGGCCCAACTCTGGTCATAACTGATGGGACCAGAAATGAACATCAGATTTAAGGATACAAGCAACAAAAGTAATTTTCAAGATGGCAGTTGTACTCAAAAGAGAAGACCATGATGGAGAAAGGAGAGAGCTAGAGGGAAGGAAAGGACATGAATAGCACATGACATGGAACAGGCACAGAAGCTAACAACTTGAACTCTACAGTCTTCTTGCCTGGGTCAGATGTCAGTTCCATATTTACTAGTTATATGAATTTGGGCACATTTTTTAATCTCTCGGTATCTCCATTTCCTCCTCTCTATCATGGAAATAAAACTGTACTTCCTTTTAACATTGATTTGAGCATTACATGAAGTATGCATTTAGAGTGATAGTAGAATGCTTAGAGCATGGAGCACTCAATAAATGTTAACTTGCTACAGGGCTTGATAACTAACTAGAGGAAACAAAGATACCTCTTAAGAAACAGAAACAGGGAACAAAACATCTACCTTCAAGCATGTGTAAAACCAACAACCATGACTGTATTTCTGGGGATATGAGGCAAAGCAGTTTCTCACCCTGTGCAAGTTGTTCTTCTGTTCTAGTAAGTAGAGTCACTTGTAAGGTTTCTCCGCTAACCATCAAAACAGGACCTTCTTCACAGCCAATGTACAAGTCATTTGTTGGAGTCCAACAATGCATTGTAGGGTGAAGTGTCGGATACAGATCATCTTTAGGCTTCAGGGAAAGATTAAAAACCTTGTGTTAAGACAATAATCATGGCTGATGAGCTAGAGAAGTACCTATCAAAACAATTTCCAAAAGAAGCAAATGAGTAGGAGCCTACATATATTCACTGGACTTGCCATCTGCCAAGAGCTTAGTGGATTTCCCCTTCCTTGCATCGTTTCTCACTAGTTTTTAATTCCCTAGGAAAAAATAAGGCATTCTTGCCAACATATTCAGAGTGTTAGTGTCACAGATTGTGAACATTTGAGTAATAACTTCTATACTGCTTCTTGGTGGATGTTTTTGGCATCTTCAATATAAAAAAGTCATTGTTCAGCTGAAAGCATTCCTTTTGAGCAACATTTTTGTCAATATTCCTCCCTCCTGGGTCTGCAGGGGACACATCTGTGGTTTTCCTTGAGTTGCTATGGAGAAGTTGACCTATCTCCTCGGCTTGGTTAGCTCTGTGGGGAATGAGAAGACGATCTCTTGCCCGATTCTGATGGTCTCTCCAGTTGCATTCATAAGTGTTTTGTGTGATTTGATTCCATGGAAAAGTCAAACTAAAATCTACAAGATCTGATACGTGCCCAGAAGGAAAGCTGGCTTTGGGACTAAAAATAAATGAGAGGAGCAAAGGGTGTAAGGCAAATATTTCCTGTAAAGGACCAGGGAGTGAATACTTCACACTTTGTGGACCACATAGTTGTCACATAACCTTTAGAAAAAAATCCTTAAAAAGTATAAAAAGCAGTCTTAGTTTGGTGCCATGCAAGAGCAGATGGTAGCTTGCTGATCTCTGCCTTAGACCTTAATACCTTAGCAGTACACCCCCTACAGCCTGAACACTCATGTCTAGCAGGGGAGAGGCCACTCCCCATTTCTGTCAGCAAAGAGCAACATGTACTTTCCTTCCTGGAGGCTGAGGTAATGATGGCAGATCTTTTGGGCCTGTACCCCTCACAGCACCGATTAAGATTTGAAATTCAGGATACCAAAATATGGCACTCCTTCTAAACACACTAGTGTATCTGTCTCTGTCTCTCTCTCTTAATACTAAGTGCCTTGTTCTGCTATACTAAGAACAGCATTAGCTACAATATAATGCCTTTGTTTTCTTTAGGCATCCTTATATCATAGGAACAGAAAAAAAAAAGTAATGAGCTACTGGCCACATGAACAAAACCCTTAAATTTCTTGAGATTTCTACACTTACTGTATCCTTTTATTCAATTATTCATTCATCTAACACATGTGTATTAGACATGTATTACATTCCAGGCACTGTTCTAGACACAAAGATGTACCCGTAGCAAAACAGAAAAACCACCCTACACTCTTAGGGTTTTCACCTTGGTGAGGGAAACAGAGTAAAAAATATATCCAGCTGGGCCTCCCTGGTGGCGCAGCGGTTGAGCGCTGGGTTGCAAAGCTGCCCGCAGCCTCTGCAGCACCGGTTCAATCCCTGGCTGCTCCCCGGCCACCAGAGGAGGGTCCCACATGGCGTGCAGACCTCTCCTGCCGCCCGCTGCTCCCCTCAGCAGTGTGCTTCGGTCCTTCTGCCTGCTCTGCTCCCCGCTCTGGCTCTGGTGAATTCTCTCACCCTCCCGCGCTTCTGACTGTACCCAGTGCCTGTATAAATAAATAAATAAATCTTTAAAAAATATATATATATCCAGCTGTTAAATATAGAGTGTATGTGTTGAAAAGTGCTGTGGAGAAAAGCAGGGTAAGTTGGAGTCAGTTCCACAGTGGGGGAATGACACGAACCTTCTGTGTCGTTTTTTCCATTCAGAACTCTTTGATGCGTGGGAGCACCTTGCAATACTCAATTATTTGAATATTACAGACTGCTTTTTTTAATTTAAGGAAAGAAGGTGTGGAGCTGGCACAATGAATATGTTTACTAGATTCTCAACTATATAAAAATTGTTGCACAGTTCATATTTCAACTAGCATTTGTTGGTTATTTGAGTACCAGGACTCGTGCCTAGAATGAAGGAAACTCTCTTTTCAATCATATAATCACCTTCTGTGGGAAAAAATGTTATAAACAAGTGTCAAAATCAGAAAACATGGTAGGTTATAGTAAAAGGGTGTTTAGATAGGGAATATTGATGAGAAAGCAAATGCTTCTTGTGGCATGAAGGAAGGGTAGAGAGAAGGAATTATTATTTGGGGTGGGGTTTGGAATGACGAAGGCAGAAATCATACACAGGCGCACTTACCAAGATCATTTTTTTCAAATGGGTAAATTAACTTTATTTGTATGGATGCTCTATTTCATAGCCTCATAGTTTGGGGTTGTTAGAAAACACTGAGTATCAGTTTGGTCACCCTGTGGGCCAAAAGGGATGGGGTGGAGGGGAGGAACCAACCAAAAGAATTAAACTGCTACTGATTAGTGACAATTTGTGGTGTCTGAGATTTAACTCATAGGGATAAGATTCACTCGCTGAATACTATTAAATGCTCACCATTATTTACAAGTTTCCTGGGTTGACATCTAACCTTAGACTATAAATCACAAAAAGATAAGACTCTTGCTTGGTAGAGCTATGGGCTCAAAACCTTTACAAAGCACGCATGCATGCCTGGGCCTCACAACACTAGTGAATCTGTAGATATCTTACTTAAAGATAAATCCAGGCTTGTCTGCCTATTCCTTTTTTTCATCAATATATATGTTCTGTGTCATCTCAAGATGGATGTGATATTGTACAGATTATGTGAGCAGAAACAATAATGTTCAATTCTGAAAATTCTGAGATTTATAAAAGGTGCCAATAGTGTTTTAAAATATATATTGATAACACCACCTCCTTGTTCAGCCCTCTGGAATCATAAATCAAACATTGTGATTATCTTAAGACTAAACTTATAAAAGTTGAAACCAATTTCTTATTGATTTAGAAAATATAAGTATCAGAATATATTTCAGAATATTTGAGTTTATAAAGGAGACATCTTTTAGCAACTTAAAAAAAAAAAAAAGGTAGATGGAAAAAGGAAACTGAACACCTAAGATTAAATTCATTATCTTGGGTCCAATTTCTTTCCAGGTAGCATTTGTCTTTGATTTCTCCCATGCTGCTAGAGGATGCTGTTTCTAATGCCCTAAATAAGTTGTGTAATGTGACAGGGGTCTATTTCAAGGCCTATAATATACCTTTCTAGTGTTTACTACAAGAGAGATAATGGGAGTATTTAGTGTTTGTAATTTTGTGAAAGTCCACAGTTTGTGGATTTTTAAGACTCTTAAATAGATCAAGTCATTATGGATTTCTTTGCCATTGGTATCCAGCTCACAAGAAATACCATTCAAAGGAAGGAACAGAACTAAGACATTTGAGATTGGGGTATGCTTTGGGGTATTCTTTCACTCATCCCGACACTCATCAATGTTTTTAGCCATTTTTCTTTCCTTATTTTTTATAAGATGAAAAAGTAAATACTGGGGAAATTAATTTCTAATTTAAGTGTGAAGTATATGGCTTTATTAATAGTCCCTGCATGGTTTGGATATGTCCAATTTTAAATTTCTGTTTTCAGAAAAAGGCTAAAATGCACTGAGTACAAAAGCCTTTATGAGTGTTTCTTAAAAATGGTAACTCCATATTTAAGTACTTAAAGAAAGCATTTCATAGCATTTTTCAGATTACAATTGCCTGAATTTTAAATGTTTTGTGTAGGATTTATCATGTTGCTACAAAGTGTGACAGGTGAGGATGCCTATAGCAATTTACTGTAGAAAAAAAGGTTTGCGATAGTTGAAAAACTGGAGTTCTGGGCATCAAATACTAAACATAGAAACACTTTCAAGTCGTAAACATTGGTGGCAGATCTATTTGTTTTCGCTTTGCTGCCCCAGTGTGGCCGAGTGCGGTTGTGTTCTCAAACTCAAGAGAGCTAGTAAAAGAAATTAATCATTTTCTGTAATTTAAAAAAGTAAATAACTGTCATCCTTTAGAGGAAATAATAAGAGCATATGATCTTTTCTCTTGCTTGCCAGAGATTCCTTAATAATCTACTTACCACCCTGAAATATTTTGATCATCTATTCTATAGCTGAATTCTTTGCTGTAGTGAGAAAACATTTGGGAACCTCTACTTGCTTTATACTGGGCTTGGAGCTTTAACAGAAACATGAGCATAAGGCAGCTTCCAGGGGTTCTGCAGAATCAGGCTCCTCACCTTCACCCCATGTGCCTCAGGCTGCAACCCGCCTCCCTCTTGCCATCACCTGCACCCCACCTCCCCTCATTTGCCATGTTCCAGCCATAATGGTCTTTACTCAGCTCCTCAAATGTCCTGAGTTCTTCCCTTACTCCCTTCCCTCCACTGAACCTTTGCACATGCCATTCCCTCTGCCTGAATACTCTCCACCCTGCTTGTAGCACTACTTACCCCTCCTTGTCCTTCGCATCTCAGCTTCAACGTCATCTCCCCAGAGACATTCTTTAACCAGCAGATGTTTATCTTTTCTGCGCCTCCCCTGCCCATCATTTATTCCAGTTATAATATTAACCACATTTCACAATGACTGCATATATCGCTTTACTTTTGGCGGCACTGTACTTGCTCTGTCTCTCGACAGAATGAAAGCTCCGAGGCAGGGATTATGCTGTCTGGCTATTCACCATGTGACTTTATTGCCTAAAACAGAACCTGCTGCATAGAAGGAGCTGGACAGCTATCTCCTGAGTGCCCAGCGTGAAACTGTTGACAGACTCCCTTTTGAATCTTTCTTCCATGGTTTTTTATGGACTTGTTCTCCTGGATTTTCTCCTCCTGCTATGTCTTATGCTTCTCAGATTCCTCTTTTTCCCCAGACACTTGGTGGTCAATTTCCTCTGACTCTTCCCTGACATCCTGACTCCCCTTTTCATCACACCCCCAGTGCTCTTGCCATCCTTTCTATGGGAATGCCCTGCCGTCTCCTCCCTAACACTCAGCCTACCAGCTATCACCCAGCATCTCTGCCTGGATGCCTTCCCAGCACCCCAAATGTAGTATACCCCAAATTGAAATCACACCAGGGCTCCCTGTTTCTGATAGCAGTGCCGACATCTTAACTCTCAAACTGGAGACTCCAGAGCTCCAGAGTCTTGGTCTCTCACGGTCTCCAGAGCTCATCTATTAGAAACCAGGAGGATCGGCTCCATCCCTCTTGCCCTGTGGAGTGGCTATAGTAGTCCAGCAGGGTGAAGAGGAGGAGGTACCAGGTGATTACCCTGAAGGTTTCTGCATCCTCATTGACCAGCCCTGCCATGGCTGACAGCGGGAGCACCGGTCCATAGATCAGGTCCTTGGGCAGTGACTGGGGGAAGATGACCTCCATTTCATCATAAAATTCTCCGTCCTCCGTGGGTAGTTTTACCGACCTGTAGAAAGAAGAGAAATCAAAATAATCAGATTAGCAGAGATAAGTCACTGATATAACTGCTGAATATCGGTGGAGAGCAGGGTGGGGAGGTGTTACAACTCATAAAAAACAAGCCAAGACAACAACAACAACAACAACAACAACAACAAACCACCCATAAAAGCTAAACAGTGGATTTTAAAATATAGAACATATTGCAAAAGAAAAAAATACGTAATTATAATTTAAGTATATAGAGATTTTAAAAATCTTTCAAAGTTAGTATCTAAAGTAGAAATTACAAATTAGAACACCAACAGAGGTCAGGCAGGGAGGGACTGTGGCAATGGGAAAGGTTTTCCTTCCTCAAGAGGTGGAAGGGACCACGTGGAAGTTGCTGAGAGGGTTTGCAGATGTGAAAATTTAGTTCCAAAATTTAAAGTGAATGTCATAATCTGGACATTTATGAGGAAGTTCTCAATTTCTAAATGTTGGCGACTCATTCAAGTAAAGAAGACTGTGGGCCAAAAGCAGCACAGATGTAGGTTGTATTCAGCTACCCCCATAACCTCGCGTACCAAATTTCAGTTTCAAATTTACAATATATCTCTTATATGGCTGACAAAAGTGAGTATGGAGACGTCATGGCTTTATGTATTAAATTTAAAATTTCCTTGGTTATGTTTTATGGATGTAGGATAATTTTGAAAAAGAACCACGTAAAAATAGTACCTACATTCAAATGTAAAGCTTATGTTATGGCCTCAAATCCTGCTTGCCTTCTGATCCTGGACAGCCTTGCCTCCCCTTGCTTACCTTGCCTCCTTTATTTGCTTATAGAAAAAAATCACAGCTCAACATTCACAACTAGGGGAGAATAGTCAAGGGAAGTAAAGAGAGAGACAGGTGTGATAAATGACTTGTCTGCCCTGGTGAGGATCCGATAGAGACATTATCCATTTTATGAAAAGGTACAGTGTTGTCAACTCTGCCTAGAGACAGATTTCATTTTCAGTGGTTCTTATAAAAATGAAACTGAGACATAAAGAGTACTGAGTAGCAAGAAGTGCCTCTGTTAAGACTCTCCATGTAGAAAATTTTATTTACTAGATCTGCGTTTCTTTTAAGAAGGCAGTTTCTCAAACATTGCAAGCTCAGGTCCAGCATCTCCTTACTTAGACTTTCAGGGGATGGAGCACACTGAGAACGGTCAGCTCGGGGGCACTTGAGTCCTTGGACTCTTTTTGGTATGGAAACCCATTGTCATCCATAATCACCAGGACAGTGGTCACAGAATTTTTCTTTGACCCAATTCTGTTTAAACAAGTAATTCTCCTGACTCTACTATGTGCAACCACCCTTTTGTTTGTAGATAATGTGGCTGAAGGTATAATCTATACACTTTCCTTGTCTAAATTTCTTATTTTTGAGATTCCAGTTGGGGTGTCAAAGTGGTAGGAGCAAAAGGTCACAACTGACCTTTTAATAGAAAAGGCACATTTTGAAACAATAAAAGCAAATCAAATTTTGAAAGATTAAATGCTGTTGGAAAAAGTTCTAGGAGGACTTCATATTTAAAAGACAGTCATGGGGAAATTAAGCCACAGAGAATACAATCACACTGGGTAATTACATATGTAGAAATGTTATAATGTGAGGGGTATGTCTGTATATAGCCACTTAATTCAACAAATTGATCCAATCACACAACATGAATGCAAACAAAAACCACTACTTTGTTATTGGGGAGGAACAAAATGTCTTACTTTTCTCTGAGATAATGTTTCTGGTTACTTCTTTCAATGGTCCACACAGTCACTGCACTTGAACTTGACAAGCACAGTTGATGCCAGTTCATGGGATTAAAAGTCATGCAGTTCACATCCACACCAGGTTGTGACTTCTTGCACAAAATGACATTTGATTCCCAATTCCTTAGAGAAAAATTGTGTGTTTGGTGAAAAGCAATTAATTTTGTTAAGTGAACTAAATCAGAGGGAGAAGGACCATATCATACCCCTCCCAGTCTCCCTTGTAGCTTGATGTGGTCTGTGACTAAGCTGGTCTGTGGGTCAGCTGTGCCTCCCCCTTGCTTACCTTGCCTTTCCTCTTACCTTTGTAGGGATTGTGCCTTACTCTTACCTCTCCCCCATACTTCTGGCTCCCCCAAATCCATGGATACCACCCTTTAGACTAGAGATGAGGGCACACCCTAGAAATGGAAGAGCACCAAGAGAGGGAGAGACTGGCCCCTGAAACCAGGAGCCATCATACCAGCCATGGCTGCACATCCCCACACTACTGCACAGAAGAGGAAGGAACTTCTGTCCGTTTAAACCACTGTGTTATGGTCATTTCGGTTCCTGTATTGGCAACCAACCCTAAACCCTAAGGGATATACCAGCTGCCTAACTAGACAGCTCCATATTTTTAATCACAGACTCCCTCAACTCAGCTTGTCCCTATTCATCTTACCCAGTTGCCTCTTTCATCTTCCCTATTCACATGTCCTCAATGTCTTTATGATTTGCACTAAGATGTCCCCATTCCCCAAGTCACAAGCCTAGATAAAACCCTCAACTGCCCCCTCCCTCAGCACCATGCCAAACATTCAGTCTGTCACCAAGTTCCATGGACTTGCCTTACGAACACTTCCCAAGTATCTCCGCTTCCCTCCATCTTTACTCCCATCACCCTAGCCCACACTGCCATCATCTCTCACTGGACCATGACAGCCTACCAACCGATGGTCATGCCTCCATCACATGGCTAGAAGGAGTCTTCATACATGCCAGTTTGATCAGGTTACACCCTTGCTTAGAGCCCTTTGGCCTCCCATTGTCTTTAGGACCAGAATCTGAGCGTGACTGACACAGGATGAGTCCCCTTCTATAGTAATTATTAATAACATCCCCTTCCACTCTCAGAAGTGCCCCTATTTAGATGCTAAATGACATTCTCACTTATGTACAAGGCTGCTCATGAGCTGTCCCTCTAGGTTTGCTTCTCATGACGAATCTCTTGTTCCTATTGTTATGATCTCTTAATTAAATCTTCAAGCTTGCTGTATTGTCTCTGACTACATGCTCTTTGCTTGAAAATCCTCCTCTTTGACACAAGGCTGATTCCTACCCATCTGTTCAGTATTACTGTGGGTTGAAATGGGTTGAAATGATCTAGCAGTCGGTTTCTCAGAATGTGACCCTGTTTGGAAATGAGGTCGTTTAGTGTGGCGCTACTCCAACTTGACTAGTTTTGGAGAGAGATAAAAGGGGGCAGTTTTGGAGAGAGATATACAAGGAGACCACCATGTGAACAAGCCAAGGAGACAGCCCTGAGATTCTCCCTCACAGCTCTCTAAAGGAACAAACTCTGTTCCTTGCTTCCAGCCTCTGGAGCTGGGAGACAATACATGTTGTTCAGGCCACTCAGTTTGTTGATACCTTGTTAATTGCAGCCCTAGCAAATGAATCCATATCAACAGTTAAGTGGATAAACTGTGGTTTAACTGCATCATGCAGCAGAAAGGAATGAAATATTGATACATACTGCAGTATAAGAGGAGCAAAAATTAACTGTGCTGCATGAAAAAAAGCCAGAGAAAAGTGTATATAATGTATGAATGGAGACTCTAAAAAAGGCAAACTAAGCCAGTAACAGGAAGCACATCAGTGTTTAGAGGGGGTAAGTGATGGGGAGAGGACTGTGTGGCAAGAGGCTATAACATGAATTTGAAGGGGCACCAGGAAATTGTGACAGTTGTCTTGATTATGGTAATGGTTTCATAGGTGTACACCCATCAAAACTCACCAAGTTGTATACTTTATATAGAAGCAGTTTATTGTATGTCAATTATACCACAATAAAGTTGGATTTTTTTTTTTTTTTTTAAGAAACGCTAAAGCTACACATCACTTTCTGAATCTAGATTTTTACACTTGTATAAGAAATGCTGGTATGTAAGGAATATCCTCCATTATTCCTGGAACTTGTGGTACTTCCCATTAATATGACAAATTTCCCCTTGAAGGGGTTTATATTATGGACAGAAGTTGGCCATATGAAACAGCTCAGCAAAGTCCAGAGATCTGTCTTATCCACAGGTATTTCCTATACAGCTGGCAAACATGGCATAATGTTCCTTCCACTCTTTGAACATATAATGGTTCTAATGTCTCTAAAAACAATTCCTTCAGACTGAGGCCTTATATAGAGACCATCTTACTTTCAACATTAGTGGAAGACATGCAAACAATTCATAGGTACCATCTATTTTTAGTAAAGATGAAACTTTATATTAAGAACTGCATTCTTTCTCTGAGAAAGGAAATATCAGAACACATTAATTTTAAAAAGAAAATAATTCAGCTTTTATCACTTTTTGCCTTATTAAATTTTGTGCCTAAAAGTAGCAACTATTTTAAACATTACGATTAGGACTTTTATTCCTTCCATGTTTCCTTGTTTCAGGTTTTTTCATGTGTATGTTTGTTGATAATACCCAGAAGGAGATTAAAATGTAACCCAATGAAAGGAATCGTATAGGACATTACAGCTTACCAGAGGGTCAATTCAAATTCCGGGAGAGAGGAGTAGCTAGCCAAGTAGGTGCCACAGTAACTGAACGAAAGTAAAGTGTAGTCCAGAAGAACATTGCCTACAACACAAAATCCATTACAAGGATTTAATTATGTACGGACTAACTATGGTGTTATAATTGATCTCCATTATCCAGTGAGTTTCATATAATTCAAAAGCATTTAGCTCTTGGGATTAGGGATTTTCCAGTTGATTTTTAAGACTACAAAGAGAAAGCCAACAGCAAAGTTAAGATCCAGTTTTAAAGAATATCAGTGGTAGGACCATAGTGTCACTGTCTTTAGACGTCACTGCAGAACTCAGCATATTGTATCACGTATGTCCCAGTGTGATTCAAAATGACCCCTGAACCATAAAACCTTCCATAAATATATGAAACATTGTAATTAGAAAAGTTACCTTGGGGAGTTTGTGATCATTCTACCAAATATGATAAATTTATTCTTCTAGTATTTTCTTCTGTATTTACTTGTAAAAATACAGATACGTATTTTCTTTAAACATAATTTTGCTTTTTAGAGTCACAATAGTCATGGATTAAATATTATATGCCACAATTTAAAATAGAACCAACATAGTGTTACTTAATGTTGGTTATTTTACCTTATATTGAACATTTTATCATTAATAATTCTTCAAAAATGTGATCTTTAACATTCACATAACACCCCCTAATGGGATGTGTTCACTTAGCTAACCATGTTCATATTACTGGAACATAAAGGTTGTTTTCAATCTTTTGCTATTATAGTGTTTTTAACTTATTTGCACACATATCTTTGACCATATTTCTGGTTATTTCCTACAGCATGAATTCTAATTTTGTTTTTTTTAAAGATTTATTTATTTATACAAGAACTGGGGTACAGGTCAGAGGCGTGGGAGGGTGAGAGGATTCACCAGAGACACAGTGGAGAGCCGAACAGGCAGACTGACCAAAAACACTGCTGAGGGGAGCAGCGGGCAAGACTGGCGAGGTCTGCCACGCTATGTGGGTATCTCCCTGGCCAGCTGGGAATCAAACCTGCGCTGCAGAGGCTGCACCTGTGCTGCAGAGCTGCAGACAGCTTCACAGCGCTGTGCTCAACCTGCTGCACCACTGGGGGGCCCTTGAATTCTAATTTTGAAATGGGTTTAAGTTGGTCAAATAGAAAAAAAAAAATTATTCCTGGAAAGACTATCAGTCTATATCCCAGCCTTCAATAAAAACAGTGCTGTCGATTTCACTCTGATTAGTAATTATAATGTTTTTTAAAAAGCAGAAAAATCCAATTTTGTTTAAGTGACACTTTCCAAATAAATATAAGGAAGGGACATTTTTGGAAGTTTTTGGACATTTGTAGTTTTATGGGCTGGCACATTCCTTTTCCACTGTTTTAATTTGTATCTAATCTGTAAATCATTCTATTTTTAGTTATTTTCTTCCTGAGACAAATTCTTCCCTATCCTCAAGTTATTTCAATATCCCACCAAATTTCCTTTTACTTTTAAAGTGAGGCTGTTGTTTATATTGAATTATGTATTTTCAACTGATGTATATTTGAATTCCCAATATAAGAGTATTTAAGTGTCAAGTTGATACTTTTGATCAACTTGTTTGAACACTATGGGTGAGAAATCTGCAACAGCTAGTGTGTGTGTGTGTGTGTGTGTGTGTGTGTGTGCGTGTGCGCGCGCGCAGGGGGTGGGGGGGTGCTGAATATTTAACTTTTATTCTAGTCTATCTCCACTTTCAACTCTTCCACTGACCTGATGATCCCTGCATCTGCACCACAGTCTTAATCACTGTAGCACTGTGATTTGAAAAGAACCCTTGGCCTTGCCATCATGCTCTTTTATATTATTCCCATTCTCTACTCTTTGCTCTTCCAGATGAACTCTGCAATCATCTACTTACTCCTGTCTCTCTAAAACACATGATAAACCTATGAATTACTTGCTGTGGAAAATAATAGAAATATATTCCTAATCACCACTCTTTACATCCAGGAATATGTTTTTATATATTTAAATACCTTAAATCAGTAAAATTTTTTTTTGTAGTTTTCTTCATCTGGGCTACTCACATTTCTTCTTCAGATCATTGTTAAGTATTTAAATCTTCTAACTGCTTGGGTATTTATTTTGAAATCAGCACCTTACTAAGCCTTCTTTTATTAGTCTTGTAGACTACTGTATTGCCTGTAAGCTCCTTTCCCATAGTTATAATTTTTCTGACTTTTAATTTTATTGTGTTGAGTAGAACTTCCTAGTTGATATTAAACAACAGTGGTAATAATAGATATCTTTGATGATTATTCCTGATTTTATTGGAATTCATTCAGGGTCTCATTATTCAATATGGATGTTGATTATTGGTTTGAATTAACTTTCAATTGCCTGGACAGAACTACAGACTGATAAGCTGGGAAAAAATTTAATGATGAAGAGTAGTTTTGGTTTACACAGACCATTCCTAATGTATCGACAAGTTAAAATTTAAAAGTTGTTTTAATCTGTTGAGAATACAAACAAATTTCCCCACAAATAAAATGTTATAAATTATAGTGAAATTCCCTGGCTTGATCCAAACACCTATTTGACCCATAAGGCTACAGAACCGAAGCCAGTCTTAGCCTCTCCTGAGCTTTGTGACCTTGATATGTTAAATGAGGGAATCACTAGATGAAGACTACTACCTATGCAGCAGCCTGGTCTGGGTCAGCTGTATCTATGAATGAATCAATAATAATGTAAATGGTAGGTAACATTGACAACATATGTGTATATATATGCACAGATCTATTTATTATTACCAAAATTTCAATAGTAGGTACTACCACTATTCCCACTTCACAGATAATTGAGGCTCAGAGACTTCTTTAGAAGTTAAACAACATCAATTTACCTGAATTTTCAACAAATCATCAGGAAAGAAAAATATTGTTCTGAAAATTTTCAAATTGCTTTTGGGGTTGTAATGGTTTTCTAGTCCAATGCACATAAATCACCTTGGGAAATATTGTTAAAATGCAGATTCTGATTCAATGGGCCTAGGGTGGGGGTTTCTATGTGATGTTAATGTTGCCAGTAAGCAGACCACACTGAGTGGCAAAGCTCTAGGCCTGCAATCCTCTGTGTGACCAGCTTGACTCCTTCATTGAAAATGTGTTACTAAAAGAAAACAAAACCCTTCCCCAAACCCCTCATTTATAAGAACTAAATTTGATTATATAACAAAATGCTTCAGTCATGACAGAGGAAGGTCTGGCAGGATACCTTTTAATTTGGTCCTTCTGGTCAATCCAGGAAAGTTGTATATGTAAATGACGGGTTTTAACCTCCGGTCAGAAAAAGCCACAACTTCGTAAGGAACGTTAGTTGCCACGACGCCTACAATTCCATTCATACACTGGAGTACAGTCTTTTTCTTGGTTTCAATATTAATAAATATTACGAAATTCCCACAAGGGTAGCAAATGGTGGTGTCGTTGATAAAATGAACATTCTGCTTAGGAAATCCTTGCACCCATCTTTGGGAAAAGATATGTCACCATCAGTATATTTCAAATATTTTTTAACAAAGCCAACAAAGGTCATCAAAATTTTTAAAACACATCTATTCTATTTTCACCCCCTTTTTGTCAGAAACAGTCTGTAAGGTAAAAGAACAAAGATGCTGGATGTGAGGGTTTGACTCCATGCACTCTAGACATTTAAATGTAGACCTAAAGTTCCATAGGTCTCAAGAACATTTTTCAGAAAACTTTTTCAGTGAAACAAATCCTCTGGTCAAATCTAAGGAAGCCTCAGAAGGATGTCAGGGGTCTTGTATACTTGGAAAAGAAAAAGTAAAAATAACAGAAAGAAAACAGCTTCATTTTAACAGAAAAAAAAGAGCTATGTCCTAGGCCACTCTTTAGTCATTACTTTTGATTAAAAAAATAAATTTTACAAAACAGCTTTGAATAAGACAGCATGCTTTGTGCTTGTCAGCTCTGTAGGAAAATGGCTTTTTTACAAAGACTAAGAGAGAGGGCTTTAATTATATTTTAGATCTAAAAATCCAGTGCAGAAAAGTACAGAAAATAAATGGAATTAAATCAACACGAAGGAAAAGGTTAGAACACAAAAGGAAGATAGTTTAAGGAGAGTGTGGTGAGTATTTGTTAGAAAGGACAATCTGAGATTAGGGGAGAGTCTACTTTCATGAAATATAAAAGGTATGCTGAGAGGTGGTGGAGAAGGCAAGTGAAGGGCACTGGTGTGAGTAACCTCAAGAGGCTGAGCAGTGCAGCTAGGCCCCGTCGAGGATGTCTGGAATAGAGTGCGGGTAACATTCTAGAACGTGGAAGGAAAGAAATTCCGCTTCACATCTGCAGTGTTTTATGCTTTTCGAAGGTCACGTTAAGCCCAAGTAAATCCGAAGTAAGTGGGCTGGAGTAGAAGGGACTGATAGCTCTAACTTTGGGGAAAATTTCCTAAGACACCTAGATCGGGATGGGGGCTGTCATTGGGGTGGGGGGTGGTGGGTGGTGTATGAAAGGTCAGTGGGAAACGGACCGCTGCAGGGAATGCTACGCCAGAAAGGAGGCAGGAAAGAATGGCGGAGGGAGCAACACCAGTCGAGTGGGGACGGGATCGCAGCAAAATGGCGGGGTCGGGGGAGACAAGTAGAGATGCGGTCGTTGAAGGAAGGAATTGGGGTGGGGGGATGGTGATGGAGAGAAAGAGGACGAGTAGGAAGGGAATCTGCTGGAAGGCATTTGGAATTGAGAAAAAAGTCGAAGTTTCCGCGAGAGCAAGTCTGAAGAATGGGAGGCAGAGGAGAGCAGGGGGGGAAGGCAGGTCACAGCAAGTTTCCGCCAGGCCGGAGTGAGTCGCGTGGCGGTGGACGCCGCACCTCACGGACACCGCTGGGGTGACGGTGCCGGTGACCTCCTCTCGCTCCCGGCCTTGAGCCATGGGCGGCGCTTCCCTCGGCGGGCGGCGGGCGGCGGGCGGCGGCGCAGGACCCCGGCTCCGGGCCGCAACGGTCGCTCTGGCGCCCGCGCCTGCGAAGCCTTTGCTGTTTACTCCCGTATCCAGGAAACCGTAACGCCTGCGCCCATTGGCTCTGCCCTTTCGGCCAAGCGGATTGGCGGGCGCGCTGCCCTCCCTCGGCCAATAGGCGAGCGTGGAGCGAAGCGAGAGGCGGGCCCCGGGAGTGGGTGCCGGAGGGTGCGGCCGGAGACCCGCCATGGCTCTTAATAAACGCCGACGGGGCCTCCCCTGGTGGCGCAGCGGCTGAGCGCTGGCCTGCCCGCAGCCTCTGCAGCGCCGGTTCGTTCCCCGGCTCCCAGCGAGGGTTCCCCCCCCCCACAAAATATATATGTAAATTAATTAATTAAATAAATAAACGCCGACGGCAGAGATTCCCTTCAGCGCTGACCCTGCCCGGCGTTCCAGGCGTCACGCGGGTATCTTTAATCTTCAGCTCCCCAATGGCCCCATCTTACAGATAAGCAAAGTGAGGATAAGAGAAATAATTTGCCCACTGGCGCAAAACTGAGTGGGGCTCGGAACCAGATCTAGATTAAATTCGGGGCTCCAAGCCTAGATCACTGCGCCACCCTCGCTCCTCTGCTACTTCAAGGAGGTGGAAATGTCTGCAAGAACCTAATCAAAACGTCAGCAGTTTGTCGGCGCTTCCTCCCTTCCCGTTCGTGCCCTCCCATCCCCTCGCTCCCTTTCCTTTCCTCTCCCTCCCCACCAGGCCCTGTCCTCCGCAGGCGTTCCCTGTTCTCCTTTCCACGCATCCTGCCCTTTCTTTAAACCGCTGTCACATCTAACCACTTTCTCTCCTCTCTCCTATTTACTAAACACCCCTCCCCCCCATGCATTGTGCTTAGAATAAAATAATGAATGAAACAGAAAATTCCTTCCCTTTTTTTTGGAATTTAGAGATCGATGAGGTCAGGGTGGGGACCATCATAGACAGCCATTGCATTACACAAACATGGAATTATAGACTGTCTTATGAAGAAAAGGAATGTGATGTTAAGGACCTAAAGTTGGGGTTCTCACCTAGTTAGAAGGGCAGTTAGAAATAGTTTCTGTGTGCATGAGCTCTTTTCACTGAAAATCTAAGGATGAGGAGTGATGAGGCAGGGATGAGCAGATGAGCAGAGGACAGTTCTTGTAAAGGTTTTAAGGCAGGACAACAGGAAGAATGATTCATATTGAAAAATAAAAAGTTCAGTGGCAGAATTGTATTCGAATCTCAGACCCTACCTTTGAAGTCTGTGCCTTCTGCACCGATTTCCCCTCAGCACTGCTATAATAGTGAGCTTATGTTAAGTTCTACTCTATGTCTGGTATCTTACGTAGTTGTGGCATGTGTATTATTTTATCCCTGTTGCGTGGATAGGGATATTTATTTACTGAGTCTCAGAAAAATAAAGATTTTTGCCCAAAGTCCCACAACTTTCAAATGAATTTGAACCCAGGTAGTTTCATGAGAACCCCTGGAGCTGCAAGTTGGAGCCCAAAAAGAAGTAATAGTCACCTAAAAGGGAAGAGGAGACAAATTCATTTATCTGCCTTTTCTCTTATCCTGCCACTCCTGCCATTTACACCTGCACCACACTCCTTAAACAGCCACTGGGGGCACAAAACAGGCTCACAGCATCACACAATAGCCTTTTGTTTTAAGGACAAGGGGTGAAAGTGAGACAGGGCTGGGGGAGGGGGTCAGTCCCAATGGTAAATCCCAAGAGTTATGGTCAGGAGGAGGGGAGTGTTGATCTCTGTATCCCCCACCCCCTCAAGACAGAGGCAAAGGCCCATGGCAGAGGCACCCCAGAAGGAGTCTTTTTTTTTTTTTTTTAGATTTATTTTTATCCATTTATGTATACAAGAACTAGGGTGTAGGCCACAGGTGCATGGGGGGTGGATTCACCAGAGACAGAGTGGGCAGCAGAACAGGTGGATCTGCTGAGGGGAGCAGTGGGCAAGACAGGAGAGGTCTGTTGTGCCATGTGGGTCAGCTCCCTGGCTGGGGATGGAACTCAGGCTGTAGAGGTAGGTGATAGTGCTGAGAGTTCACTTCTAGGCCCCCAGGAAGGCCCCTGATCAATCTTTTAGACAGGATATTCTTGTTTTTGCTGGCTGCCTGGAAGGTTTGGCCCAGTTCATATAAGACAATTCCTCTGATGTGACTTGCCCAGCTCCACTTTAAAATGGCTTAGCTTAGGTCAACTTTTCACACTACAGGACAGCATAACAAAGCAGGAAAGGGACCCCTGGAGGAGGTGTGTGGATGTGGAGGGCATTAAGCCCTATTCAGACAGGGCTGGGTAGGCTCTGAGGGTTCTTGGGCCCCGCGGGGCAGTTTTTAGCAGAGCACAGATCTCTGTAGATTCTCAGGTGGGCTTCTTCGAGGGAAGCTCAAAGGTCATTCATGGACAAACATGGGAATCAGTTTGCACTGACATAAATTGTTTTTTTTAAAGATTTATTTATGCGTACAAGAGCTGGGGTGCAGGCCAGAGGTGTGGGGGGGGGGAGGGTGAGAGGATTCACCAGAGACAGAATGGGGAGAAGAACAGGCTGAAATACACTACCGAAATACACTGCTGAGGAATGCAGCGGGCAAGACAGGAGAAGTCTGCTGTGCCATGTGGGTAGCTCCCTGGCTGGCCGGGGATTGAACTCATGCTGCAGAGGCTGCGGATTGCTTTATATGCACTGACAAAAATTGTATAGAAAGGTTTCAGGTAATAACATTCTCCTCCTCATTTCTCCTCACTAATTCTTTCCTACCTCAATTCCACTATCTAGAAGCCACTTTCCCCCTTAAGTAATGGAACAAATTGAAGCAGCCACCCCCATGGCCTGCACCTCCTTTAACTCTTGCTTCCCTCCCCCACTCATCTGAGTTCTGTGTATCCCTTACTTTTTCAGTTCTAGCACATATGCATGTCATAAAATGTATGCTGTTTTTCTTTGCATGTGGTTAAACTTAATATATATAGTGACAGACCAAATGTATTATCTTGTGACTTGCTTTCAGGACTCACTATTATGTTTTGGGGATGCATTTATGCTGATAGTTGTAGCTATGGTTTATGTGTTCATGGCTGGATGATTGTCCATGATATGACTACTCCACAATTTATTTATCCATTATACTCCCAATGTACTTTTAATACCCACCCCTCCCCCCTTTTATCTGCTATTTAAGTTCCTTTCTTTACAGTCCATTTACTCCTGTATGGCTTTTTTTTTTTTATTGCAAGAATTATAATGTTCTTCTTTTAAAATTTGACCACACTATGAGTCTTACTAATTCTTTCACTCTATCATTCAACCAGTATTTCCCCCTGGAATCTCTTTGATGAAGGTGTTTCTCCATTCCATGGACTATCATAGAATAGTAATCTTAAGAGAAGCATTCTTATTCACAAGATAAGGAACCCTAATTTTTAAAAATATATTTTAAATATGACTAATTAAAATAATAACATGAGGGACCTCCCTGGTGGCCTAGGGGTCAAGTCTCAGCACAGTCATTGCTATGGTCTGAGTTAGATCCCCGGCCAGGGAGCTAACACACATATGGCTCAGCAAACCACTCCTGTCTTGCCTGCTGCTCTCCTTAGCATGTATTTCATTAAATCTACCTGTTTTGCTCCCCACTCTGTCTCTGGTGAATCCTCCCACCCACTTCCCTCCTGCCCCCCACTGCACCTCTGGCCTATACCCCAGTTCTTCTACACACAAAAAATAATAATTTAAAAAAATAATAAAATAACATGAATAAAACCATTCATGTGAGTTTCGATATTCTTTCCTCTATAGAAATACCTTATATATAACCAAGTATAAAATTATTCAAATTACATTGCTGAAAAGTGACAGAAGAATGTTGTAACAAGTGCGTGTATATAGTCAGTAATAACAGATACCACCTAAAAGATAGGGAACTATTTCTTATCAGTAGGACATTTAACTCTTGATCTGTAACCAGCAGAATCAGTTCGGATTAGCTTCCTGGGGTTAATTATTGACAGCTACAGCTGCAAAAATGTGAATACTGTGCCCTTTTACCTGGAGCCAACAGCGGTGCCTATCCAGATGTTCACATATCACACACACAACCACAAAGGGCTGTGGATGGATGGTCCACTGTTAGGCAGAATGGTGCCACAGTACTGTAGTGTGCCAGGCAAGTACATTTTCTCTTCAATTTACATCTTTGAGGAATTAACTTTACTGATGAATTGAATCATTTAAATCATTAAAACAAAACTTTACACTAGACACACTAATCAGAGGATAGGCGATTTCAAATAAAAGTTCTCAAATGATATTTTGACTTTAAGTTTTTAGTTTGCCCATTAGAAGTCTTGCCAGGTCAAGTTTAAATTTATAGGGTTTATTTTCATGATATCATCAATGTGCTAAAAATTCTTCTAGAGTTTATTTTCTTTGAAAGAGTTAAGCAATCTCCATGTTTTAGCAGAAATGTGATCTAATTTTTATCATAGGGTATCTGTTTCTTGCCCAGTTACCAAGTTAAGTATGCATATGCAATAATAACAAGCATTTACTTAATATTATTCTTTGCCAAGAATGTGCTATGTATTTACTAACTTAATCCTTCTTCAAACCCTGTAAAAGAGGCATTCAGTTTTTACCACCCCGTTTTAAATGAAGGAACAGAAACACAGGGGGAACCTGCCTATATTCACAGAGTTAACAAGGGGTTATTATGGGCTCACAATAAATTTATAAATTTGTGACAGTATGTTCTCCAGGAAAAGGGGAGGTTCCAGGTTTGCTACCCCACTGAAGGAAGGGTGGAAAGGAGACTGGGAAAGGAAGGATGGAGAGCCAAAAGGAGACCTGGAGGAGGCACATGGAGCAGAGACATGTGAAGAAACTATGCTTGCTTCTTGGTCCTGGACTGGTTGGCACAGATGTGGATGAGAAACCGTTGGGAGGTTAACAAAAGCAGCTTTTATCTTGATTTTGTTCCTTTTGTCCCAAACGTGCTGGGCCACTTCTGCCCCTTTCCAATGGGGACTGCCCTGTTACAAACTCGTATGTTGAATCATGAATTCAAATACTCACATGTTAAAGCCCTTCCCCCAATACCTCAGAATGTGACCTTGATAGAAAATAGGTTCAATCCAACATGACTGGTGTCCCTGTAAGAAGGGGAAATTTGAACACATACCAGCACACAGGGAGGACAGCATGTGAAAAGTGGAGAAATGGTACTATACTCCCTAAGAGGGCCAAAGGTGGCTAGCAAACCACCAGAAAGAAGCTGCGGGGCGAGGGATGGAATAGACCTTGACCTGATCTAAGACCAATCAACACCTTGATCTAAGGCTGCCAGAACAAATTTCTATTGTTTAAGACATTCAGTCATGTACTACTTTGTTATCTTTTTAAAAAAGATTTGTTTTTATTTATTTATGCATACAAGAACTGGGGTGTAAGCCATCTGTGTGGTGGAGGGTGAGAGGATTCAGCAGAGGCAGAGTGGGGAGCAGAACAGGTGGATCTACTGAGATACACTGCTGAGGGGAGCAGTTGTGCTATGTGGGTTGGCTCCCTGGCTGGAGATGGAGCTCAAGCTGCATTGGCTGCTAATAGCTTGATAGCACTGAGACGTTAACCCCAGTGCCACCTGGGAGGCCCTACTTTGTTATCTTAACCCTAGCAAACTAACACAGGGGTGGAGCCAGGAGCAAACCCTAGCAGGTCACCAAAATCTAGCTTATCACCTCCCTCCCTGACTCTCCCATAATAGTGCTAATCAAAATCAAAATAGACACCCAAATAAATGACACAGGAGTTATTGTATTTCTAATCTAGGCAGACAAACAAAACCTTGATCAGCTTTTTTCTTTTTCTATACCTTGTGCCTCCAAGCCCCTCTTTTCTGATCCCTAAATTAGGAGGGAATGTTTGAAGGAATTCTCTGGCCAGACTTTTTTCATAGCCACATGAGATTAGTTTCACTCAATTCATTTTCTTGAATCTGAGCCTGGTCTTTATGAGGACTTCAAAAGTTAACCAATAAATAAAGTTTTGATAAATTTAAATAAATAAAAATGTGAAAACCGAGGTTCTGAGATTAATTGCCAGATTTGTGCTGTCTCCTTTTGGTTAAAATTAAAAGGGTGTGTCCTATGGGTGACAAAAGGGACAGTGGCCCTCCCAATGGTCATATTAAGCCACTCCAAAAGAAATGAAAAGTGATCTGTGTGGCTGTGTGGACCTGGCACTGGGCCCTACATAATGGAAGCCTTACAAGCACGTTCTGGAACAACAAACAAGCCCTGGGCCAGGGCCACAGGCCCTGAAGCCTTGGAGGAAGCCTTGGTGCACTGGGGAAGCTGAGGTTTGTGCACGTGAGGGCTGCCAGGAGGATGCCTCCAAGAGAGTGACTGTATGTAAGAGATTAGGGTCAGGGTCAGGGCCAGGGTCTGGTGTGCACTTGCATGGAGGGAGAATCACTTTAGTTCATGGTCTGGTTGTGGCCCTGAGGGTTTCGATCATCTTTTGTGCCTCTGAACTGAGAGGGAAGTCAGTTTTGCTGGGTTTGGGGAGTGGAGTCCTTAGGTTAACTCTGGGAAGAGTTTCACCAGAGCTCCCTTTCAGCAGCATGCAGTGAATTTTTCCACAAGCAGAGTCATTAGTTATATCCAAAGGGGGCAGGCCTATTACAAAAAGGGGGAAAAGAATAAAGGACATTTGCATAGACACAAATGGGCAGAAAGAATTGCCCCTGAAAGGGACAGGTTTGCTAATAAGAGAGTGGCCAGCATAGTTACAGGCGGGCAGAAGGGCTGCTGCCCCTTGCCAGTGCAGAAGTTGCCCTGATACAGTCTTCTCTTTGGGAGGAGGTCATTCCTTTGTGGAGTTAATTTTTGTTAACCTAATTACTTCTAGGGTGGGACTAGGTTGATTTGTAAGGACCAGTGATTCTCTACACTGATCCTCAAACTCCATCTCCCTACCTCTGGTCTGCGCCTGGAATACATTCTATAGCAGTCTGAAACTTACTACAGCTGCTGGCACCTACGGATTTCTCATTTCTATAGCTGTTTTATCGACTATGTTAATCGCTTCTAGCCCCCACCTCCAGCTTTTGGCCTTGTGCGAGCTAGTAGGTTTCTGGAACTGTGGTGACTCCTTTCCAAATTTTCTACTCTTAACCTCCATTAAGCGCCATCTTAGTGTACACGATAGACTTTGCACCGTTCCACCTGTAGGTTTTAAGCCCTATCCCCCCAAAATCAAAAGAAGGTCAGCCCCTGGGTGGGGGCGCACGAAGTGGGCATGTGGGCAGACTTCCCTCCGGCGTCTCAGCCTCCAGCATTTCTTCTCCAGGAGTAGGAAATAGGACCTGAGCACATGGGTCAGGGTCCAGCCTGTGGGTTCGCCTCCAACGCCGGGGAGGCGCCAAGTCCCGAGAACCCAGCCCGGGCGCAGCTGGAGGCCATCCCGGGCCACCACTTTAGAGAGGAAGGGGGAAGGGAGGAGGGGCATTTGGGAGGGGGGAGGGAGGAGGGGCATTTGGGAGGGGGGAGGGAGGAGGGGCATTTGGGAGGGGGGAGGGAGGAGGGGCATTTGGGAGGGGGGAGGGAGGAGGGGCAGTTGGGAGGGGGGAGGGAGGAGGGGCAGTTGGGAGGCGAGGAGGGGCAACCTACTTCCTGAGTCGCTTGCAAACCGGGGCTGGAGCTCGCCCTGCGCTGCGCCGCAATGTCGGGGCCGTCAGCCAAAAGCATGGCTAAGGGTGAGGCCTGCCGGCTGGGGGGCAGCGGTGATCTCGAGACCCGCCGCTGCGCGTGGGGTGCCGCTGCTGCGGAGCAAGGCCCCCGGGAGGGCCCCAAGCGCGGGCGTGGGCCGAGGCCGCGGCGCGCGGACCTCTCTGCTGCTGGGCCGGGCCACGGCAGGAGACCGGGGTCCCTGCAGTTCTTGGGGTCCTAACCGCCTTGGGTTTTCTTCCGCAGGCAGCGAGCCCCCCGGGCCAGTTCCCGAGGGCCTGATCCGTGTCTACAGCATGAGGTTCTGCCCGTACGCCAAGAGGACGCTGCTGGTCCTGAAGGCCAAGGGAATCGGGTGAGGATCTCGGCAGGAGCGCCCCGGAGCCCACCGGAGCCCGCGGCTGCTGGCGGCAGGGGTGGGAATCTCGCATTGGGCAGGGGTGGGAATCTCGCATTGGGCCTCCAGATTGCTGCTAAATAAACTGTTCTCAGCCTGTTGGGGGAGCATAGCAAGTTGTGGGCCCTCTCCCCAGGGTGGGGGCCGGGTGGAATAACCACGGACTCCTATCAGTGACACCCCTTTTAGAGGAACCATTTAATGCATTAGAAAAGCTGAGGCTCAAGTACAGTTAGTGATTTGCCGAGATTTTCGGACTTGTAGCCACAGGCAGCAGCTCTTTTAATTCTGGACGATCCTTGATTCCTGGTCCACGGTCCTTTGGTTTTCACCCTGCTCCATGCATGTCGGGTTTATCCTGTGCTGGTTGCTGTTATTCTGAGTATATGGTCCTTTCCTGAATAGTGGGTAATTTACTCCGGTTCTGAGTCAAGGCGTTGACCCTCCTAGCAGAGTGCAGAGCTAACTGCACTGGACATAATCCTGCAGGTTGGGTAGTTGGTTGAGTCAGTGTGTCCGTGCCTGAAAGTCCAGTCTTTTGCTAAAACTCGATGAAACTAGCATGCCTAGGAACATATGATTTATCAGCAGACATGTGCAGTAGTCACGGGGCCTTCCTCTGAGGCCAAGTATTGTTTTAGTAGGTTCATAGTCTCTGGAAGGCTAACTTCAGGAAGCTGGAAGATTTCTCTCAGGACTCAAGCCAAATTCATAGAGCCACATGTGAATTTATTGGGGGAGAATCCACATTAAAATAATATAATCATATAATTAAATTGGAAGCAAAAAGGGAAGAAAGGTAATAAACCTCTTGGCAAAGTTCAGAAGTAGGTGGGACCCTGTAGGGGAAATCCAGGGATCAATCCTTCTGCAAGAGGAGGGGCTGCTAGTTCCCAGGGCAAGGGTTGGAGGAGACGCCCCAGAAGGCTTTAGGACCGCAGGCTGGGGGTCAGCACATATCAAATTGCCTTAACTTTGGTATGTATATTTATGCCACTTTTTCAGGAACATCTGATCAGGACTACCTGTTAATTTTGATGTAGGTAGGGACTTTCCACAGCCAGGTTTTTTGCCTTTGACGTGTCTGTTTATCAGTTTCTTTGTAAACAAGTGGCTGAGGGCCTCCCTGGTGGTGCAAGGGGTTGAGTCTCAGCACTATGAAGCTATCACCAGCCACTGTGGCCTGAGTTTGATCCCCAGCCATGGAGCTGACCCACATGGTGCAGCAGACCTCTCCTGTCTCACCTGCTGTTTACCTCAGTGGTGTATTTCAGTAGGTCCACCTGTTCTGCTCCCCACTCTTTCTCTGGCTAATCCTCCCTGCCTACCTCTGGCCTGTACTCCAGTTCTTGTATGCATAAATAAATAAATTTTTTAAAAAAAGATATAGCAGATACCTGTGGTGTGGAAAGCTCTGTGGCAGTTCATTTATTATTTATTTATTTATTTAAAAAAACTTATTTATTTGTTTGTTTGTTTATACCTACAAGCACTGGGTACAGTCAGAAGCATGGGAGGGTGAGAGAATTCACCAGAGCCAGAGCAGGAAGCAGAGCAGGCAGAAGGACTGAAGCACACTGCTGAGGGGAGCAGCGGGCGGCAGGAGAGGTCTGCGCGCCATGTGGGACCCTCCTCCGGTGACCGAGGAGCAGCCGGGGATCAAACCGGCGCCACATAGGCTGCGGGCAGCTTCGCAACCCAGCGCTCAACCGCTGCACCACCCGGGAGGCCCGCAGTTCATTTATTTTTAAAGATTTATTTATGCATACAAGAACTGGGTGTAGGCCAGAGGTGCTGGGATCAGGGGAGCAGGTGGGGAGTGAGAGGATTCACCAGAGACAGTGGAGAGAAGAGCAGGCAGATCTACTGAAATACACTGCTGAGGGGAGCAGCAGGGGAGAAGGAGAGGTCTACTGCGCCATGTGTGGGTTAGCTCACTGGGGGGGATGGAATTCATGCCACAGTGGCTGGCAATAGCTTGATAACCCTAAGACGTAAACCCTGTGCCACCAGGGAGGCCCTCTGTGGCAGTTTAAAACATAGCACCCTTTCTTAAGGAACATTTTGTCTTTGTTTATTTTGGACGAACCATCACTAAGACTTGCATATCATTTGGACAAAATTATGATTCTGAACACAGAACGAGATACTCAACATTTGGTAACATTTATGTACAAAAGACTATTACTCAAAATACTGTAATATTTACTGTGATGGTCAGAACTTTTTCACTGTAAGAAAGATCTAATTCAAATTGGATTAAAAAAGACATATCTTATGAGTCTTACCTAGTTGAAAAGTCTAGGAGCAGGACACAGCTGGATTCAGGGGCACAAAATTCTGGTTTATTGGCCTTCCTCTAGGCTGAAAACTACCTTACCCTCTGGGACAGTTTTCCAAAAGAGACTTGAAATTATTTTACTGTAAGAGTGTGTATAATGAGTGGTGGAGAGTGGTCCAGCTGCCAGATAGTGCAAACAACAGAGATTATTTACTGTCATGGGTCCATTTTAAGTTTGATCCCCAGGAGACATTCATCTGAGAGGCACTAGATCTTTGCCGTCAGACATAACTAAGAAAGCATAGTTTTCCCTAGAAGGTGCATGTTTCAACTTGGGGCACATGTGTTGACTTACTGGTTCACAATGCCAGGTTAACAAAATGTATGCATCTTAGCACAAAGCCCAGGTCCTACCTTTTGTTTTCATAGTATAAATTTTCAGGAATGTTGACAGTTTCTTGGCAGGGGTTTTGTTTTTCTTGCAGTGGTTCATATCTGAATACCTAGTAATGTGTCAGAGCATGAACCTTTTAATAAACACCCACACATGCACGCTCACACATCTTCAAATTGACTGTTCCTTTGTTTCCATGGGTGATTACATATTTAAATCCTCAAACTAAATGCCGTTCTAGATGCAGTGGATGGGGAAATAGGAAACAAAAGAAGTTGGTATATATTCTTCAGTGACTAATCTGTTGTACAGTTATCCAGCTTTGACAGTTTTATGAAACCTTCCTTCTCTTATTTCCGCCACAATCTGAGGCGATATACAAATCAGATCTAATTACAATCTGAATATAGCCTGAAAGTTACCGCTTTTCTTCCTTTGGGGTTTATGTTATATGATTTACCTATGCAACATTTTTTTAAAAGATTTATTTTATTCATTTATGCATATAAGAGCTGGGGTGCAGGCCAAAGGTGCAGGAGGAGGTGAAAGGATTCACCATAGAGTGGGGAGCAGAACAGATGGACTGACTGAAACACATTGCTGAGGTGTGCAGCTGGCGAGAAAGGAGAGATCTGCTGCACCATGTGGGTCAGCTTCCTGGCTGGGGATACATAAATAATATAAAATAAAAAATCTTAAAAAAAATTAACAGTTAAGTTACCTCTTGGCCAAAAATGGAGTATCTTATTATTAATCTTGAAACATTTCCACTGATTCATTCAAATGTTTGCTCACTATCTGAAACCTATTTTCTTCATAGCATTTTATTTATTTATTTTTAGAGATTTATTTTATTTATGCATAAAAGAACTGGGGTATAGGCCAGAGGGGGTGAGAGGATTCACCAGAGGCAGAGTGGGGAGCAGAATAGGCAGATCATTGAAATATAATGCTGAGTGCTCGCTTCGGCAGCACATATACTAAAATTGGAACGATACAGAGAAGATTAGCATGGCCCCTGCGCAAGGATGACACGCAAATTCATGAAGCGTTCCATATTTTTATAAGTTCAACGTAAAATAAAAGGAAGCAAAAGTAAAAGAAAAAAGAAAAAAAAAAAGAAATATAATGCTGAGGGGAGCAGCGGGAGAGACAGGAGAAGTCTGTTGTGCTATGTGAGACAGCTCCCTGGTCAGGGATTGAACTCATGCTGCAGTAGCTGCTGAGAGCTTGATAGTGCTGAGACTTAATCCCTTGCACCACCAGGGACACCCTTCATAGCATTTTAGTTTATTGGAAATTTTGCTTTTACGTATATATTAATATGAAAGATGAGACACATGAAGAACCCTTCTTTCATGGAGCTTACGTTTTGAGGAGGTAAGGTATAATAAATGTGTAAATAATGAACAAAGTAATTGCAGATACATTAGTTTAGTGAAGAAAGTAAAACAAGATGGGTCTCTAAACAGAGGCTCTCAGCTGCTTCAAAGTTGATGAGGAATTATCTCTTAGGAGGTGGTGTTTCACCTGGGAACACAAAAAGCTACAGGCAGGAACAGCAAGTGCCAACACTCTTAATGTGGCAACACTCTTACTGTGGGAACAGAACACTCTCAAGGTGTGGCCAGATCATAACAGCCAGAGGCAAAGTCTTAGGAAACAGGCATGACAGGTAAGTAGGAGCCAGATGGAATGTGCTCTGCATGCCATGGGAAGAGTTCTGGAGTTTACTCTCTTTTGCTGTGTGAACCAGTCTGGGCTTGGAAGCAGATGGTGACCTGACTGAGTTTACTATTGTCAAAGTCCAGCCTGGCCATGGATTGAGAAGGGACTGTGGGAAATCTGCAGTGGACACAGGCCAGTTGTAGATGGCAGATGGTGGTGGTGTGGTGTTAAAGCTGAGAAGTGGATAAAATCAGAATCTGATTTGGAGATGCAGCCAACAGGTCTTGCTGATCATTTGACACGAGGCAATGAGAATGGGGGTGAAATAATCAAGGCCTAGCGGACTCCTAACTTTGGGGTTGGATCAATTAAGTGGAGGGTAGAGCCAGAAATTTAGTGAGAAATACAAACATTGTTTCATTCTTTTCATTGTCTTTTAGGCATGAAGTCATCAACATCAACCTGAAAAATAAGCCCGAGTGGTTCTTTCAGAAGAATCGCTTTGGTCTGGTGCCAGTTCTGGAAAACAGCCAGGGGCAACTGATCTGTGAATCTGCCATCACTTGTGAGTACCTGGATGAAACATATCCGGGGAAGAAGCTGTTTCCAGAGGACCCATATGAGAAAGCTTGCCAAAAGATGACCTTTGAGTTATTTTCTAAGGTGTGTAAAGGAAATTATCGCTCCTCTTTGAAAATTTTGTTTTAAGCTAAGTCAGTGCTGTCATTTATGATTCAGTGATTTGGGAGAGGATTGTGCTCTTGACATGTCCTTCAAGACCGTTCATGAGTCTGTCCCTCCTGAGCTCTCTAAAGTTCGCTCTTCTGACACTTTATATTCCAGCCATATTGAACGAACAAACTTACCACCTTCTTTCTCAACTATTGCTGGTGGACTCAACCCTTTCTTCTCATCCTGCCTGCTTATGTACAAGTCCTCTTCTCATGCTATCCGGAAGTAGAGGATTCCTAAGGAATCTTTCATAAGTAAATGGCATAAATTAAAGAAGCACTACCGTTAATTCACATGGAAAATTTTTTTCAATATTCCCAGACCCCCCCAAAAATAATCTACCAAATAACACCTGACACTGACATATAGCAAAATCAGGGATGCCATCTACATACACAGCCTGTGTGATGTGTTCCTGGGAGGGAGCTTAGTGTTGGCACTTTGGCCACTTGGGGTACGTACTGCTACCAAACACAGAATGCTCTTTTTGCTTTTTGCCTTTTGTTGTCAAAGCAAACATCCTCCTCAGCCCTTTTGCAGGACTAAGACAGGTACTAATGAGGGTCTTTTGCAAAAGAGATATGGGCATGATGTGAACATTCAAAAGTGGGGGGTATCTGTATGTGCACTGCCACTGCTGCCTTCTGGAAGCTTGTCCAGAGTGAGTTAGTGCCCAGCTGTGTCCCTGCCTGTGCTGACTTTCCCTTGTCAGTGACCACCTGTCTCCCCCGCTGTGAGCTGCACCGAGGCTGTGAGTTCCTTGAGGGGAGGGCGTTGGTCCTGTTGCTGTTGGCTCACCCTTGGTTTGTGACCAGCTCTGACACGTCGACCTCGTGTGACTGTGAGGAAGTCACCGGTTACCTTCCCTCTCTGTGCCTCATCTTATCAGTTGTTCCCTCTTCATCAATAAAGGTCAGTTAATATAAAGCACTGGAGCAAATCATGTTAGCTGTTGTTCCAGTCAGTGTCTACTGCTAAGCATCGAATGTGCACCCAGATATACTGGCAGTAGCTTTTAGCTGACTGAATAAATGGTATTCCAGTAGAACTGTTTGCCTTTAAATCAGCATCAATATTGCAGCTTAGTTCAAACAGTTAGTATTAAAAGATGAGCAACTGTAGACACCAGGAATAGCAGCAGCTGCTATTTTTATAATAGCATAATAGCAGGTTGTGTCAGCATTTATCTTACCTCTAGAGGAAGCAAATGGTAAAGCTATGTCTCTATCAGAAGAGCTTTTCATGAAGATGCACCAATAGTAAAGAAGGAAGAAGTCCCTGCCCCTCCCAAGCTGAAGACAAAGCAAAAGCTTTGAAGGCCAAGAAAGTGGTGCTGAAAGCATCCACAGCCAGAAGAAAAAGATCCATGTCACCCACCTTCCTGCGACCCAAGATATTGTGGCTCTGAATGCACCCCAAATATCCTGGGAAAAGCACTTCCTGGAGAAATGAGTTTGATCCTGTGCCACCATCAAGATTCCCTGACCACTGAGTCAGCGATGAAAAGAGAGATGATAGCACACTTGTATTCTTGGTGGAGTCAAGGCCCACTAAGTACCAGATCCAATGGGCTGTAAAGAAGCTCTGTGACACTGAGGGGCGAAGGTCACCCCCTGACCAGACCTGATGGAGAGAAGGCCTGTGTTTGACTGGCTCTTGACAACGATGCCTTGGATGTTGCCACCAAAACTGGGGTCCTCTAAATTCAGTCCAGCAGCTAATTCTAATGTAATTTTTTTTCATCAGGAGAAAAAAAGAGATCTAGAAGATGTACTTATAGGAGAATATATTGCTGAAGGAAACATTTAAAAGGGAAACTGTTGAGGAAGGAAGAGAGATTATCTGGCTTAGGATGAGGGTGAAAGCATAATAGAACTGGCTGCTGTCCAAGATGATAGAGAATATGGTATTTACCAGAAAGAGATTGGAGGAAAAAAAACACAACCAGAGATTTCTTGTGCTGTTTATTAAGAAAATGAACTAAAAGCTGGAGCCCACCATTACTTTCCTGGCTCACATTCAGGAACCACGTTGATCTTGATCTGGTCCCCACCTTCCTAGTTACAGCTCAGCAAACCAGTGGTGATCCACTTGTAACATCAGTTGTCTTCTCTCCTGGGAACTCAGAGCTGAGATATAGAGACTAAAGGTGTTGAATCTCTATATAAAGAAAGAGACTAAACAAACCAAAGTCATGTAAAAGGAAAGTTTTAGGAAGACAGAAATTAAGAGCATTGCAAAGAGAACTCATAAATTAAAAATAATATGGAGTAAATATTTATGGAGAAGCAGAGATGAAAGACCAGGCAGGTCCAGATGGAAAGGTGGATGGACGAAGCTGCCTGCAAACCTTGAGTTCAGAAGCGGGCAGACAGGGCTGCCATTGGTGGGATTGTGGGAGACTCCTCTGTATTTTAACAACTGTCTGTTTACTTAAACTGGGATAAGTGGATATGTGTTTTGCCATGAGATGATACCAAAGACTGAAGTATTAAGACACACAGACACCTCCTCAGGCATTAGAGCATCTGGCAATGCACCTGTTGAGTCTTCAGGTAGTCAGCCCCTTTAGAAGTCTTCTTGAGTCCTCTCCAAGGTAGAAATCAGAAAAATTCTATTCCCTAATTCCCTTTGCAGCTGCAGCCAGGGCTTGGGATCTTGGTTCTTCCTGTTGGAAACAAACACGGCAGAGTTCAATTCAGAAATGAGCAATGTGAGAAATGGCTTGGTGTGGGACGCCAGGTCCGCTGGTGAGAGTGGCTGGTGGCAGAGCTCCAGGCCTTCAGGAGCAGTGGGGGTTGCAAGACTAAATTCCAGGACAGAATTGGCTTCCCTGCTAGGGGCATTAGTTCCGAGTCCAACTTCTGGCAGCCTCGCAAGCGGTGGCACCCCGTGTTCACCTCACCAGTGCTTCTCACCATCATGCTGGTTCTGAGCATCATTTGGGAACATTCCAGCTTTATTTCATGCCTATTTGTTCAACCTTCTCACAATTCTGTGAGCCACTCAATGTCCTTTGAAGACTTTTTTTGGCTTAAACTTGAGAAAGTGTGTTCTTTTATTTGCAACTTATAAAAAACCTTGACCAATACAGCATCTCAGGCTGTAAACCTGTTTTCAAGATCAGAAATCAGTGCCCCTTTGATGCTGGGTCAGTGAACACTCTAGGATGTTTTTTTGAGGGGTCCAGTATTGTTTCCCTCAGACTGATAAATTAAGAAATTATTCTCTGTCTAGGTACCATCTTTGATAACAAGCATTCTTAGAAGTCAAAATAAGGAAGACTGCACTGGCCTGAAGGAAGACTTGCGGAAAGAATTCAGCAAGCTAGAGGAGGTAATCAATTGCTTCTTCCAGCTTTTTTTGGAGTAAATGATACACTATGTCCACCTTCTTCTTTCTACTCTTTTCTTCATATTGGTTCATTTCCCAAATCACTTTATAGCAATTAGTAATAATACCAGATAAGAAATTTTACAACAGATTGCTGTAAGCTATGTGTTTGGCTAAGCATCAAAACATGTTTTATTATAGGCCTGCCTTTAAACCATTTGGTGGCACTGACATTAAAATAAAAAGGAAAAAATGAATTTCATTCTTATTTCCATAATTTGTCACCTGTTTTCATTTTTCCATGTTTATTTCCAGTTCCTTATCCTATATTTAAAAAATTAACATAATTAATCAGAACATAGATAACATTCTGTGTTATTTCCCCTTCATATAATAAACATTTCCCATTGCCAAGAGTTTGCCATGAGTCATACAGATGCTTGGGAATGCCCAGATAAGTTTTTACCTCCTTTGGGGAAAAGCTGCTATTTGGGCCTTTTGGTGGAGTCTTGCTCTTGGCCTTGAGACATTCCATTGTTACTGAGGGAAGATAATTCTGTTTTACGAGACTGCATCCTAATATTTTATCAGTAAGCATATAGTTTGATGTAGATTTTTTTCAGAAAGTTTTTTTTTTTTCATTAAGAAAGTTCTTTACAACTTTGCTAATTGTTTAGCAGTCATGAATGAGTACTGAATTTTATTGATTTTTCTGCATCTCTTGTCTCTTGCCACTATAGAAGTTTCCCCTAATCTGATGATTATGGTGTCATTTGACAAGATGGTATTAAACCATTCTAGCATTGTTGGATGAAACCTGTTTTCAGTGGATTTTCCATATTATATGTCCTAGAATTAATATTTCAAGGAACTTTGCATAAATGAGATTACATTGTAATTTTGTTCTTACAGTGTCTTTATTTGGTTTTGATAACAAGGATATTCTAACCACTCTAACCTCATAAAATGAGCTGGGTAAAGTGTTCTGTTTTTTTCTCTAATCCCCTGAAACCATTTAATAGGGGTTGGCTATTTCCATAAAACACTGAGCCTGATATTTTTATGAAAGTAGATTTTTCATTACTAGTTCAATTTCTTTAATGGTCATTGATTTGGGGGGGTTATATTTCTTCTTGAATCAATTTTGGTTAATTTACATTTTTTTAAATTATTCATCTCATCTATGTTTTTAAATACATTGGTATACATATGCTCATTTCCTAATTTAAGAAAAATCACTACATCCTGCTTTGTATTTTTTTTTAAGAGCCATTACAGTTAGTTTTTTTTTTAAGATTTATTTATTTATGCATACAAGAACTGGGGTACAGGCCAGAGATGTGGGGAGTGAGAGGATTCACCAGAGACAGAGTGGGGAACAGAACAGGCAGACTGACTGAAATATACTGCCAAGGGGAGCAGCGGGCGAGACAGGAGAGGTCTGCTGTGCCATGTGGGTAGCTCCCTGGAGGGGGATTGAACTTAGGCTGCAGAGGCTGTGGATTGCTTCATAGTGCTGTGCTTAACCCCTTGCACCACCAGGGAGACCCCTATTTCTCGATTTTTTAATGCATCTGTTACCATGTATTTCTATGTCACCTTTGCTGTATTCCATACTTTTTTTTTATAACTTAATTTTATTAATTAATTTATTTTGTGTAGAAGAACTGTGGTGTAGGCCAGAGGTGTGGTGGGTGAGTGTGAGAGGATTCACCAGAGACAGAGTGGGGAGCAAAGCAGGCGGATTTACTGAAATACATTGCTAAGGGGCGCAGTGGGTGAGACGAGAGGTCTGTTGCACCATATGTGGGTTAGCTTCCTGGCCAAGGATTGAACTCAGGCATTAGCAGTGAAAGCTCTGAAATTTAACCTCTAAGCCACCAGGGAGGCCCCCATAAGTTTTAATATGCAGCATTGTAACTGTTCAGTTGCAAAAAATTATTTGATTTTTGCAGTTTTCCTTTGCAATGTTTTCTTTTTCCTATCAACCATCAGTGTACTTTTTAAATTTCTAAAACTACCTTTTTGCTAATTTTATTAAATTATGGTGAGAGAATATTGTTTCTTTGAAAGTTGAGACTTCTGTTGTAGGCCCATTTGGCAATCTGGTAGAGTATATAAACTCCTCAGAATATTGTTTTTAAATGCTTAAGATACATATTAACTTGGCTGTGATGTGTTGTCTTTTTCATAAGGGAAATACTTGCTAAATTTGGGTGAGTAGGTCCAGGTCAAGTAATTTTTTTCCCCATCTGAGTTCACAGACTCCAGGTTAAGAACTCATGCTTTAAAGTGAGTCATAACATTTTCATGTTTTAGATTGCAGAGAAGGCAATTCCTTCTAATTGAAACTTCCATGCTTAATTTTATTTATGAATAATATAATTACAAGTCACTACAATTTAAGGGCAGAATCAGACTTGATTTATTGTATAATTATGAGTGCCTAGTAATTACAATGCAGTCTGCTAGACAGAGGGGAACCCGGTAGAAAGTAAGATGTCCATTTTCTCCAAGATGATTAGTTTTATAGTAGACAAAAGAGAAATACTCAGGTGGATATAAACAGTCCACAATTCAGAATGTTATATGAGCTTTGAGAAAAATTATGGATATTTTATAAAGGGTATATTGGTTTGGTGTTACTTAGCCAGATAATATTCTCAGTTCACCCCTCTGGCAAAACTATAGTAACAATTCATCTTTTTTTTTTAAAGATTTATTTATTTATGCATACAAGAACTAGGGTGTGAACCAGACGTGTGGGGTGGGGGGAGGGTTCATTGAGAGGATTCACCAGAGACAGTGGGGAGCAGAACAGGTAGATCTACTGAAATACACTGCTAAGGGGAGCAGCTGGCGAGGCAGGAGGATCTGTGCCATGTGGGTTGCTCCCTGCCCAGTCAGGGATTGAGCTCGGGATAGAGCTGGTGCTGCAGTGGCTGGCGACAGCTTGATGGTGCTATCTTTAACCAGGGAGGCCCCAATTCATCTTCTTAAATTTCATAAACATACTGTTTGTGCTCAGTTTGCAAGTAATTTTATTTGGCATCTATTTAATAGTTGATCTGGTTATTTCCAGTATATTTTAAGTAAATTTGTTATTGACGTGTTATACATAGAGAAGTACCCAAAGCATGACTGCAACTTGATGAATTTTCACAAAGTGAACACATCTATAGAACCAGCGCCCATATCAAGAAAACAAATACTAGTTTTGGCCGTTTTTGTACATTACACAAATGGAATCTTGTCAGTATATAGTTCATTCTGTTCTTGATATAGTGTTTCAACATGACTACACCACAGTTTATCCATTTGACTCCTGGTGGACAGTGAACATTTCCATGTTTGGGCTATTACAAATAGTGCTGCAGTAAACATTCTTACACATCTCTTTTTGGCTAATCTATCTTCACATCTCCAAGGAGTTATAAAGTATGTCTGCATTCATCTTTAGTAGATACTGTTAAAACATGGGTGGTATCAATTTACACTCCTGTCAGCAGTGGTTCCACATCTTGCTAACTTTGTCTTGTTCTTTTTAGCTATCCTGATGGATGTGCAGTGATAGGATATTCTGGATGGAATTTGCATTTCCCTGATGTCTAATGTAGTTGAGAACTTTTTCAAATGGTTATTGGCTATTTGGATAATCATATTTTGTGATGACTGAAGTCTTACTTAATATTCTATCGGGTTGGCTGCCTTTTTTCTTAATGATTCCCAGGAGTTCTTTCTATATTGTGAATCTAGGGCCTTTGTTGGGTATATGTGTTACAAAGATCTTGTACTCTGTGGCTTATTTTTTTTCCACTTCCAACTTATTTTGTTCGTTTTGCTTCATCCCAAACCAATAGATTTTAAAGCTTAAACTGATCAGACAAAATGTCAACTTGGATATGTCAGGATAAAAGCTCTCACCTGCTCTACTTAACTTGCCTACATTATTCCTGGTTATGAGTCTTACAAGATATACAAAATAATTACTCTTATGCTGTGTAATGTTCAGGTTTTGACCAATAAGAAGACAACATATTTTGGCGGCAGTTCCCTTTCTATGATTGATTACCTCATCTGGCCCTGGTTTGAACGGCTGGAAGCAGTGGAGTTAAATGAGTAAGACATTTGAGTATTTTGCGCGTGTTAATAATAATTGTAATAATACATATTGACCTTTTCTCTCAACAAAAATGAAAATAATTCATACAACTGTATGAGGGGGAGCAAGCAGACAGGAGAGTCCTGGACTAACCATGGCATGTCATATACCCACACCTAACACTTCTCCCCAACCCTGGGTAGGAGGGAAATTTTTAACTCTCCTGGGTAAAAATTCATAAGGCTGTAAAGTTTTAAAGGGATGCTATGCAGGAAGTTATAACCAATGTTACCTCCTGTTTACCAGCAAGATTCACACACTATTTTCAAACTTAATGTTTTGACCTTGGTTTACTCTCACTTCTTAAGTGCTTAGAGCTATTCGGGGTTACTTATAGGCACAGTCTGGCTATAGAATAATAAATAACATTCTTGGTTGTCTTTCGTGTTCTCATTTTTTTTAAAAATTATCAGTCTCTCAGTTTGGACAAGTTATCGCGCTGAGCAAGTCATACACTATCTAGATCCTCTTCCATGAAACAAAGACCTGTATAATATCTTCCAAATCTAATATTCTGTGATTACATGCATTGTAAAGAATTATTTTTAAAAGGTTAGAGAAAAACAAAAGGAAATTGCAGAATAATAATGATGATATACAGGATATTGTAATGCCTCCCTTGTTAACCTAGCTTATACCTTCATTCTTTCTTCCTCCCAAAGGTGTGTAAACCACACTCCAAAACTTAAGCTCTGGATGGCAGCTATGAGGGAAGACCCTGCAGTATCAGCCCTCTTCGTTGATGCGAAGGCCCTTCGAGGTTTCTTTGATCTGTACTTGAAGAACAGCCCCGAGGCCTGTGACTATGGGCTCTGATGGACACAAGAGTCAGCAGTGATCATGTCTGATAATTTCCTTCACTGGTGTGAATAATAATATGCTTGTATTGTCAAGTGCACTCATGTGTTACTGGATCACTCTCTAATTTGACATCATGGCCTAATTGTGAGGTTTCCTTATGGCTCTCCGGGAGGAATGTAAACACCTTTCCTGTCTTAGGATGCTCAGATGACTCTGAGGGGTCTATCCGAGCCTATCCTGAAAACTTCTCAATGATCTCTAGTGAGAGTTAGGCTTCAATGTAGATTTCCAACACTTCATGGGAAATATTTTTACTTGGGTCCCTTGTTTTCATTTCAAAAGATGCTTTTCAAGTTTGCATTGAGCTGAGAAACTTTCAATTCATCATTCTTTCCTCTCCATCATCAACTTAATTTCACTATTTTCTTATTCCCATTATCACCACTGAAAACCAGACTCCCCATCACCTCAAAGCCAGATGACGAGGAGGCCTTCTGTTTGGTCTTCAAGTTTCCAGTCTCCACCCCTACAAATCCTTCCTACCAAATTCCTTCCTGGGCATATAGCAGGTGTCCCATATATGTTATGAAATAATGTGAAGACCACATCTATCAATTCAGTATATAAGGCTGGATGAGATCAAGGCAATATCTCATTCAGAAATATTAATGCCGTTTTCATACGCTTTGAGTCTGCGGGGCTTCTCATTTGATGACATCAGCTCCAAGAGAAGGCAGGTCGGAGAGCTCCATTTCATTCTACACACTCCTTCTAAGGTCCCCAGGTTAAGTAAGGCCTTACAATGCTGGCAGGAAGGCCCGAAGAATACACCCAGCACACTGCTCTTCCTATCATAATTAGGGAGCTGTCAACTCGCCCTAATTCAGTCTGGTTTCCTGTCCTCATTTGTAAGTTTACTACCGAAGAAAACCTCCGGATGGTTAGTTCTTAAACATCAGAGTGCATGACAGTCACCTAAGGCTCATCACTGGATTTCTGACTCGGCAGATCCAGGATGAGCCAGTAAGTCCGCATTAGGAGCGAGCCCCCCGCCGCAAGGGAATGCAGGCAATTTGGGGGCCGTCCCTAGAGAATTGGTTGACTTCACAAACAGCAGGCCGCGGACAACGCCCCGTCTCCTGGAGAACCCCGCTCTGCCCCCCCCCCCCCACCTGCCACACCCTCCAGGCCCGGCTGGGCTGCGGCTGGGTCTCCTCGCCTTTAGGCCGGGACGACGTAGCGCAGGTACAGCCACTGACCGGCTGCACCTCCGGCAGCTGGACCCGCGGGGACGCGCCCCCGGTGGCTGCCTTTAAGGCGGCCGCCCATTGTCTCAGCTCGGTTCTGCTTGGCCGGGGCTCTTCCAAAGGCTTTGAGGATTGGCTGAGGCTCCGGGCGCCGAGGCCAGTTGGCGGGTAGGAGCGTGTTCTAAGGGCTGGCCCGGCCGGGCCCCGCCTCCCGCTGCTGCGGCCGCCCCCCTGCTGGTTCCGTGCACCCCGAGCCTGGAAGCTGCTGCTGGCGCCTTCCCACCGCCCGGTGCGTCGAATCGCGCCCGCTTGCTAGTGACAGGAGGAGGGGCTTGAGGTCTCGTCTGAATCTGGGGATTTTCCACGTTATTTCGAGGCCCAGAATTGCCAATTTTTAATTGTGCCCAACGACTTACCTACGTTTCATCAAAGTCTTTAACATCAAAAAGTACAAGAGCTGTATTCTAATAATAGAGAACAGGTATTTAAAGCGAATGCCTTTAACTTAAAGGGGGAAAACATTAAATTGCTTTTCTTTTTCTAATTTGGTTGCAGACAAGTAGAGGCGACCCCAGAGCCCTTTAGTTCTCAGCCCTGCAGTTGGCACCACTATTTTACATTACAGGGCACTGGCAGGGGGGTGGTTTGTTACCTGGAATGTCTTTGTGAGGACTGAGTCTTCCCTGCCATATGCAAATAACAGTAAAAATAACAGCTAACCTTGAATGGTTGCTAGGTCCCAGGCCGCTGACTATGAATGTTCCCCTAACATCTGAATTAATTGTCCCCAGACCACAGAGTCTTTTGGCACTCTTAGCTCCGAATTACATGTGAAAACACCAGGACCGTGAAAGTTGTGATTTACCCAAGGCCCCTCAGCTAGTAAATACTGAAGAAGATCCTGTAATGCAGCCAGAACTCTTACAGTCATTCAGACCTTTCCTGAGATAAAATTTTACATGCTTCTGCCCCAGTCACATTTTAATCATCTGCTCTTAGAAGCACTTAGAGGCTGAGCAGGGAGAAAGCATTTAGAGGCTGAGCCAGGAGAGGATAGATTCACTCTGATATACTACTATACCCGGATTTAACTGGCAGTGTAGATATTCATTTTCCAAATTCAATGACTTTTGTTTGATTTTACAGATGTTGATTTGGCTGATTTCAGAATCTTGAAGTTCTGCCTTTTGCTTATTCAAATGTATCAAAATGTTATTTTTTTCCCCTTTGGTTCCTCAAACTGTAAGCAAAATGGGGGCAGGAAAACAGAAACAATTGCTTACCAAGAAAGTCTTGACCTCTGCTTTCCCTAGTGGGAAGATGAAGTCCCTCCTCTGACTTCAGTTGCCCCCTAGTAATCTTAGTGTGTCCCAGAGTTGTGGTTACCTGAGACAGGGAGGTTGGCAGAGTTGGATGAATACAGTCAAAAGATACAACCTTCCAGTTATGAGATAAATGAGTACTGGGGATATAATGTACAAAATGATGATTATACTTTGCACTGCTATATGGTATATTTGAAAGTTGCTAAGAGTATAATGTAAAAGTTCTCATAACAAAGAAAAAAAAACTTAAATGTAGCTATCTGAGGAACATGGATATTAAATGTTTGTGCTATTCGTTTTATGATATATGTTTGTCAAATCATTATATAGTACACCTTAAGCTTATAAGGGATTGTACGTCAATTATATTGCAGCACTGGAAAATAAGTCCCAAAGACGTTAGAACTGGGATTCCCCATGATCTTACCCTCCTGGAAACAAGTTTTGTATTTGGCCAATTCGAAGATGGAGACTTTTCCTTATTTGTCTCTCTCTTTGAATTTGGTGGTCAATATTGGAACACCTATTAACAGTGTCTTTCTTGTAAATTAAGCTTCTGAAATATTAAGAGGAATGTTCTCCAATTTCCACTATCAGGAATTGATATGACAAAAATAATTTGAAAAATTGCAAAATGCAAAACCCACTTCCTCTTCTCAAAACACAAACTCACTGAAAAGACTGTAGTCATGATTTCTGTGGTGGCATTCTTTTCAACTCCAAGTCTCAAGTCATTCTCACCCAGGACTGAAATTTCCCACATTTTTAAAACAGAGCTACTTATATTTCAGGTAGCTTGAAACTGATTTGGAGTAGGTTTAATGTGGCCATACTACCATTTGTTTCTTGCTTGAGTGAGTCAGTATAGCAAAGGTGTAAACATGATATATATAATGCAGAGGAATGTTTGCATAGGGGATTCCAAAGTCATACCTATTGTGTCTTAAAAAGGAAGTAGGGATAAGCCTTAAGTCCGTAATTAAAATCTTTCCAGGGAAACCATCATGTTCAGTGGTAAGATTAAAAACCACATTACTGAAAAGTAGCCTGCAGCCCTGAGCCCATTCAATTGGCATTAAAGTAGTAACTGGTGAGGTAAGTGTTCTGATTTTACTTTTAATGTTAATCTACTTGCAAAGCTGAACTGCAGTGCATTTCATCTTTTTTGATCCAAAATTGGAATGCACTATGCTCTTAAAAAAGTGTTCTTATTCACTAGCATTAATCATTGATTGAGCTCTTACTATACTAAGAATGGCTGGCACCATTTCCTTCTGTAAGGGCAGGACAGGCCACTGAGCAGGTTTTCTGATCCAGTATACTGGGGTAAAGGAGGAGTCCTGGAGCCCTCAGTGGCTTTTCAGGCTTTTATTGGAATTTACCAGGTACACAGCAGCAGGGCTGCTGGCGGGGCCAGGAGGCTAGCAGGCCTCTCAGCCCCCAGCAAGTCTTCACTCTTTCTGGGCTCTCGGTTGGTCTCTGCTATTCTCATGATTCTTCATGCTTCTCTGTTACCCTGCTTCTGCTTCTGCTTCTGCTTTTCTGCTTCTCTGCTTCTGCTGGCGTCCAGGTGACGCCGCCCTTAAAAGCCCAATCTCAGCCCAGGTGAATCCCATCTACCTATGCCCACACCCTACTCCAGGTGCCCGCCATCAGGCATGCATTCCAAACCACAAGGTTCCCTCATCTATCCTGATGGCGGGAGGGCAGAAAAGCCTGATACTTTTACCTTACCCTACACTTCCATATGCACAAACCCTCTCAAGTAGTTGCTATTAATATTCTCTTTTTACACATGGGGAAGATGAAGGTCAACGAAGTAAGAGAGATTAGATTGCCTAAGTCCCAAAGCCAGGATTTGAATATAGTGCCAACTGAAAACCTTGACACTCTGCTGCTTCCTTTCAGAGGAGAGGCCCCACCAAAATTTGTATCCACGTGTTAAAAGCAAGAGGTACTTTTCAGGGATTTTTGTTCACTCCTGCTACTCTCTGGGGCGGCACTTCTCTTGGTTAAATAATCCTAGCTCCTGTTCCAGATCACTTCCACTCTGCTCCACCTGGGCCCAGCCATTCAAAAACTGAATTGGGGAAGGGGAGGAGGGAGCGCACCTGAATGCAGTTGTACCTGCAGGCTTCGGTGTGGGCGAGCTGGCGTCGTCCTACGCTGCAGCAATAGATCTGCAAATCATGAGTGAGGATGCCATTAGGAGCTTGGGGAAAGGTGAGTCCACTGGGCAGCGGGTTGTGAGTCGGGGGGCGCCGTGTGCCTGGGGATTGGTGGGTCCTGAAAGAGGGAGGCCCAGCTTTGCTCCAGACCTGCATAGCAAGAGGGTTTGAAAGGTTTTCCGTGCACAAAGTCCCAGGGAAGCGAGTTCCTCGCCCTTCATGCTCATCCACCTTTCCCTTACCTGTCTCCTTCCGCAGGAAGCCCTGCCCCAGGGCCAGTCCCTGAGGGCGTGATCCGTGTCTACAGCATGAGATTCTGCCCCTATGCACATAGGACACGCCTTGTCCTCCGGGCCAAAGGCATCAGGTGAGAAACAGAGCCCAACTCTCGAAGGGAGGGAGCATGTTGAAAATAGGGTGCGCTGCGCAGATTTCTTCCAAGGCAAAATCAGCAAAGTAGTGAGCAAAGAGCGGGGTCTTCAGCTGCCGGGGTCTTCAAGGGTTAGTGGGTATGAGAGGAGCCTGGCAGCAGGGCACCACAGGGTCCTCTCCAGTGAACTGCTGTGCTGCGGATGCCAGGGTGTGTGGAGCGGGCCCCGCGTCCCCTCCTCTGGTGTCTCTCCTGGTCTGCGGTGTCACCTCTGCGTCCACTCTAGGTTAATGTTGAGCACTAGACGCGGCCCAGGTGCGCGTGTTGTCGTTGATATGGGATCAAGGCCGGCAGTTGTTCACTTTTCTAGCACAGAAGTCTATCCTGGCGTGTTTGCTGCTGTTTAAACTGGTGCTTCAATGGTCGATTTGTTGTTTGGGGTTTAGCCCCGAGTTGAGGCTTGCAGGTTTTTGAATATTCCAGCCTGGAGACCCAGGTGATCTGACCTGTCTCGCCAGCTGTTTCAGACTCCAGCTGTTAGGTACTGAGCGCCTCAGGCTCAATCCAGTAATCCTCATTCCGTGCTCTCCACTTCTGAGGTTTTCCAACAGTGCACCCTCTCTTCTGGGCGCCAACCCTGAGAAACCCCTGATTCAGTGCCGAGCCATGTCTCATGAGTCCGGGTGTGATCATGTGCCCCTGAGTCCACAACTGCAGGGTTTCCACACAGCTGTTGCCTCTCCCTGTCGTGGTTTCTATGACTGCGGTGTCATTTAAGTGCAGTTTACTTGAAGTTCATTCTACCCCTTTACATAGCACCATTGCCTCTAGGCTGCATGTGGTCCTCTGTTTTCCCTCCAGGGGCTTGGCTTTGTTCTGCTACAGCCTAGCTAAGAGTGTATGGGGGAACTTAGCCTGGCGTGGCCACTCTGCTGCCATCTGGCTGGACTCCAAATTGTGTTGTTTATCCACCTTTCTTCTACGCCTGCCACCCTCTCCTGTCCACATCCACACACCACTTCCTCCAGCATGAAAATGTGAGTTCTTGAGGGTAGGGACTTGGTCTTTTATTCATGGACTAGAAGAGCTGGAATGTTGTAGGGCGTTTTTTTTTTTTTTAATGAAATCATTATTTTTTGAATAAATGAATAGTTCCAAATAATGAATTAGAAGGACCCATCTTTCAAGAGGCATCTTGAAGTTTTTGACATAACTGAGAAATGGTATACATGTCCTTCTAGAAGGAATTTTGCAAGACTAGCAAGTCTAGATCTAGAAGGTAGAGCAACTTTGCTGACTTGGGGACCTCAAAGCTGCAGTGTTGTGCACATGTTACTCCAGAGCCCTTTGGGCTCTTGTCTTGGAGAGTCCATTGTTAGAGAATGACTTGAGAGTTTCATGTTCCTGCCAAAGAAATACAGGCACTAATACAAAAAATGTTTTAAATATAATTTAGAAAAATAACATTAGACAGATGTTTTATCTAGAGTGATACAGCAGCAGCTTAGGAACTGTTGTAAATATATCTTTAGGGCAAGCGTTCTCATCTTTGGCACTATTAATACTTTGTGACAGATAGTCTTCATTGTGGAGTATATGGGAGGGATGCCATCCTGTGTGTTTGGAATGTTGAGTAGCCTCCCTTGTCATCAGATGACACTAGACTCCCTCCTTCCCCAGTTGTGACAACCAAAACCATTGTCCCCAGATATCAGATGCTTGAAGCTTTAAAAGGTACTGACTTCTGTAGTTCCTTGGTTAAGTGTGCCAACTCTGAATCACACAGCCTGGACATTTGGGGCAGCTACTTCTTACTGGGTGACACTGAGCAGGAGACTCAACCCACTTGAGCTGTGTTCCACACAGGGGATGTGTTCAGTGTTTTCTCTGCCTTTTCTTTTTTTTTTTAATAATTTTTTTTTTTAAGATTTATTTATTTACACAAGCACTGGGTACAGTCAGAAGCGCGGGAGGGTGAGAGAATTCACCAGAGCCAGAGCGGGGAGCAGAGCAGGCAGAAGGACCGAAGCACACTGCTGAGGGGAGCAGCGGGCGGCAGGAGAGGTCTGCGCGCCATGTGGGACCCTCCTCTGGTGGCCGGGGAGCAGCCGGGGATCGAACTGGCTTCGGCAGAGGCCGCGGGCAGCTTCGCAACCCAGCGCTCAACCGCTGCGCCACTGGGGAGGCCCTCTCTGCCTTTTCTCATTTGATTCTCATGATTCCCCAGTTTACTTCCTAGGGGAATTGCAGGAGCAAAGCAGATAAGGCATAGAGACTGTTTCACCTACCTTACTCTAAGGATGCAGGCAATGATGTTGTCATGTATTTTTCTTTGACCAAAATCTAAACTTGGAAAGTTCATTGCAAATTGGAATTTTAAAATGAATTGCCTCTTCTTTCAAGATGAGTATCTGCCTGCATAAGCCGTTCATTTACATTCCATCTTGCTTTCCCTTTGCTTGTGAAGACATGAAGTCATCAACATTAACCTAAGAAACAAGCCTGAATGGTATTATACTAAGCACCCTTTTGGCCAAATTCCTGTGCTGGAGAACAGCAAATGTCAGCTGATCTACGAATCTGTCATCGCCTGTGAATATCTGGATGATGCTTTTCCTGGAAGGAAGCTGTACCCGTATGATCCTTATGAGCGAGCTCGTCAAAAGATGTTGTTGGACCTGTTCTGTAAGGTATATCCATTTTTTAAAAAAGCTACTTTCACTATTTTACTTTGTATACCTTTCCCCAACTTTAATCCATTTTTAAAGCCTCATCATTGGTGGAATCATCTTAATACTACTTGTGCTTTATAAGGATAGCTGGTGTGGAATTAGAATAGGCTTGTGGCCTCTGATAGGTGCTTTTCCACTTCAACCAACAGTCTCAAGAGGTATGGTTATGGCAGAGTCATGACTGTGTCACTTGAGATGAGGAGATTAAGCGGAAAGTTCATGATGCTTTCAAGGGAACATTTATAAGGTTTCAGGTAAAAAAAAGATATTGGGGTGTGAAGAACATAATGCATGGAGGGGGTTGCCCTTTATGGGGAACGAGAGTGCCAGCTGCTTGGGAAATGTAAAGAAGAGAGAAAGGGGTATCTGTTGCTCAAGGATAAAAATAATGGAGAAATTTTAAGATATTTCCTTTTTAATTGAAGTAAAAGTAGCTTGATGGCATTTATTGAGCACTTACAATGTGCGAAGAAAGCATTACTTTAACTACTTTATAAAGGTTAACTCATTTAACCCTCATGTTGCCCATTAGGATGGGTGCTGTTACTGTATCCTTTTTTTTTTTTTTCTTTTAAATGTCCTACCTAAGATTATACAGCATGGAAATAACTGAACAAGTTGGGAGCACTGGAGAACCCCTGTTAAAGTACCTGGTTTGACCAGGGTGTTATGACACTTGGGTTCCTGGAACCACTAAGATGCCGCACAGAGGGAGCCAGGGAGCCGGGGTGTGGGTCCTCTGAGTTGGAGTGACAAAGCTTTGGCTGCTGCATTTTTGGGACGAACAGGAGCATGGAGTCCCTCAGTCTTCTCCACTAAGAACATGTGTCCTCTGATTAGGTCCCACAATTGACCAAGGAGTGTCTGGTTGCAATCAGATATGGGAGAGAATGCTCTGACCTGAAGCTCGCCCTGCTCCAGGAATTCTACAACCTTGAAGAGGTACAAAAGGGCCCCTCCCAGGCCAGGTGCAATGGAAGAGCCAATGATGCAGGTTGCTGATTTAAATTTTCTTCTGGCCACCCAGAGGCACTCTACTTTCACAGGATTATTATTTTCTGCACATTTTGATAAGTTCAGCTTCCAGCCATCTGGTTTCAACTTGGGGCACTTGCCCACCACTGACCTGCTCTGGAATTATTCTTGGGAATCTGGCAAAGAGTGGGGGAAGGCTTGGATGAATTTCTTCCTGCCCCAAATCACCACATTCCTTAAGTATCTGCGTAGCTTTTGTAACTTCTACCCATGAAACCAAGGTCCATGTTGGCCAGGGATCTAGTTGGTTGCTAGTTAAAGGGACCTAAGCACTATAAATTTATCTTATGAAGGTTTATTCACTCACATGAAAAATCCAGGGGTAGGGTAGTTCAGGGCTATTTTTATGGCTTCTTTATGAAGTTACCAGGGACAGAGGCACATTCATTCTACCATGCCATCTTCAGGGCAAGCCTTCCATCCTGAAAATTGACATGATAGCTGCTGGAGCTGCAGCCATCACATTTAAATTCCAGGTTGTGGAAAGGAGAAGAGAAAGGGAAAAATGACAAAAGGCCATGTGTGCCTAAAGGGCTTTCTCAGATATCCTATTTAATGCCTATTTAAGCCTCATTGGCCAGACTTAGTTATAGGGTCCTAATGCTCTGTGGGGGAGGCTGATAAATTTAGTCATTTAGCTGAGGATGCCCTGAATAAAATCAGGGTTCTGTAATTCACGAAGAAGGGGAAAGTAGCCTGGGAGGTCAAGGAGCAGGATCTGCTAGCTGGTCAGTGGGAGTAGCAGGGCTATTTGCCTCTTACCTCTAGAATAATCTGCAAGGTGACTCTTAAATTCCTTTATCTTTGTTCTAGAAATTGAGGGGCTGTAATTCTGTTGGCAGCCAGAGAAAACTGTTTTTATCCCCTTAAGAGAAGGCTTCCTTACCACCTTTGGCAGTACCAGCAGATTAAATTTATTTACACTCCCAGGTGCTTACCCTTGGTTCGTGCCATTGCAGTGTCTATGGGTGGTGAAGAGTTATGGATAAGAAATGCCAACCTTCAGTCCTGAGGCCACAGACTGAGGTGGGATGATTATGTGGTAGACAGGGTCTTGGGCCCTAGATTTGGCTTTACCAGATTCCAGAATCATAGGCAAGATTCTGGGCCTCGCTATACCTTGGTTTCCATCTTACAGAAGAGGGAATATTTTGAAAGCCGTATGCTTAGAGCCTCTGTGTTCTGCAAAGGCGCTGCCCAAGGCAGGGGAGCCTGCTGACGACTCCAGAGCCAGCTTCACCCCCAATGCTGGGTTCATTCTGTGCTTCTCATCTCGTGTGAGAGCATCTGGGGAAAAAGACTGCTGCTTTCAAAAGAAATTTGAAGCTCTTGTGCATAGCTGAACTGATCCCATCTTTCCTGGTTATCTTCTTATGGATAAATCCTGGTAGGAGAAAGGAGTTAGAAAGCAAAACCTCTGAACTGAGAGAATTTAAAACACATTTTGGGTTGTCTCCTTTCTGCTCTGTATTTGGATGATGGGTGACCTTTGTAAATTACAGATTGCTAAATAAACATATTATGATGGAGGCAAAGTTCTTTAGTTGGGGTTCTTCCAGAGAAAGTGACCCATATTTTTGTGCCCTGCAATAGGCTCTCAGTGCATTGTGTATACCTTCTCCTTGATACTTTCCAAGGAGCATCTCTTAGGTAAGAGGTGCTAACCCTGCTTTGCAGATTAGGGTAACTCTCTGTGCAGAGTCTGAAAGAAATAGCTGCTAGTAATAAAAAATTAAAGACCTTCAGAGAACTCAAAACCTAGAGATGGGGAAACCAGACTGTTCAGCCCATTTAAAAGCTAGCTGTGTTAGGAGCTAGGCTGGAGGGGGTGAGAGGGGTACCTCCTTCATCGACTTTTCCAGGGTGAAATAGAGGCACGGGAGAGAGAAACTGGCATGTGCAGCAAACAGAAAGCAGGGAGAGCTTGGTGACCAGGGGTGAAGGCAGAGGTGGATCAGAGTCTGGTGCCAAGGGCCTTTTCCACTGTGCTGGTGGCATCTCCTTTTGGCTTTTCAAATGTTCAGTGCAGTGACTCTGTGGGAGTTGGGGGGAAGGAGGGAATATCAGGAATAGGGGAGGGACCACACTACAGAGTGTGGAGAGGCGGATTCTATTGGAAGTTTTCAGGGGGTAAGATGAGAGGGATCTGGTGAGAGGTTGCTGTTGTCTTGGGTGGTTTCCCTTTCTAGCCAGGAAATAGGAAGTTTTTCATTGAGAAAGCATCAGAGGGAAGATAAATTTTGCTCAGAGTGACTTGCTGGTGGGATATTCATATGGAGACAGAGCTTAGGAAGGTAACATGTCAGGGTCCCAGTCCTTGGGGATGATCTTACTGCCTGGGAGCTTGATTTGCCCAGGACGTGACTTGGCATTAACCAGCAGCGACTTCTCTTTCTATTGAAGTTAGGACTCAGCAGAGGAGGTGAGAACACTCTGGCAGGGCCACTCGACACATCCCTCGTAAGGATGAGGAAACCCCTTGTTTTACTTTTGTGGCCACCATTTAAGCAGAGAGATTGGGGCTATGACCAATGGTGTGGAGACAAATGTTTAACAGACTCCTGAAAAAGAACAGCCCTGACTTGTAGCCTTTCCTGGTTTCAGGGGTGTAAATGCTCCCCCAAAGTCTGATCTGAACCAGGCGATAGTGGGACGAGATGTGGGTCAGTGGCCTGCGCCAGCGTATCCTGAATAACCCTCCTCCAGAGTCCTGGAAATAACTCATTAACTCACCCAGGTGGCTTTCACTGATGCTACTTAAGGACCACTGAGTATCCAGTGTTGCTCTAACAGCTTTGAATGTACTATTTGTCCCATAAAGTGTTGGCAAGAATTTTAAGTACAAGGTTGGCAATATCAGTGAGCTTGGATTATTTGATCCATTCCTCTGCCTGCCAGTATATTGACTCTGGGAGATGGTAGTGAAATTGAAACTTGTCAGAATAAATCTAAGAGAGGTGGCCCCTGACTTGTGCAATTCTTTCACATGGCTTTATACAATCAGGGTTTTGTGTGAGCTCAGCACACATTCAATACAGTGAGAAGGTAGTCGAGATAGCAATGTCAAACCTACCATATTACCCACAAGCAAAAACCTCAGTTTACCTTTTGTAACCTTCAATTCTGACATTCTGTTCTTTTGAAATAAATGCTGTCAGGCTTTTGAAACCTTTTTCTTTAAAAATCCAGTTTCTTCAAAATTGGAGATTTATTGTGCTGGTTGTATAACCCCATTTTCTATAATATTTTTATACTTTTTGATATACGTTATTGCTGCTCTTATTATTGAGCCAGCAGCTTTCCTACTCACTCTCCTGTTCTAAACATTTCATGAGTTTGAAAACTCATGGGATGCCCTTCCCTTGACCTTCTTGAAGACCATACTTTGTCTTCAAATTTATTTTCTAACCTTTTCAGAATCATTCATCTAAACTGCACCCATTTTTTTTAGCTTTAATCTTTTTAATATTTTTTTAGTGACTTTCATTTCAAAATCACTACGGAGACCTTGGTTTTTGTTTTTGTTTTTTTTTTTTGGTGTTCTGTCCTTTTCCACTATGTAGATTGTTATGCAGTTGAAATAGTATTGCATGTTGAACTTGGTTATTGTTGTGATGTAAGGTTTTCCTCACATTTTAAGAAATCTGTCAATGTGATTTATATGTATCGGGGTGTTTATTAGAGCAGCATTATTTGCAATGGTGAAATATTATAAACCTTTACGTACATTAGACTGGCAATGTTTATACATACTTTCTATCCCTCTTCTGGAATTCTATAGAACAGTTAAAAAATGAATGAGATATTAAAAAAAAAAGAATGAGGTAGATCTATGTGTGTCGGCATGAAAAGAATGCCTAGAAATATTTAAGTGAATTAGGGCCTCCCTGGTGGCGCATGATCACCATGATCAAGCTATGATCAAGCTATCACCAGCCACTGCAGCCTGAGTTTGATTGCCTGGCCTGGCTCAATCCCTGGCCAGGGAGCTAACCCACATGGTGCTGCAGACCTTTCCTGTTTTCCCCCACTGCTCCCCTCAGCAGTGTATTTCAGTAGATCTGCCTGTTCTGCTCCCCACTCTGACTCTGGTGAATCCTCTCACCCCCTGCATCTCTGACCTACACCCCAGTTCTTATATGCATAAATAAATAAAACTAAATCTTTTAAAAAATATTTAAGGGCCTCCCTGGTGGTGCAAGGGGTTAAGCACCGCACTATGAAGCAATCCGCAGTCTCTGCAGTACGAGTTCGATCCCTGGACGGCCAGGGAGCATCCCACATGGCGCAGCAGACCTCTCCTGACTCGCCCGCTGCTCCCCTCAGCAGTGTATTTCAGTCAGTCTGCCTGTTCTGTTCCCTACTCTGTCTCTGGTGAATCCCCCACACCTCTGGCCTGCAGCCTAGTTCTTGTATGCATAAATAAATCTTTAAAAAATATTTAAGTGAATTACACAGCAGTACTGATGGTAAGGTCCCATTTTTGTAGGAGGAAGAAAAACTAGATATACGTACAGATACATGCAAATAAATGCCAGAAAAAAGGCTAGAGAGATACACATTAAACTCCTAATAATGGCCACTACTGGGGGGAAGGATTAGCATTGGGATGGAAAAGGAAAATAATTGAGGGGAATGGGGAACGAGGGTCTTCACCTTTTATACTGTTCTCTGTTTGAATTTAGGTAAAGAAAATATATTTATCATATGTGCAGCGTTTATGACTAATTTTGCATAGTTTGCCATGTGCATCATGTGTAGTCACCCAGCATACTTAGCAGGATGTTTAGATTGTTTCTAGTCATTTACCATTAGGAATGTTTCTTTAGGGAATAGCAGCTTCTTTGCATAAAAAGCATTGTCTCTATTTTAGAATCTGTGCTTAGGCTGGACTTCCAGGAATGGAA